TTGCACAACTGATCAGGATTGAAAATCTGCCTTTTCTTTTTCAGGGTAAAGCTGTTGTCACATTTTTCGATGCAATATTGGATAAGACCCTTCGGAGCATAGTTGCTTTGATTGCTAGTCGAGGGCGCGGAAAATCTGCTGCACTTGGTCTAGCTGTTGCCGGGGCTGTTGCTGCTGGGTAGGCTTTGACTTTAATGTACTATATTATTCATGAACATTCTGGTAATATCTGTTAGCTTATTGGTACTTGATCTTATTTTCTGTTAGGTACTCTAATATTTACGTAACAGCACCAAGCCCGGATAACTTGAAAACACTCTTCGAGTTTGTTTGCAAAGGTTTCGATGCTCTTGAATATAAGGTAATATGAACTTCTTCCATTTTTTACCCTGTTTGTTGGGATAGTCATAAGTTTGAATTTTTGACCTGCATTATCTGGAGGCAAGAAGAAAGAGGCACTTTTTTTTTGCATGTTAATTGAAATATCCATATAATTTCCTAAACACCATCTCCAACTATATCTTTTGAAGGAACAACTTGAATATGATGTTGTGAGAAGTATGAATCCTGACTTCAAGAAAGCAATTGTACGGATAAATATCTTCAAGCAGCACAGGCAAACTATCCAGGTTTGTTCTTTCCTGTTTTTTCCAAAGGCTGTGGTTTGTGTCGATTACTCACCAAATTGATACATATTCTTGTTATTTTATGCAGTATATACAACCGCATGAAAACGAGAAGCTCTCACAAGTGGAGCTGTTGGTTATTGATGAAGCAGCAGCTATTCCTTTGCCAGTTGTGAAGTCTTTACTTGGCCCTTACCTAGTGTTCTTATCATCTACTGTCAGTGGGTATGTGAAACAGGATTTATGCTTGCACTTCCATTATATCAAAAAGTTTTTTTATGTGTGTCCTGGTTATAATTTGGGTCAATCAGTACTGACTTCCGTTTCTTTTATCTTTCTTTATCAAAGCTACGAAGGTACTGGTAGATCTTTGTCCCTAAAACTTCTCCAACAGTTAGAAGAGCAAAGCCGAGCCCCTGTTACTGCTGTTGAAGGCTCTCTTTCTGGTATTTAACTGCTACTCCTTGCTTTCACTTTTGGCATGTGACAATCAGGACAATTTTGTAGAGTCCCAATATTATCCTTAAGAACATAAAAACTCATCTTTCTCCATTGCCCTTGCGTACTGGTTTAAGAAGGAAAAAAGTGCTGCTAGCATTTTCATAATAATTTTTGTTATCTATGTTTTAAGTAACCATCACTATAGTGCCCACGCTTGAGGAATATATGTGTGGTTTTATAAGAACGTAGGTTTTTGTGTTCGAGTCCGGCCTTAATGGCCTCCAAAAGTATACAGTAGACCCATTTTGTCATTTCAGATTACTGTATCTGATGGGTGTTAATAATTACTAGAGCTAATGTTTCTTTCTTGTAAGGCCTACTTTAATGTCTTTGTATATAGTAAAATCCTTTTTCGTCTTGGTTCTCTAAATGATGTGAATCGTTACCTTGGGGAATGTTCTGACTGTCTTAAGTTTCTTTTGGATTCAGGTTGCCTTTTCAAGAAGCTAGAACTCAATGAGTCTATTAGATACGCTTGTGGAGATCCAATTGAATCCTGGCTCAATGGTTTACTATGCCTTGATGTGGCTAAATGTCTCCCAAATCCTGCCTGGTATGGAGATCTCACGGAAATATATTACAACGTTTGGTTTCTTTCCCCTTCCCAACTGAATTTTCGGTTTGATTGTTTCTTCTGTATTTTCTAGCCATCCTCTGCCAAGTCAGTGTGATCTCTACTATGTCAACAGAGACACGCTATTTTCTTATCACAAAGACAGTGAGCTGTTTTTACAGGTAATTTATAGTTTGTTTTAAAATCTAATTTTTTTGTTAACTTTGTTTTGATAATAATTTAACACGAACTGTTATTTTACAGCGAATGATGGCACTTTGTGTCTCTTCACACTACAAGAATTCTCCTAATGATCTTCAATTGCTTGCGGATGCTCCTGCTCATCATTTGTTTGTACTGCTCGGTATGTAACTGTTCCTTCTTTTCGTAGCTAAATATAATCACCAGAATGAGAGTATTGCCTTATATTTCTATTTGGTACAGGTCCTGTTGATGAGTCCAAAAACCAGCTTCCTGATATACTATGTGTTGTCCAGGTATAGACTCATACTTGCTGTTTGGAGAAAAAGTGTTAGTTTTAGACTGTCAAAAAATAAAAACAGGAACTATTAGCCTGCTTTAACTGTTTGTTTGCAGCATTTTTCTGGACATAACTTGTCGTACGCAACATTGTGACTGATTCTGGATGTACTTTTGCAGGTCTGTCTCGAAGGACAGATATCTGAGAAATCAGCCATCAAAAGTTTAAGAGATGGTCATTCTCCTCATGGAGATCAAATACCATGGAAGTTCTGTGAACAGTTCCGGGACCTTGTCTTTCCAACTCTTTCTGGTGCTCGTATAGTACGCATAGCAGTCCACCCCAATGCCATGAAGGTGAATTTGCTTAGGCTACTCATTTTTTATTTATCTTTTAGGTTCCATGAGAGGTTAACAAAAACCTAATTGCAATTTATGTAGATGGGATATGGTTCTGCTGCGGTTGAACTATTGACCAGGTAAATGCATTAAAATGTACATACGTAAGCACTAAGTTGCGATCAATGCTTAATGAATATGACTTAATTGATTAATATGGGCAGATACTTTGAGGGTCAGCTAGCTTCAATATCAGAAGGTGATGATGAACTCGATGTGGAGGCTTCACCAGTTAGAGTTACCGAAGCTGCTGAAAAGGTTTGTGGTTGTTCTATCTACCATTGTGCCTTTTTTTTGTATTTTGCCTCCAACTTCTTACCTGATTGCTTTTCCATAGGTTTCTTTGCTTAAGGAACAAATAAAACCTCGCGCCAATCTTCCACCTTTGCTGGTTCCTCTTCGTGATCGACGACCTGAGAGACTCCACTACCTCGGTGTCTCTTTTGGTCTTACTTTGGACCTTTTTCGTTTCTGGAGGAAACATAAATTTGCTCCATTCTATATCAGTCAGATACCAGTTGAGAATATTTCTATCCCTTTTACTGAATTGCGTATTCTTGGCTTTCTAGTAGCTAATAACACAATTTCTTCGTTTGGTTGGATCAGAGCGGTGTGACTGGTGAGCACACATGCATGCTTCTGAAACCGTTAAACAACGATGAGTTCGAAGTTAGTGAGTCAGATGAATTGAGCTTCTTTGCTCCCTTCTATAAAGGTTTGCTGATTCTTATATATGAACCGAACTTTTGTGTTATCTTCCAAGTATGACATGCTTAGTTTAATATTTTGACCACTTCTTGTCTTCTGTTCAGATTTCAGGATAAGGTTCTCTAAGCTGTTGAGCGATAAATTCAAGACGATGGATTACAAACTTGCAATGAGGTTAGCACTAACCCTTTTCTTTTCCCATGCCATAATATTTTAGACTTTTCCTGCAAATACTATTTTAAGGCGACCTTATACTTTACTTGGGAATTTGATCATATTCTCATATCACTCTTTTGTCCAGTGTCTTAAACCCTAAGATCAACTTCACAGAGGTTGATTCTTCCGGGAGTTCAGCAAATGGTTTTTTGAAGAAACTCGAGGGAGTCTTTTCGCCTTATGATATGGAAAGACTCAGAGCATACACTGACAATCTTGTTGACTTCAATCTGGTTAGATTCATTTCTCAGATTCTATTTTTTGAGGGAATCTGTACATGAACACACACATTTTGCTCAAGTAATAAATTGAGTTTTAAACGTTTATGGTTATTCTTTACGTTTGGTAATCATTAGTTTTTTTTCTTATCTTTTCAAGGTTTATGATCTCTGCAAAACTCTAGCACATCATTATTTTCAAGAGAAGCTCCCGGTCTCGCTTTCGTATGTTCAAGCATCTGTACTCCTTTCCCTGGGCTTGCAGGAGTCAGATTTCTCTTCCATCGAGGTATTATATCTATACTCTGACGATAACTTCAGTGATTTGAACCCTTCTCGTTATGTTTCATCCGACATATCGAGATAAACTTGTAGACACATGTGGATGTTCTAAATTGGATCATTCCATTGCCACTTGCAGAGACAAATGCAGTTAGAGAGGGTGCAAATACACTCTCTTCTATTGAAGGTTGCAAAGAAGTTATACAAATATTTGAATGGAATCGCAACAAAGGAGATTGAATCCACCTTCCCCCGGTTGAAAGAAGTAAGTTCAGATTGCAAAACTAACAAAATACTTGTGTGTTCCTTTGCTCAGTAATTACAATCCACGAATATAAAGAAGTACATACACGAATATCTGATTAATATGATTCATGGTGACTTTTGGTTGCAGAGAGTGCTTGAACCTCATAATGTATCCGTAGACGAAGATCTAATGGAAGGAGCAAAAGAAGTCGAGGTATTCGCTTCTGTTCAAGCATATATTTTTGTTTTGATTTCCATGTAAGGTCGAAAACTCCACTCACACTTGTAATGTTTTTGGTTTAAAGGAACAAATGAGGGCAAAGCTAGAATTGGACCCTGAGCTGCTTGAACAATATGCTATTGGGGGCAAAGAAGCTGAAGCATTAGAAAAGTCGAAAATCTCTTCCAGTGGTATTATCAGTATCGAGACCACCAAATCGGATACCATGAAGGTAAAGCCAAGTGGTTTTGACAAGTCCGCCAAAAAGAGAGGCAATGATAAGCATTCATCCAGATCCAACAAGAAGAGAAGAGCCTAATCTAGAACTAATGTGTAACAGTGACCAGAAAATTTTGATCATTATGTTTCTTTTTGAGTATGCTGTGACCAGAATTTGAATATTTATTGTAACTTTGGTTTGATTATCACAGAAGAAATTGCTTACAGTGTCTCTGATTCTGTTGGGGCTTTCTACAGCCATAATACAAAATGTTCCATTTAACTATAAGTCTATAACTACATATATCTTTAAAGCAATACATCGAACTGTTTTACATCTCGGCAGCAAAAGACTTGCCACATCCACAGGTTTGTGTAGCGTTAGGGTTCGAGAAAGAGAAGCCTCCACCGATTAAAGCATCGCTGTAATCGAGCTGCATTCCGAAAAGGAAGAGCATGCTCTTCGGATCACAAACTGCAAAAAAGAAGACATATCTAAGCTTTCATTTTACAGATATAAACACTTGACTGCAAACAACAAGAGTCGGTCCAAATGACATGTGTGCAGACTCTGACACCGCAGCTAATACTAGTCTGACACATCAATGATTCAAGCTACTGACCAATCTACTTGACAACACCCAGTACAAGAACTTCATCTAATGAATGTTAACGAACAACATCAGCATTTTTCAATTAGAATGCATGCTTCAATACACCAAAGCAGACATTCATATGTAACATGGCGAGTCTACATCATCAAACAACTTACTGATCTCACTCTTGGACCTTATTGTATCAGAATGAAACGATTATCCAAACTAAACCAAGGGAAGAAACCGAAATAGTTTACCTATAGCGAATCCTTGGTATTCAATGGTAGAATCATCAGGTCTTGCGTTGGCTCTGTTCTCAAAGTCCATCGTGTAAGACATCCCGGAGCATCCTCCCTGTTTGACACCAATTCTCAAGCACAAATCTTCCCCGCGTTCTGATCTCATCTTATTCAGATGCTTTAGTGCGTTCTCCGTCAGGGATATCGCCGGCTTCAGCCCCTCCATTGCAGGTGCCACTGAGAAATTCAGAAAGCCTCAATTTTTAAAAGCAAAAAAAAAAAAAAATCTGTTTTTAACTTTTTATACTAGAAGAATCGTAAAAGCATAACGAAAAACTGCAGGAAGCGAATCAAAACAATCGATAGTTTCTGATTGTTTCTCTATAAGAAGCGAATCAAAACAATTACAACCCAGAAAAAAGGAGGAGGAAAAACGCTTATTGGATGATAAAGCTGAGTAATTTCGTGAATCAATTCGAACCTGGAACTGAAGTGGATCGAACATAGAGGCGGTTTCTCCGATTGAGACTCACAAATGATGAACGAGGAAATGAAATCGAATGACATGGAGCCACAGAACGTAAACTTGTGTTAGAGATCCTTAGCTGAAGAAGAGTTGGATTCGAAGTAGTGATTCCAGCGAACGCCATCATCCCGGAATAGAATCACCGAGCTGAGGAGGAGGAGGGATCTCTGCAGCTGGAAAACGTGTATTAGAAGAAGACGACCAAGGAAGAAAAAAAAAATCAATAGTTATTTAAGTCCACATGTTTTTTGTTTTCAGTTATGAACCCTAAAATAGATATACTTGAACATTTGAACCCTGTCTCAATCTCGAGACTATCGGGTCTTAAATTTAAACCCGATTTCGAGTTGGGTTAAACCCGAGCCTAAAGGCACGCACATAGCGCGAATGAACCAAACTTCATCTTCATCATCTTTCTCTTCTCTTCTTCTCCAATTCGCCGCATCACTCTCCTTTCTTTCTTCTTCTTCTTCATTTTCTTCCGAAAGTCGGTTGTCACAGTGCGATTTTCGCGCCTCTATGCACAGTTGAGCCGTTCTTTATGGCGTCTTCTTCCACCAGCTCTCTCTATCTCCACTCTTTCCCCAAGGTAATTCTACTAGTTAATCCGTCTTCTTTTCAGTTATACTCTAGCTTCTGATTCCATTTTCATCTTTGGAATTTGAAGGCTTCTTCCGGGTCGGGCCAATGGAGGAGTGGGTTGCGGTTCCAATTGTTGGGTGGGTCCGTTTCTAGCCACCGACTGTCTGTTTCTCCGGTGGTGTTTCTTCAGCGGAGTACGAGACTTCCGGCGATCAGGGCTTCACAAAACTCGGAGGGAGGCTCAAGGCGTAGGGCTTATAAGGAGTCACAGGCGGCTAGTGGCTTTCCTAATGCTAAAGTGCAGCAGATTGCATCTTCCGTCTTGCCCGTGGGCTCATTTGTTGTCGTCACTTTCGGTACGCAGATTTGTGTTGGCATCTAGTAATCGATGATGGAGCATAGAAAGTTTGGATTTTTTAAAGTGGACGTCTTCTTCTGTTATCATATTTTTCCCAAATCGTCGATACTAATTTGTGTATTCAGCTGACAGTTTTGTGGAAAGTGGTTGAGAAGTTGATGTCGCCAAAGTCTCCAAAGGCTTCTGCTGGAGAAAGCAAATCCTCTGCACAGGGAGTGAAATGGTCAATCGGGGCTGGTACAAATTTGTTACAGGGATTTGCTGCGAAGGTTGATAGGGAGGCCAAGCAGAGGCTTAATGAGTTTGCCAAAGAGCTCAGGTCGTTCAGAAGTGTTGACATGTCAGGTGCATTGACTGGTTTTGTTTTAAGAGATATGGTTGAGGTTCATGATATTGTATGTATTTCATTCACCTTTGAGTATTATGTTGCAGGATGCAACTTTGGAGATGAAGGACTATTCTTTCTTGCTGAAAGCCTTGGGTATAATCAGGTTATAGCCCTCCCTCTCTTTCACGTCTGTTCATTAGAGTCCTCACTTTCTTGTGTTGATTGAGTAACCATACCCATATTGTGTTTCAGACTTTAGAGGAAGTCAGTTTTTCTGCAAATGGAATTACAGCTGAAGGAGTTAAAGCCTTTGATGGTGTTCTTCAATCCAATATTATGTTGAAAGTTCTTAACCTCTCTGGAAACCCTATCGGTGATGAAGGAGCTAAGGTTAGTGGAAATACCAGCATTAAACTTCTTTTCCGGATGTCTGCTAATATCTGTAACTCTAAAAATCACACGGAGCTTATTCTCTAAGTGTACATTTCTTTCTGAGATATGGTTTCCCTTCATCTTGTCTTGTAATGACAGACTTTATGTGCTACCTTGATGGAAAATTCTACCATTGAGATACTTCAGCTGAACAGTACTGATGTAGGAGACGAGGTTTGTCTAAGTAGAAGCTATAATTTACATGAATCTCAAGCTCCTTAGTTAGCCACTATACTTTTAATTAATTTCATGCTCCAATTACTTCCAATGTTCCTGCACAGGGTGCGAAAGAAATTGCAGAGTTGTTGAAGAGAAATTCAACCTTGAGGGTGATTGAGCTAAATAATAACATGATTGACTATTCTGTAAGTTATTTCTGTTCATGTGCTGTACCTCTATATCGCGGAAATAAGCACCCAGGTTTACGAATTGATGCTGTTGCGTCTTCTCCTATTTTTTCTTTTGAAATGGAGGTAGGGATTCACAAGTCTTGGTGGAGCTCTTCTTGAGAATAATACAATAAGAAATTTGCATCTCAAGTGAGTTTATGATCGTAGATGAATGTTTTCTTTTAATCTATTTTTTATTGATATTGTCTATATTTCATATCCCTGACATACTGATTTCTGGATAATCTGTTTCAGTGGAAACTATGGCGGTGCTTTGGGTGCCAATGCTTTAGCTAAAGGGCTTGAGGGTAACAAGTCTTTACGGGTACACATACTCCTCGTGTCTCTTTCTATATATACCATTTCTATGCTAAGAGAAACATGTAATAGTTAGATGTGTTATCTTTTATGATTTCCGATGTTTTTACCAACTAGAAAACCAGTGTATTTATGTCTTCTAGAGTTTATCCGTTTAAGCCCTTGCGCATTTTACTTGCAGGAACTTCATTTGCATGGAAATTCCATTGGAGATGAAGGGACTCGTGCTTTGATGGCTGGTCTATCTTCCCACAAAGGTTTTTGTTTCAGCAGGTTCAAAAGAACACTCTTTATACGTTAAGATGAACTCTTTCTTACCTCTACTTGTGTACAGGGAAACTTGCTCTGTTAGACCTCGGTAACAACTCCATCACCGCAAAGGGTGCCTTTTATGTAGCAGAATACATCAAGAGAAGCAAGAGTTTGGTTTGGTTGAACCTGTACATGAATGATATTGGCGATGAGGTACTTTTACATAACAATGGAGCTGAATCGTGTGTGTTGATTCTTTAATTTATGTAAACCCTGTCTCTATGCTTTGTTGTCTATCTGAATGATTTTCAACGATTTCAGGGAGCTGAAAAGGTTGCAGATGCTCTGAAGCAAAACCGTTCAATTGCAACTATTGACATGGTGAGAAGTGATCATCTTCTTCCCCAGTCTCCCTGAGTTTTGTGTTACGACCAAATCTACCAATTTGGAGATGATAACGTGTTTAAATTTATTAAATAGGGTGGAAATAACATCCACGCGGAGGGAATTAATGCTATAGCTCAAGCTCTGAAAGATAATTCCATTATTACGACGGTCAGTGCGATAAAATACTTTTCATCTTTATTTCCTTGTTTACTTATAACTTGGAAGATAATGACACTGCCATTCTCATTATTTCTTCAGTTGGAAGTTGGTTACAATCCCATCGGACCCGACGGGGCTAAAGCATTATCCGAAATTCTCAAGTTCCATGGAAATGTAAAGACGCTCAAACTTGGTTGGTGCCAGGTAAAGCCTGTCCACAGTTCTGTTATCTATGAAAGAACCATTTCTTCGCAATTGCTTATTCCGTTTTATCATTGTTGGCTTTCATTACTCTGTCCTGCAGATAGCCGCTAAGGGTGCTGAATATGTTGCAGACATGTTGAGATATAACAACACGATATCGGTTTTGGACTTGCGGGCAAATGGACTTAGAGATGAGGTTCCTGCAGACAGATTTTATCAGTATTCAGCTTATTTATATATACTTGTAATATACCTACCATAATTAATTTTCATTGTGTATATGATGTGTTGTTTTCAGGGCGCTTCCTGCTTAGCTCGGAGCTTGAAAGTAGTTAATGAAGCTCTGACATCTGTGGATCTAGGATTCAATGAAATACGGGTAAAAAGAATCTACTTTGTTCATGAATACTGTGCCTTCTTTTCACCGTGTAAGCCACTCGGATCTGATTAGTGTGCTTCATATGTAGGATGATGGGGCATTCGCCATTGCTCAAGCTCTAAAGGCCAATGAAGATGTCACGGTTACATCTATAAACCTCGGGAACAACTTCATCACTAAGTTTGGACAGGTAAGAAGAACATATCTCCTTCCAGGTCCCTAGTCAAAAGATTCTGGTTACTGAGAATTTACCCTTTTGTTTTATGATCCAGAGTGCTCTCACGGACGCTAGAGACCATGTTCTTGAGATGACTGAAAAGGAAGTAGAGATTTTCTTCTAGAGAGATTACTATTGAAGCGAAGATTTGTCCCTCTGTAATTTTGCATCTTTAGTTGTTGTCGCATTAATTATGAGAGGTGTTGAATGCTTCAAGCGGAGAGATAAAAAATTGTTCTTTTTGTTGGTTTACGGTAAAGATTCAATTTTTGTTTCAGAGAAACGTTTCATGAAGTCCGGCCACGAAGTTAAGAAGACGACCACTATACGTCATCGTAACAATGTCTTTAATCCAGAGTTAATCTGGTTTTTTCACCGGTTTATCAATCCGGTTTTGGTTTGAAGAATATTTTATTGGCTGGTTTCTACTGAAGCAAAGAAAATTGAGTTGAAACCAATAGTTTATTAGCCTAAAATTGTCGTGACACAAAAAAATATATATGAAAAAACCGGTTTGGAACAAATTTATTCACGGTCTAATTTCGATTTGGTTGGTCGAAACGAGCGTAACTGGGAAGTCCTGCTTTGAAAGGGACAGCAGTTCACAAAATTCGGTAGAGCAGTGGAAAGAGGAAGAAAAATGGCGCCAAAGCGAGGGAGAAACCGGTCGCCGTCTCCGGACCCGGACGGGATGTTCGCCGGAATGGTAGTTTTTATGGTGGAAACCGGAGTCCAGCGTCGTCGATTGCAGGTTTTACTCGGGAGAAAAATTGCTTGCTTGTTGCTCGATGTTTTGCTTATACTTCATCAGCTTCGATAAATTTCCTTAGCTTCTATTTTTCTCCTCTTCTGATTGTTACATGCTCTGTCCGTTTTTCTATTTGAATGAAGATCTGGAAGCAGAAGATGGTTCAAATGGGAGCCGTGATCGAGGAAGATCGGTTAAGGAAGAAAGTCACGCATGTTCTCGCCATGAATCCCGAAGCTCTTCTCGGTAAATTTGGGAAAGAGCTTCTGTCGCATTTTAAAGGAGTGAGTTCGCTTTTCCTCTGTTCTTTCTATTTTCGTTTCAAATTTCTGCACTTTTTGTTGCTACGAAACATAACGCAATCTCTTTTATCTATCGTGTCTTGTTATGGAGTTGTCTCGAAAATTAGATTGATCATGACAAAGGAGTTCTCTTGAATTGAATTTTGAGCAAGTTGAAAGAGAGTTGAAAGTCAAAAGAAGGTTTATTTAGTTTCTCATTCACTGAATGTTCTCCTGCAGCGCCTTCTGCTTTACCAGTGGTTAGAGGATAGCCTAACTGCTGGAGAGAAGGCTAATGAAGACTTGTATGTTCTAAGAATTGACTCTGGAGAAACTGAAGAGCCGAACAAGTCTTTAAGTGGTAGTGAGGATCAAGCGTCAAGTCAAAAACGAACTAGGCATTCCCCTGATGCTGGTGATACTGTAGGCTTACAAAGCCAAAACAATACAAAAGGATCACCAGACTCACCTACGAGTTGCATTGTTCCCTCTACTAGTGACAGTCCTGGAGAAGGCATTTCAGAGACTCCCACTAGTCCACAATCAGAGGTAAGCCTAACTCACTCGTTTGCTGATGAATCTTTTTGGTTTCAAGTATAGAAGAAGCTGTGTGCTAGATATGCTCATTCAACAAGAATGCTTATTCTTCTTCTTTTGATTTATAGTCCACATCGGTGTACAAGCCACCAGATTTGAACAGAAATATCACCGAGATATTTGGGAAACTAATAAACATATATAGAGGTACGGTCCTTGGTGTTTCTTTTTATATACATACTGTCTTTAATAAGACCTTAAGTAACATAACCACTTTTTATTGTTTCAAAAGCGTTGGGTGATGATAGGCGATCCTTTAGCTATTACAAAGCTATCCCGGTCATTGAAAAGTTCCCCACGAGGATCGAAAGCGTTGATCAGATCAAACACCTCCCTGGAATTGGAAAGTCATTGACAGATCATGTGAGTGAAGAAAATGTGTTCAAATATCTGTGTATGTTTGTACGTGTGGGTGTCGTTAACTTCAATTCTTGTGGACTTCCAAGCTTTTCAGCTGCTCTAGTTTCTAAGCTCTTGTATCATTAATAGCTTCTGTATTATTGTTGTTGCACTGCATTGAGCTATAGGTTGAATTTTCTTGTGAGAGGCTTCACTGTAGATTTCGTTGGTAATCTTTTGGCAAGGACTACATAGATTCCTCTGCAAGTACCAACCTATAACCTTTATTGTGTAATTTTGTGAGAACATTACTTCATTCTTCTACCTGAGTTTGGCAGATTCAAGAGATCGTGACAACAGGGAAGTTGTCCAAGTTGGAACACTTTGAAACAGATGAGAAGGTAATTTCAAAGTCCTCATCTGAAGTCGTTCTACCATCTTTTTCCATTTTTCAGTTAGATATAATCTCAAAATGAGAGCCATTTTCTTTTCTTTCTTGTTCTGTCAAATGACCTGGAGCTAGAGAAGTCTGAGATATTTCCATCGTTAGTTGTTTACCACTTCAAATCTTTTCCTTACTATGTTTGAAGGTTCGCACAATCAGTTTGTTCGGGGAAGTTTGGGGTATCGGTCCTGCCACTGCACTCAAGCTGTATGAGAAAGGACATCGCACACTAGAAGACTTGAAGAATGAAGATTCACTAACGCATTCACAGAGGTTGGGTTTGAAATATTTTGATGATATTAGAACAAGGATTCCACGTCAGGAGGTGTGATTCTTGCACTTCAACGTAAACTTTGTTTGTCTTTTCTATCCTTGATGTAGCTTTCTCCTTCGATATTATCTCACTTTCTATGTTGTAGGTGCAAGAGATGGAACAACTTCTACAGAGAGTTGGCGAGGAAGTTTTGCCTGGTGTATGAACTTTCTAATTTATCGATTTTCTCCGTATTTGGATGTGAAAATTTTAATGGAATCCTAACAATGACATTGGGACACCGTTTTCCCGCAGGTGGATATTGTATGTGGAGGATCATATAGACGTGGGAAGGCTACTTGTGGAGATCTAGATATCGTTATCACACATCCTGATGGACAAAGGTACCTTCTTACTGCGTTAGTTTTTAAATATCTTGATTGCATCTTCTGGTTTCCACTAACAAAAGTTTACTAAAATGCGGTCTCTGCGTGTTGTCCTGACCAGTCACAAGGGATTCTTGTCAAAGTTTGTGAAGCGTTTGAAGGAAATAAACTTTCTCAGAGAAGATCTCATCTTCAGCACCCACAGTGAAGAGGTAAATTTGACAATTTTTCCAGTCTCCTCTGCATTTGGTTTGTCAATCATCTGATCTCAGACGCATTAGATGAAACTTTGTTCCTCCCAGAATGCTGTGTTACAGAAATGTCTTGTTCAATCATCGTGCAGGGTACTGATTCAGGCGTCGACACGTATTTTGGTCTCTGCACTTATCCTGGACAGGAGCTTCGGCACCGTATAGATTTCAAGGTAACACCTGCACAACTCGATCCATCACCATGATTATTGGTTCTCTTATATATTATCATGGCTTCTCAATTGATTGTTGCAAATGATGGTCAAATCATTTTCTTTAAAAATCATCTAAGAAGTGTTCTTTTGACACAGGTTTATCCGAGGGATATCTATGCATTCGGACTCATAGCATGGACAGGGAACGACGTGTTGAACAGAAGGTATGAATATGATACAACCCATATGCATATGTCAACTGTAAATATATTATTTGTTGTTAAAACATATCTTTTTATGCCATGGGAACTTTAGGCTGAGACTGCTAGCAGAATCCAAAGGTTATCGACTCGATGACACTGGACTCTTTCCTGCTACTCACAGCTCAAGTGGTAACCGGGTAAGGGAGAAAAGATAAATTAGTGATGTTTATTTATGTTTAAAGCCTCTTTATGGTTTGAAAGTGAATGAGTGATTATTTTGAAACTGATTCTTTCTCAGGGTGCTAGAGCAAGTGCAAGCCTGAAACTCTCCACGGAGAAACAAGTTTTCGATTTCTTAGGGTTTCCTTGGCTCGAGCCACACGAGAGGAATCTTTAGCTAGTTTGTTTGACTAATGCTCTTTTGTGACTTGTAATCCCTTCTTTTTGTAATTGCAATGTTACAGTACTGTGTTACTAAGGAAAACCCGAAAAAGAAATGTTAACTTTTAATTTTGGCTTTTTTCTAAATTAACTAATTACACGTGTCAGAAGGAGTTAGTCAGTGGGGAAAATAATAAAGTCCCACATCGGATACATGGAGAAAACATAAGCTGTTTATATAGGGCGAGAAAGCATCAGTGGTTACGACCTTACTTGAACAGGATCTGTTCTATAGGCTCGTACCTCTGTATCCTTGATTTCTAAGGAGACAGGCCCTCAAACCTGGTTGATGAACTCTGGCCGTGCGATCTGAGTGTGATTAACGGCTGCGTTTCTCTCTGAGTTTCCGAGCTGTAGAGGATCGCTACTTAGTTCGGTCTTGACCGAGCTAGGGTGGTCGCACGGTTGTTTGACAGGTTCCTTTTTTTTTTTTTTCACTTGTGGCCTCAAAACTCTTAATTTCTTATATTTTCCCTCAGTTCTTTTCTATTTTCTGATTTCACCCTCTAACTTTTTTCACTTACGAAATGAAACCTGTCAGACAACCGTGCGACCACCCTAGCTCGGTCAAGACCGGACTAAGTAGCGATCCTCTACAGCTCGGAAACTCAGAGAGAAACGCAGCCGTTAATCACACTCAGATGAACCTGGTTGATGAACTCTGGCCGTGCGATCTGAGTGTGATTAACGGCTGCGTTTCTCTCTGAGTTTCCGAGCTGTAGAGGATCGCTACTTAGTCCGGTCTTGACCGAGCTAGGGTGGTCGCACGGTTGTCTGACAGGTTCCTTTTTTTTTTTTTTTCACTTGTGGCCTCAAAACTCTTAATTTCTTATATTTTCCCCCAGTTCTTTTCTATTTTCTGATTTCACCCTCTAACTTTTTTCACTTACGAAATGAAACCTGGCCGTGCGATCTGAGTGTGATTAACGGCTGCGTTTCTCTCTGAGTTTCCGAGCTGTAGAGGATCGCTACTTAGTCCGGTCTTGACCGAGCTAGGGTGGTCGCACGGTTGTCTGACAGGTTCCTTTTTTTTTTTTTTTTCACTTGTGGCCTCAAAACTCTTAATTTCTTATATTTTCCCCCAGTTCTTTTCTATTTTCTGATTTCACCTTCTAACTTTTTTCACTTACGAAATGAAACCTGGCCGTGCGATCTGAGTGTGATTAACGGCTGCGTTTCTCTCTGAGTTTCCGAGCTGTAGAGGATCGCTACTTAGTCCGGTCTTGACCGAGCTAGGGTGGTCGCACGGTTGTCTGACAGGTTCCTTTTTTTTTTTTTTTCACTTGTGGCCTCAAAACTCTTAATTTCTTATATTTTCCCCCAGTTCTTTTCTATTTTCTGATTTCACCCTCTAACTTTTTTCACTTACGAAATGAAACCTGGCCGTGCGATCTGAGTGTGATTAACGGCTGCGTTTCTCTCTGAGTTTCCGAGCTGTAGAGGATCGCTACTTAGTCCGGTCTTGACCGAGCTAGGGTGGTCGCACGGTTGTCTGACAGGTTCCTTTTTTTTTTTTTTTTCACTTGTGGCCTCAAAACTCTTAATTTCTTATATTTTCCCCCAGTTCTTTTCTATTTTCTGATTTCACCCTCTAACTTTTTTCACTTACGAAATGAAACCTGGCCGTGCGATCTGAGTGTGATTAACGGCTGCGTTTCTCTCTGAGTTTCCGAGCTGTAGAGGATCGCTACTTAGTCCGGTCTTGACCGAGCTAGGGTGGTCGCACGGTTGTCTGACAGGTTCCTTTTTTTTTTTTTTTTCACTTGTGGCCTCAAAACTCTTAATTTCTTATATTTTCCCCCAGTTCTTTTCTATTTTCTGATTTCACCCTCTAACTTTTTTCACTTACGAAATGAAACCTGGCCGTGCGATCTGAGTGTGATTAACGGCTGCGTTTCTCTCTGAGTTTCCGAGCTGTAGAGGATCGCTACTTAGTCCGGTCTTGACCGAGCTAGGGTGGTCGCACGGTTGTCTGACAGGTTCCTTTTTTTTTTTTTTTCACACTTGTGGCCTCAAAACTCTTAATTTCTTATATTTTCCCCCAGTTCTTTTCTATTTTCTGATTTCACCCTCTAACTTTTTTCACTTACGAAATGAAACCTCGCTAAAACCCTCAGCTTTTTTTGTAATGCCTAAACAGACGTTGCAGAGAAAAAGGATAAGGTTGTAAGAGTGAAGCGAAGAACCCTGCTAATGGCTTCTTTACACGAAGCTCTTTTCTCTCCTCGGCTTCAATTCCATTCAACTTCTTCTCCGTCACTTCGTTGTGCTCTTCCGATTTTCTCCAATCTCTCTTCACCAGGCACGAGTTCCTGCGCAATCAAATCGACCCAGTTTCTCAAGCTCCGTTCAAGTACCAAATTGACGGAATTTTCTCTTTCTTCCCTTTCCCGGAGAGAGTTTGTCTGCAGAGCTTCCGAGTATAAGTTTCCGGATCCCATACCCGAATTCGCCGAAGCTGTGAGCTGATTTCCTCCACTCCTTCTTTTTGTTGTTATGGATGAATGAGCTTAATTTGATGGGTGGTGATACAGGAGACTGAGAAATTTAGGGACCATATGCTAAAGAAACTATCCAAGAGGGATCTTTTTGAAGACTCTGTTGATGAAATTGTCGGAATCTGCACTGAGGTATCAAAAATGTTCTCACTTTCACACATGTCTATGTAAAATTATCTTGAATTGTGGTTTTTTTTTTCCTCTCCTTTTTGTTGAAACCCACTTGAGGAAATCAAATTTGGTGAACTATTTCTGAAATGTGACCATCATATAAGCACATAGAATAAATGGCATGGCAGTAAATAATCGTCTAGTGTTTAACAAATTTGAGGTTTTTTAGATCATCCAATAATTGTATTACTGTCAAATGAAAATGGTCTTTGCACTGATGTGGTTTTCGGTTTGAGATCTTTCCCAAGATGTTTTGGTCTTAGTAATAATCCGCAAAAGAGTCTTGTTGAGAGATATCATTGAAATGTGAATTTTGGTTTTAATAAAAAGCTATTGGCTTCTTGGCAAAAACTTTAACAGTTATCGATTGGGGGGCATTGTGAATGTTGACAGATATTCGAGACGTTCTTGCGCAGTGAGTATGGAGGACCTGGAACACTCTTAGTCATACCCTTCATCGACATGGCAGATACTCTCAATGAAAGGGAGTTGCCTGGAGGCCCACAAGCCGCACGAGCAGCTATTAAATGGGCTCAGGATCATGTTGACAAGGACTGGAAGGAATGGACCGGTACTGATTAGTAACACCGCCCCAAAATATAACCCGTCCATGTATCACAAGTGTGTCATTGTAAAACTCTGAGTTTTGAGGTATTGGTATTTTGTAGGCTCTGTTCTTCCCGGTGATTCTTGTATGTTCGAATAGATTCTTCATATGTTCCAAATAAGAACTGGAAATACTTCAGATGTGTTAGTTTTGTTGATTCAAGAATAAGATGTTTGTGAAACCAGTTAGATATTTGATCAAAAAGTCAAAAACCTTTTGGTGTATTTGATCTGTTTGCATCAACAAATGAAAACGCACTTTGGTCTTACAAACTCCCATCTATCTCTCTATCTGCGAAAATATATACATCGAAGATAGAGGAAAAAAAAGAAAGAAGCTTTGCTCTTCGTGGTTTCCTTGAGCTTTCTCTGTTTCTCTTCACATCTTGATTCAGATCCTCTGTTATAACCAGGAAGAAAAAAAGAGGAAGAGAACCAAAATTTATTCAGTAGAGTTTCGGATCAGGTTATCCAGATAATGTTTCTCGTCCCTGGAACAAAATCCAAAAGATTCAGCTCGTAGCTTCGGAGATGCTCTGAAGAGAGGGCTTCCATGTTTTAGACTTTAAGGAAGAAGTTGAACTCGTTAACACACGAAGCTGCTTCCCTTGTTTCTTCTCCTGCCAAAAAAAAAAACACAAGACCCATTAACTTTATTTTGTCTAAACTCTCTAAATTTTTTAGACGAATAAGCTCAAAGTTTTCTGCGTTACAATTCAAAAAACAGAGTAAAGATAGATCTTTTAGCAAAAAGCCATGCAAGACTTTTTCTGGTTTGTTAAAAGAAAAACGATTTTTTAAACTTTTTAGCCAAACCCATGTCTTCAAAATCCATCAGTTATGAATCTACCGGAACTTTCTTCTCCGACAACTTCTTCACCGTCGTCTCAGTGTGGTGCTTCTTCGTCTTCGCGCATTTCTTCTCCCTTAAGACCTTCATCACTTCTGCAAAATCACAATAACCATAAATAGTTATAAGTTTCCAATCACAAGATGGGAAAAACACAGAAGACGATAGAAGTAAAACAAAAGGCGAACCTTGTGAAGTAATGAGCCGGTAAGCGTGGCCAAGCACAAGATTCTCCGTCGGCCGGAGAAGCTGGACACGTGTAAACCTCACAGTCTTCCTCTGTTTCTTATCCTCTCTCTTCACCGTCGCCGGAATATTCTTCTCTTCCTCCTCCGTCAAAGGAATGATGAGAGAGACGTAGTGGCCAGGATGCATACCCATGATCTCGCTGACGGATATAGAGCCATAGTACCTGTCGATTTTGCCGCCGGGATGCTGTAGAACCAGCGCCGCCGCGTTTACCGCCTGACAATTCCCCATGTCAGAGGAAAAAAAAAGTTTAAACTTTTCTGATGATTTAAGAAGAAAAAAAGAAGGGGAAAAAAAACAGAGTAGAAAGGAGAGACTCTGTGGAAAAAAAAAAGAAAGAAAGAGGTATGCTTATTTTTCGGCGACGGTAGGTCCACACACACTCTACTCTCACTTTAGCTTTACTTATAAACATGTGAAATCCCAATTTTATATTATGGTACTATCGTTATAATATTTTATATCTGAGCTTAATCAGATGGTAATTTATTATTATGGATTATGGTTATGTAGATTGGACTGTCACTGCCATCCAAATATGGGCCATAAACTATGTTTATTGAGAGTTATGTGATGTACTTTTATTTTGGGAAGAGAATAGGAATAGTATGGTCGGAATTTAAAAATTGATTAGAATAGACAGGTGTCGGCACCGAGATAAGGGAGATGAGATGACTAGACTAAGATACAGATCAACTACAGTATTATGGTTTGTCATTATTTTTATTTAGTTATCGTTTAAAATAATGTTTTCTCGTTTATAACAGAATCAAAATTAACTACATGCTAACATATGTGAATGTATGATGATAAATAGTTGATATGGGAAAATTCGCCATTGTCCATTTATATCAAAGACATCCTTAACATGCAGAAAGGGACTTACAAGTATAAATTTATGAAAGTTCCTAGAAAGGTAATCACCATAGCTGACCGTCTAGCTCGCTCTTGTAACACTAGTTATATCGTACAATGGTTGTAATATATATCTGGCTGTAATATATTCTATTTTAATAATAAAATGGTTGACAAAAAAAAAAAAGTTTCGCATACAATTTTATAAAAAAACAGTTCTCTTTTCTACCGTTAAAAGGTAGAGAAAAAGAGTTTTGAAATCAAATCCTAAACCTGGTACGAAACGATTACATATTTGACCAAAGCGTTTGAAAGGACTTGGTTTGTGATTTGTTTCAAAGAAAACATTAAAAATATTAAAACTAAACGTAATCAAGACTTTTGTTTTCTCTTTTGCAAGATCCAATGAATTTCCACTGCGTATTTTTTTTTTTCTCTCTACCAACTCCATCATTCATTGATGTGTAAAGCCAATTCATTCGTAAACGCTCAATTTTTATTTCGTTGCGTTTTGTCGAATATTTCTCTTGTTAATTTTCTTCTCTTATATATACCCTGACATCAATTTTTCGAAGGACAAAATAACATGGGAGCACCTAAATCACTGAAACCTATGATTGGCAGCTATAAATCTTCTTACAACCTGCTCAAGTCTATATACTCCATGTCTTCAAAAGTGAAAAGTTCAAGAAATTATTATGTAATACTGTAATAGTTATATAGTTAGGTACATTACTGATCATATTTTTGATGTTATTAACCAACGTGCAAACCTAAAAGTATGTATTATACAAATCACTCTATGCGGCAGCAAAAAAGAAACTAATCAAGAATTAAGATTGTGAATTATGTCCTTTGGTTTCCTATTAGGGCCAACATTCACTGTCATTTTGTTTAATAATGGTATAAACAACATCGTAAATTTAAATAATACCTTTTCGTTTAACACAAACAAAACCAGCTAACTAGTAAATAAAACAATAAGAGTACGTAGTTACTAATAAGTAGCAAATCGATGAATATATCTAAAACACTTCGGAATTAATCCCTAATATCTTAGTTTTGTAGTAATTAGTACTACTGAACTTCGTTCACATGCATGAACATGAATCTAATAAAAAGGCGAGATATTGTTAATTTTCGTCGAAGTTAATATTGTAAAGGAAAATGCACATCATTCTCGGAATTCAAGCAATAGATGATGATCATTGTAAATTGTAATACTTTGGAAACTGGTGCGTGTGTTAAAATCTAATGATGGATGAAAGTGAATCTAATGGAGCGCTTAGTACATGTTCTTAACATCCTTGAAACAAACTCAACGCCTATTCTTTGAGGACACAAGTAAAAATTAGATGTGAGACACTAAACCGATAAGAAAAACCGCCTTTTCTTGAAGTGTATTACGTCGTTTATATTATCAGTGAGAAGGGAAGTAATTGCTGAGATTGAAAGGCAAAGAGTAGAACTCTTCGCTTCTGTTATCTGATTTGAACGATCTAAATCGTTTCCACCATATGGTTCCTCGATCTTTCTCCGTTGTATTGTCCTTTGGAGGCAATGTCATGTCTAGAAAAAACGCCAAAACCCCGGAAACAAAGGCTCTAGACGAGAAAGGAACGTTGATCGTATTGTTGAACTGCCGGAAGAAAAAAAAAACAGAACAAGTTTAGCTTTTAGTTTACTTTATCCGATGATAAAAAAAGATGCGTTTTAATTAGTAGTGTTTTGTACCCATGTTGCGTTTGTGCGAACGGGACCATAATCTTGTGAAGTTGTGTACTGGTAGAAGTATTGAGGTATTGATAAGCCCATGAAGATGGAGAATCCAAGAATGAACTTTGTTCTGAAACTGTTTAGATTGCAGAACTGGAGTAGACTTAGACCACCAGCACCTGACAGTTTTTTTTTTCCGGTGTTCATTGTGTCATTCCAAAAAGAAAATATCCAAAAAATATTCAGTTTCAAGAAACGTACCAACGTATGCAAAGAGTAGACAGTAAAGAGCTGCGACGATAGGAGCTGGAATCGAAGCAAAGATGGCCCCAAATTTACCTGTAATATGAATCAAGTGACATATATAGTAGTAGCTTCAGAGTAGTAATACTTATTAATTACGAGAGAAGGAAAAAACGTGGTAAAGAAGCAAGAGAATGACCAAGAATGGAGCAGAAGATCATGAACACTGCTGAGATTTGAACTACCCTTCTGTTACCAACTCGTGTCACCGCCAACAAACCGGCGTTCTCCCTACAAGGAAAGGCTTTCTAATACAACGATTCTTGTTCTCAATCAAATAAGAAAATTCTAGTCTGTTTCTTGAGTCTTGGAGGTAAAGCTGTGCTTACACAGATACGGATGTGGCGTTTCCTGCTCCAAAGAATCCACAGAGAAGAATTCCAAAGCCCTTGAAACAGAGAACCACATTAGCATTGAGACAATGTTTCCAAAATTCTTAATAGAGAGAATGATTTGTGTTTGTTATTTACCTGCCAACAGATTCCACGGCTAAGTACAGAAGGTGGGATTGGCGTTGCACTTGCATACCTCGATACAGCTATGTATGTCCCTGTGGACTGTTGGTTCCATTGATCACAACATGAATCAAACACATGAACATATATATATGTCTCAAGTTTTATTCAACAAAAGGCGAGAGAGATTTTAGAGTTAGACCTCGACAAGAGAGACAAAAGAAGCAGCCATCATAGCGAATACCTCCCCTGCATTAAAAGTTGGATGTCCCCATTGAAAAGGGTAAGGCACTCTAATCCTGCATCAACAAGCATAGCATTTTTTTTTAAAAAAAATTGGTCTTGATAACAAAAAAGATATAAGTTTTAGATAATAAACTTGAATCTATACCATGGAGCGTTGCTAATGAGGCCAGCACGATCAGTTCTGCAACTAAGTTGAGTATTGAGTCCTGCGTTACTATAAGCCCCACTTAAGGTGATAACTATTGCGATGATCCAGACAATCGCCACTGAGAATATAACTGCAAAGCGGTGGAAGAAGATGGAGTATCTTTCTCCTTGCAGCAGATGAGGAATGTACTGCACACAACAGAATGGTAAAAACCAGCTTTGGTAACAATACTGAAAATGACGTTTTTTACAGTGAAGTGAAGAGCAATAACCTGAGAGAATGTGACAAGTAGTATGATCTCAAGCAGTCCAATCTCAATGCATTTTGCTAGCTGTAATGGGCAGAACACAAAAAATCAGGGTTTTAAAGTAAAAAACTATCCAAGAGAAGGGGTTCTAGAGATCAGAATATGTACACACCAGAGGGAATCCTTGTTCATAGAGTCCAAAGCCAGCAAACGCCACAAGAGGTACCGCAGATAAGGGACTCAAACACCTAAAACATTTAAGACCCCAAAACGCCATCATCATTAGGAAACAGAGGATTCTCTCTGCTTTATATGTGTATATGGATTTTTCTAACCTTGCTACATTGCGCCAAAGGCCGCTGACACCAACAAGGATCTGGAGTAACGAGGAAATAATAAGCGCTCCTTGGATTCCACACATGATCTTCTCAAATTTCTGCATTTTTTACTGAGTTCAACTTTTTACCAAATTTACACAGACACCATATAAAGGTGTGGTTTTTATCTTCTTTTACCAACCTCCTGAGGATCAAGAATGTCACTGTACCGAGAAGCCAAGATGATTGAAAATGTGGTGGGCACATAAGAGTAAGAAGCTCCAATGACAGCGGGAAGACGAGTCCCAAAGAAGCTTTGTAATAACGTGTTGAGTCCAGACACAAAGAGCAATGTCTGAATCAGCTTGACCTTGTCTTCCTGCGTTTGAGTCCAAAAACCAAACACAACATTTTTTATAGACCAGAGAGACTTAGATTATTGTAACAACTTTCTGCAAAATACTTACGTTTCGTCCATCAATCTTTGAAACTAACATAGTGGGAATGAGAACGGTCGTTCCAAGCATCACCAAGTAGTGTTGAAACCCTAGAAGTATTGTCTCCGCTGATCCAAGAGAGAAAAAGAAAAAAAAGTTCAAAACTTTTAATAATCTTTAGTGGTTATATTAAATCACAGATTTTTTTATTAGTAAAATATGACAAGAGCTTACGCCAAGGAGGAGGGCTTGTGAGGCAATAAGTGATGCCGGAAAGTTGATCCTTGACCGGATGAGGCTGAAGATCGTCCTGTTTGTGCGGCGCCACTGCATTTTCTCCGCCACCACTTGCCATTTTTTATATCCTTCCTTCTCCCGGTGAAAACTCGAAAAAGGGTCCAAAAACTCAAGAGAAGAACATAAAGATGGAAGGTTTTTCAAAGAAATTTTGGGAAAAAAATGAAAAGCTAAAGAAATTGAAAGTGAGAAAAGATTGATGATAGGGAAGAGGGAGTGAGAGATGACATAAATGTATTAAAAAAAACGTTTAAAGAAAAGAAAAAGTTGAGAGTCTTGTGAGTTTACGTTACAGAAGAAACAATCTACTTGAGGAAACCTAAAGAAGCCAAAGCCATGACAAAACCCAAACTAAGGGAAGAGGGAGAGCGTTACATTACTTTTATACCCCTCCCAAAAAAAAGAGCGTGTGACTAGTGGTTAATTAAGCTAATTAAGAATGTATCCTTGGAAAATATTAAGCTAATTAAAAATGTATCCTAGGAAAATAACCACTAGTCAAACTAAACAGTAGCAGCATGACAGATGTTATTAAATGCAAAAGGAAAAAGCTACTAGTTTTCATGACCCTATACTAAACTTTAATACCATTTATGAATAAATCAAATAGCTAAAAACAAGTCTCGCCTTATTCCTCTTACTTCACGTTTTACCTATTTCGAATTACGTCAAAGCGTATATACATAACAACAAAGGAGTCAAAGTCGATTCTTACGAATGAGATAAGAGAGTGAAACCTTTTGGTTCTTTAAGTGGAAATTGGCTTGGCTGTACGTAAGCAATAAAAGCATTTTCAATGTAAAATGTAGTACGTGCTTCTCCAATCTTCTTCACCTTTGGAAATTAGAATTAAATGTTTGAATGCATAATTGAACTAAGAAACTCAAATTTTTTAACAAGATGTCCAAAACACTTGTATCTAATCAAACAAAAGTGCATTAGCCTGTTAACTAGATTACAATATCTAAAATTAGACGAACAAATACTTTAGTTTAGTATTTTCATCAACTTCTATTTGATCACTTCATTCATCTTTTGTCGCAGTGACCGTTTGATTAAGTCTGTTGAGCTGACAACTTTATTCTATATATATATATATATATATAAGTATAACATACAATGTAAGAAATATCAAAAGAAGAAAATAAACAAGGAAAACAAAAATTCACTTTCAAATTCAAAGGCTACGTTATCCTAAGTAAAAATTATATTATTAAGTGTATACTGATATTGTTTTAATAAAAAATAAAAAAAATAAAAAAAAATTTCAGCTGCACTCAGCACTCAGCAGGCATGACTTTGTATCTCGACTTATCGCTACAATAAGAATAGAACATTAGCTTTCTCCGAGCCCAATCCATGGCTGTGATCTGATTCTTCGACAACGTGGCAAAATCCTGACCGTCAACAGGGTCCAGACTCGAAATCGACCCGCCTGATTTGGTACATGGCCCGGACCCAGTAGAAGATCCGTTATTATTAACGGAGCAGCCGCTTAACTCCACGTCAGCAACGGAAGCCACGAAAGGGCCGTACTTGTAGTTGACGGGGTACTTACCGCCGTGAGTGGCCCACTCTGAACCGTCCCAAACGGTGGCGTATAGAGACATCGCCTTAGACGGATACGCGCTCATGAAGGCTCCCCGGTTCGGAAATTGTCTAACCGGTATGTTGTCTACCAAAAACCTGTAAATCCACACCGGTTCGGTTAAGCTAATATTCTATTGGTGGACATATAAAATTTATTGAATTCCTGAATAATTTATTTCTTTCAGTCCTAAAAGAAATATTGGATTCACGAATAGAAATATTTAGCTGTAAGTAATAGATATAAATAAAAAAATTCCTAAATACAATGTTGGATTAATCAGAATCTTAATTTTGTATCTTTAGTAGATGACAAATGCTCATTTCAATAATAAGTGTTATATAACAATTCAAACAATAATACAGAAAAGGACATTCTAGATTTCTAGTAACCCCATGAAGCATTGCCATAGGATTCATGAACCTATATAAATGTCGTTCATTGTCTTGACTTTTCTTGGCCATATAACTTTTCCTTTTATTTCATCAACTATATTCGTACTGTGAATAAGTATTAAGAAAAGAAGAATAAGAAGATCAAATATAGTAAAGAGTGTGACTTACACAATATGGTGGGAGTTCCAAATGAGGGTATAGTCGTGAAAGGATTGAGTTGGATCAAACCAAAAATAGAACTTCTCTTCTCTTCCCGTTTTCAAACTTCCATTTGCATACACATTCGTCTGTATCACCCAATCGTCTCTTCTACTTCTACCCAACAACTCTATATCTATCTCGTCGTGGTTTTTCGGATAGCTCTCTGCGTTTGACAACTGCATTTCGAATTATATATATTAGTATAAAACTATATTTGATCATCTAACATTTGTCATCTGTAACGGTATATCCGTATATGCGTTACTAAACTATATACATATGTCTAGAGATTTATCTGAATTTAGTATCTAAGAGACACCAAGACATGATATACTTACATAGAAAGCAACCACAACACCAGAGGCAAATCCAGCAGGAAGCTTGAGTCTTGCACTGAAGAAACCATAGTGATACTTGTTCTTTGTAACCAACCCAGCTCCTACAAATATTTGATTTATGGTGTCAATATTCAAATTCTTGGACGATATGACTCATATCATATGGCTGCTATACGAGTCTAAGCATTTATGATCTTTCTATTTGCTATCTAACAAAAATTGTACGTATGTATTAAAAAGTATATGGGACAGTAATTTATTTCACCTGTTCTGTGACCCAAATAATTTAATGATGTTTTCATATGCTATATTATTATTATAAGGAGCTTATCAAAAATCTATATTAAAAAAGAAGAAACAGAGGAAACTAAAAATAGAACAGAAGTGTGTAAAGCTTTATTACCAGAGGATTTGTCGAGAGTGAGTTTGGCAAGAGAGCCATTGACGAGAATATTGGGAGCTCCGAAACGTTTGAAGAAGCCTTTTTCAATGGCGATCTTACTGAATTGATCCGTGAGGCGTGTCACGTTTGGTGTCGTGAATTTTCTGCTGTGTGAAGAAACCAAAGACAATGAACACAGACAAAACACAACTGCTGTTTCCCACAGAACCTGCTTGTTGTGCTTCTTCAAAGACACCATTTTTGCTTCTATCTCTGATACTTTGATTACTGTTTGGTGTGTGTTATGTATAAAATGTTTGCCTGTGTATGAATATATATAGAGAGCTGATGTGTGACAGTGGGAGGGGTAAATTGGGTATTTGTGAAAATGAGTTGTACATAAGCTGGCTCATTTTAACCTCTGTTCTGATCTTCATAAGTAAAGAATCCACCATCATGGAGTTTTTGTCTTGTTACTGAAGAATGTTCGTAAACAAATGTCTTAATATATTAAAAAAGTTTAAGAAAATCTAATATAAAAAGAATTCATGTGACGTGATGACGTTAGCTCCGTTGAAGAGCTCTTATCTGATTAGTAAATTTGGGGTGTTTTTTTCAATGATCATATTCACCATTTGGGTCACATTTCTGCTGGGTAAAACAAAATTAATGTGGAATTAAATAATTTTATTAACAATTATATAATATATACAGTATAACCATTCAAGACTATATATATTTTATAAACATATTTTTTTGTAATATTCAGTATATTTTTTATCACGACTTATGAAACTAAATTTGTTTAATTAGCATTGATCGTTTACAAATATTCAGAATCCAGATTATAAGTGCATAATGACAAAAAGAAAACACTGAATTAATTGATGCACAGCACATGTCAGACTAATACACATTTTCTATCATATTTTAAAAACAGTTTGAAACATATGCATGTGGGCGATTCTGTTTCCTCTTTCATTGAACTACAATGCAGTTCTGTTTGATTTGATACAATTAAGTTTTGCTAATTGGTTATCAGGTTAAACATCACTATAAAGTATAAACACACACACACACAATAACGTGTACTACGACTTCAAGATGAAATGGGCATGATACTGCTATACCATGCTTTGACTTATCTTTCCTCTTTTGCTACTTCTTGGCGTTATTTCCTTTTTCTCTCTAAAGAATAATTATTTTGATACACTTTTGTCTTTCTTATTATCTTTGTTATTATGAAAACTGCATTAGAACACTTTTTAACACACCGAATACATTTTTGGAGTTATTTGATAGAGTATTCTAAAGTATTTGATTCATAAACTAAATAAGTTGATGATCTGGTTCAAAAAAATATAAGTTGACGACGATGATCATTAACTATAAGTCAACCAACAAAACTGTAAGTCACTATTTCAAAATAAATCGAGGATTCTGAATATATGTAAATGGTCCATGAATAGTAAACATTAATATTTCCGAGTATATTAATTCTCATAAGTCTCTCTAGTGGTATTTTACTCTTGTAGTCATTTTTCGGAATAATTAATATTCTACACGTTGATATTTGTTGCTGTTGTTATCTATGCCGGTGTATAAAACAAAAACTCTTGCGAAACAATTCGATAACAAATGAATATAATGTGTTATATAAATAAATTTAACAGAAGAAAAGAAGAGGGGAGGAGAAAAGACAAGAGAGTTTATGATGTAAACATATACAAGTTGATATGCAAATGCAATTCAATACAGCAATACTCAAGCTGGCAATTTACGGATTGGTTCATAATCAAACCTTAACCAACCAATCAAATCTGCAATATCAGCATTTCATTTATAAATTAAAATATATTAAGGTCTTATTATCTTTGTTTTTTTCTTGATTTTATTCTTATTATCATTGGTGTAGAGTATAATTTAAATTCGGCGCGCAACATCACGTATCCTCTCAACTTGATCATGTCACCCTAACTAACTTCACAACACACAATCATACTTTTATATATATGTATATAGAGATTACGAGATCTATATCATTATTGAAAATAATTACTAGTTTATATATACAAAGATTCGAATAAATACTTTTATTGTGTTTAGATGAAATCCTTCTTATTTTGTCCTAAAGGAAAATATGAAATCATAATTGGGCCGAACCATTTTAACACGTAGGACTTGAGAGCTTGCTGCCCTTTCTCTCTCTTGAGTCCAATTACATCTTTCATTAGGGCAGCGTTTTTAAAGCTTGCTTGATTTAATTTCGGGAATCTTAATTATTCAAACCATCCGATTTCTTAGTTTTCAAAGAAAAGGCAATTTTCCTTTTTACCAATTACGTTTTTTTAGCTATAAATATTTCATCATTTTAATTGAGTTCTTCTTCCGAGAGCTAATTTCAGCTTTTTTTTTTGCTTTTAATCACAAAATCCACCCCATTCGCTAGGGTTTGAAAAAGGGGAATAGAAGAGTAGATTTTGAAATCATGGGTGAAGCTACTAAACCTAGCCTGCTCGTACAAGCAACTAAGCTCAAGCGAGATGTACCCAATCTCAGTGCTACGGAGCAAATCCTTTTACAAGAGAAGGAGATGATGGAGCATTTATCTGATAAGAAGACGCTCATGTCTGTTCGTGAATTGGCCAAAGGTATCGCTTACACAGAGCCTCTGTTTACAGGGTGGAGACCGCCTCTGCACATTAGGAAGATGTCGAGCAAACACATGGATTTGATCAGGAAGCAATGTCATATTATAGTTAACGGCGAAGACATTCCTCCTCCGATCAACACCTTCGAGGATATGAAGTTTCCGAGACCTATTCTCGATACGCTCAAGGAGAAAGGAATATCGCAGCCGACTCCTATCCAAGCTCAGGGTCTTCCTGTGGTTTTGTCAGGGAGAGATATGATCGGTATTGCCTTCACCGGCTCGGGAAAGACGCTGGCTTTCGTGCTTCCCATGATCATGATAGCTCTGCAGGAGGAGACGATGATGCCTATCGCTCCTGGAGAAGGTCCTGTAGCGCTTATCCTCTGTCCCTCTAGAGAGCTCGCTACGCAGACTCACGAAGTGGTTCAACAGTTTGTGGCTCCTTTAGTTGACGCTGGATACCCGCAAGTGAGGTCGTTGCTATGCATCGGAGGAGTGGATATGAGGTCACAGCTTGAGGTTGTGAAGAGAGGTGTTCACATCGTTGTTGCAACCCCTGGGAGGTTGAAGGATCTGCTCGCCAAGAAAAAGATGAGCTTGGATGCTTGCAGGTACCTGACGTTGGATGAAGCGGACAGGTTGGTTGATTTGGGTTTCGAAGATGACATTAGACAAGTCTTTGACCACTTCAAGTCTCAGCGTCAAACGCTTCTCTTCTCTGCCACAATGCCTGCAAATATCCAAATCTTTGCCACGAGCGCTCTGGTGAAACCTGTGACTGTTAACGTAGGGAGAGCTGGAGCTGCGAGTCTCGACGTCATCCAGGAGGCTGAATACGTCAAACAAGAAGCAAAGACTGTTTACCTCCTCGAGTGCCTGCAGAAAAACTCTCCACCGGTTTTAATATTCTGTGAGAACAAAGCTGATGTCGATGGTGTTCACGAGTACTTGTTGCTCAAAGGAGTGGAAGCAGTGGCCATCCATGGAGGCAAAGATCAAGAAGACAGAGAGTACGCGATCTCTTCGTTTAAAGCTGGTGAAAAAGACGTCTTGGTCGCGACCGATGTTGCTTCGAAGGGTTTAGACTTCCCCGATATACAACACGTGATCAACTACGACATGCCTGCGGAGATTGAGAACTACGTGCACAGGATAGGAAGAACAGGTCGGTGTGGGAAAACTGGGGTAGCAACTACGTTTATAAACAAGAACCAAAGCGAGACCACGCTGCTCGATATGAAACACTTGTTGCAAGAAGCTAAACAGAGGATTCCGCCTGTCCTTGAAGAGCTGAATGATCCAATGGAAGATGCGGAGACCATTGCTAATGCAGGTGGTGTCAAGGGTTGTGCTTATTGTGGCGGTCTCGGACATCGTATTGGAGACTGTCCAAAACTGGAGAACCAAAAGAGTGTGGCTATATCTAACTCTAGAAGAGACTATTTTGGCTCTGGTGGATACAGGGGAGAGATGTAGACTTGTTTCAAGGTTCGTGTTCCAGTCTTGTTTCGATCCGTTTTTGCAAGTTCTGGCTGTTACCGAATTGAGATTTCTTTGCTTCATCTTGTCCTTCTACTTTTAACTTGTCATCTGTATATTTTTGAAGAGGAAACTCAAGTCTAGTGATTCTGGTACTCTTGAGTGTTTTAAAGGATTACCAAAAAAAAAAAGTAAAGTATTTATGTTAATAATTTAAAATTATTCTATTTCTTTTACATAAAAGGTTTAGTAAAATATTAGCTCAGGTAGATTTTGATTATCTAAAGAGTATTACAAACTCGACTAAAAAGCTAAGTTTTAAGAAATGGACATCTAGTATATTCATTCAAGTAAAAATGCAAACATTTGAGTAGCTTTACATTCTTATAAAAAAAAAAATAGTCATCCACGTTATCTATTAATCCGTTGTTTTAGTTTTTGATTTATTATGTTTTTTGGGTATTAACTAGTACTATTAATTTTAAATCATCAAATTTTAAATCATCAAACTTTTTTTCGAAAGCCCGTATTTTTTATATATATTTACATTAGAAGATCATAGAAAAACAATGTAACAGTATAACCTGAGGAATTTCAAACAAAAACAAGAAGTGAAAGAAGGATTTTTTATTGATGAGGAGATGAAGAGGCAAAAGGTAATCGAGTTAGATCGTGTGGAAACGAAGGGTTTCAACATAGACTGGGAGAATGTCTTGGTCGATGAGGAAGTGCCGGAGTTGGAGATCAACGGCAGTGACGACAAAACTCCGCCGCCTGAGCCGACTCTCTCCAGCGATGATTCCTCCCTCTGCCTGCGATTTCTCAAGGATAGCGAACTCGATGATCAGCTGAAGCGTCAGAGAACGCTTCTTTCTGCTTTCAGTGAGAAGTTACCAGACAAGGGCCACCGAATCCGCACAAAAATCGGAAACCTCGAGTACGAGAAGCAGCGAAGGATGTTCTGCCGCACGAAACCGGTTTGTCTTCATGTGTAAACTGTTTTCGACTTTTTTTTTTGGGAACATTGGGAAGGAATGTGAAGAGGGCAATAGTTGACTGTGTCTAAAAAATGAAAGTTTTTGGGATTTCCATTAGGTTAAGGCTTTTGTGGAACATGAAGCAGAGACAAACGGTGAACCCGAGAATGATGATGGATCAGCAAAAGGCGACTCTTGTGCTGAAAAGCTACCTTATGAAAAAGTTGACAAACTTACGGAGAAGAACGAGGCTGGTGGGAAGGAGAGTGAGGGAGATGGTGCTGATGATGAGATGTGTGCTCTGCAGGACGTACTCGAGACGACGACAATGTTTCAGAATCTAAGTAAGCATGCACAGAAGCTGATGCTTCAGAAGTTGAAGACCCTTGGAGGTAAGGAAAGGAAAGAGTTGAGCGACGAATGGAAGGCATTACTTGTGCAAGAGTTGCTATTGATGAGCAAGAAACAAACTTTTGCTGCCAAACTCGCAAAGGCAGCATCGCATAATTAGGGAGAAGAACCTCTTCCAATAATTAACTAGTGTTTCTTAATCAGATTGGATTAATGGTTTTTTCAGTGATGAAATAATTGTGGTGAAACGTCTAAAGTTTTGTTAAGATCCTATGAAGTTTCGTCATTTTGCAATGAACCCATTGTTGTTTACTTATAGCGCCACCAAATATTGCCGTTTTATTTGGTTAACTGTTTAATGATTGTTACCAAATAGTACCAAATTACACCCTTTAGAAGTTAGAAATATGATTTTAAAAAAACCTTTGTAATTAACATGCAGAACACTGTGTAGACTGTTCTGTCCGGCCACACACATTAAACGCGAGAAGGCGAAACAAAATTAAGAGCATCTTCAGTCCTACCCCATTTTCAACTCCAAATGTTACTTGAGAGTAAAATTCTTTCCAAACCTACTCTATTTTTAATTCCAAAATAGAGCAAACCTAAATTCTACTCCATATTTGGAGTAGATCTAAACTCTACTTCATTTTGAAGTTAGACTTTTTTATTTACAAATTAATCTTTTAAATTTAAATAATTATATTTTATACCATTTAATATTAATAAAAATATTATAAAACTGATAATTATGAATATTTAAATATTACAATTATTCCTAAAAAATTACAAAATATAATAAATTTTAAAATACATAATAAGTGCTAAAATTAAGATAAATAATATAAATAAATTTAAGACAACAAATACAAAAAATATTAGTAATAAATTTTTAGTAATAATAGTGTTTAAATAAAAATTGCATATGTTTTTTTTGTGATGTTATGTAATTTTCATTATTTGATAAATATTTAAGTTATAGTTTTTGAAGAAAATTATAAATAATAAAATAAGTGGGATTTATTTGTAAATTTTATAACTAAAAAGTATTCATAATAAAACCGAACAAAAATCTATTTAAAATATTCCTTTTTAGAGTAAAAAATGGAGAAATACATTAGAGCAAAATACAACTCTATTTTGAAGTTACTCTATTTTAGAATAGAAAAAGAAAAAATAATGCGAGAAAGCGAAACAATAAAATAGTTGCAATAAGCTTTTGGTTTTTCAATAACAAAGTTATTTTTTTTAATGAAATGACAATTAACTTTTTATTATTGTATTTCATTATTGAAAGTTTGAACTTTAAAGTTAATAATTAAAATAATCGCAATACGATAATAATAAAATATAAGAAAATACCAAAAATAAATATTTTAATCCGTTTAAGATATCAAATCTGTTGACCAAAAAAAAACAGTGATATTTTAATTACTATAAAGGATATGGGCTTTTCTAAATAGTTATTAATTGGTTATAAGATGGAAAGCCCATAATGTTTGTTATTTAATTTTTTCATATTAGAAAATCATACAAAAATAATGTCCGGAGGAATTTCAGACGGAAAAAAGTGAAGGAAGAGATGAAGAGGCAAAAGGTAATCGAGTTAGATCGTGTGGAAACGAAGGGCTTCAACATAGACTGGGCGAATGTTTTGGTCGATGAGGAAGTGCCGGAGTTGGAGATCATCGGCAGTGACGACAAAACTCCGCCGCCTGAGCCGACTCTCTCCGGCGATGATTCCGGTGTCTGCGTGCGATCCCTCAAGGATTGCGAACTGGATGATCAGCTGAAGCGTCAGAGAACGCTTCTTTCTGCTTTCAGTGAGAAGTTACCAGACAAGGGCCACAGAATCCGCACCCAAATCGGAAACCTCGAGTACGAGAAGCAGAGAAGAATGTTCTGCCGCACGAAACCGGTTTGTCTTTACCCGAAATTGCATCTCTTTTCTTCATGTGAAAACTGTTTTCGACGGTTTGGGAACATTAGGAAGGAATGTGAAGAGGGGAATAGCTTGATTGTGTTTAAAAATGAAAGCTTTTTGTGTAGAACACAGAAACTCAATACTTTTGTCTACAGATTTTTACTGGAAGTTATGGTTCTGTTTTTTTTTTCTCTTAAATGACATGAATTTATCTGATACGATGCCATCTGTCTTTTTGGCAGGATGCGGACAAATGTCTTTCGAAAAGCTCAGGTATCTTGTTGCGATTTTCTCCTACCTAATCTCTGTATGAATTGATTATAGCTCAAAAAGTTTTGTTTCTAATGTGTAATTTTCTTCAGATGTGTTTAGACAAGCGAGTACGGGATCGAAAGACGTGTCTCGGCCAACATTTGCTGCTAATTCTAGTGAGAATCCCAAAGTATGCTGCTGCTTCTACATTCCCTCTTGTTGTATAGGTTGCTGCTTCACGATGATGCAACACTTGATAATCCTTGTTTTAAGTAACAGATGGATGCTCGACCAGTGAAGAAGCTGTTCAATGAAGAAGTTGAAGATTTGGGACGTGAAAGCTGGAAAAGCAAGGCTGGTGGAGAGACGACAGCAGACAAAACCAATGGGTGGCGGTCGATGCCAAGGTTAGGCAAGTGTCAGATCATTGAAAGTAACTTTTATTCTGGAGTGAAGGATCCAAAAGGGAATCGAAAACGCAACGAAGCTTCTGTTAAAAGAAATCGAAAGGAATCTTCCCCTTTATTACTCGTCGATGATGATGATGATGATGATGACGACAACGTCGTTGGCTATGAAAATCCTACGTATGTGACTGCCTCGTAAATTGTCTTTTCAAGTTCAAGATTACTGGCTACTGCCATTTATGACATACCATATGCTCTTGGCTAAACCTTCATTTAGTGTATTGATGACATTACCTGTTTTTCCTCACAGGGAGTTGGGTTTGAAAGCACCGCCATCACAGAGGTCAAGCTGCAGGAAGGTATGTCATTTTATGCCATAGTTAATATACAAGGAGCTTAGCACCTTTTCTAACACTTTTGCTATAGAAACCAGATGATAAAGTGATTAATTTGGATGAAGATGAACCTGAGTCTCCAGTGGTTGAGAAAGCACTTGAACTTCCCGAAGGGTAATAGCAGAGTGATTTCTGTTTACCTTCATCAAAGGACTCACTCTTGTTGGAAATAACTTAATTTATGGTTCAATTTACAGGTTACCGGAAGATATTTGCTATCCGTCAAGGTTGGTGAAAAAACTATCATGTAGTTGGGTGTAGTTTTTTGTTTACGATTAATCCTTAATATGATATATGACTTGTTTCACTGCATTTGGTGATGAAGGGATGACCCAGACTTTGTTCAAGTGTCTCTTAATGATTTTAAATGCCTTTCACCTGGAGAGTATCTTACATCGCCAGTTATAAATTTCTACATCAGGTGACTTTCGAGTGACAGATTTACGTATTCACATTATCTTTCTCGTGTTATATGGCTTTTATGTGATTATTCTCCCTTCTTCTATTTGGCTAGGTTCTTGCAGCACCAGGTGTTTTCAGAAAATCAGACAGCTTCTAATTGTCATTTCTTTAATACATTTTTCTACAAGAAGCTCATAGAAGCTTTTTCATACAAGGTGATTGTTTTTCTTGATTCCTATTAAAAAGAAGTGAACTATGGTTCTAGGCTCACTATAGTTGGTTTGCGTTTTAAAATTTTAAGTCCTCAAGATGTTTTAAGTTTCACTGTTTATCATTAAAAGGCTGAATCTAAATATTTCATGTGCAAAAACACATATGTTCTTGTAATCTTGTTGGATACTCGTGTCTGTTTTGATTGGTCTCTTCGTCTTGTCTTTTCAATACCATTAGGGTAACGACAAGGATGCATTTTTTGTGAAGTTGAGGCGGTGGTGGAAGGGTTTTGATCTATTCCGTAAATCATATATATTCATACCAATACATGAAGAGTAAGTGATTTCCTGACGGTTGTCTATTGAAATGCTATTTGACATAGAGTTATGGCATCTGTTATGATTGTTTAATGTTTTATTTCTCTTGCGTGTTTCAGTCTCCACTGGAGCTTAGTAATAATTTGCATCCCAGACAAAGAAGACGAATCAGGACTGACTATACTTCACTTAGATTCATTGGGACTTCACCCAAGACGATCAATTTTCAACAATGTCAAAAGGTGAGACCCGAGGATATCCGTACCAATGATTTCTCAGGTTGCACACAGTTTCTTTGTTTTAAGACCATCTCAATTAGATACTATTGTTATATGTTGCAGGTTTCTGAGAGAGGAATGGAACTATCTGAATCAAGATGCTCCTTCGTTGGATTTACCAATTTCAGAAAGAATATGGAGAGACCTTCCCGATAGGATCAACGAAGCTAAAGTGCAGGCTAGTGGTCTTTTCCACTTCATAAAGTTGCAAATTATAAGTATTTAAAAGACGAATTATGGAATCCATACTAAATTATTTTGTTATTTTCTGAAACAGGTTCCACAGCAGAAGAATGATTTCGATTGCGGTCTGTTTGTGCTTTTCTTCATAAAAAAGTTCATCGAAGAGGCTCCTCAGAGGCTGCAGTTGCAGGATTTGGGAATGGTGCGTTCCTCTTCCATGATATGCTTCCTTCTCTCTTATAAACACTTTGTTTGTAACACAATTTTGTTTGTCTTGTTTCCACGTTCAGATTCACAAGAAGTGGTTCAAACCCGATGAAGCCTCTGCTTTGAGGACCAAAATCTGGAACAAACTCATTGAGCTATTCAGTGAGAGTAATCAAACAGATTAAAGCTGTATAGAACAGAAAATCCCTGATTCATGTCACGACATTCACTGATCAATAGGGTTTTCTTCACCTATCATTTTCTCAAAGGCTTGAATAGAAAAAGCTTTAGGTGCTACTCGGTGGCCAAAAGAAAAAATGAAATATTTATTTATTTGGCAGAGTTTTGAAAAATAATAACGCATCAATCACACACTTGGCCCACTCAATAGTCAATACACAAAAGAACAGCACACAACAACACATAAAACAACAAATTTCTCCACACCAAAGTAACTTTGTTGCTTCATTATTCTTTAATCGTAATTTTTCAGGGAATGACATAATCAGAATAAGCCAATAATAACAAGGAATCTTCAGGTCTGAAAAGCCTACATTGCTGCAACGGTGCAAATAACACAGTTTTTTGCGAATCTTCCAAGTCTGAAAAACTATCTTTATAAACGGATACAGTCAACAGTTTCCCTCGAGCATTTGAAATTGTTTTGGTCGTCCCTCTACACAATCCATTAAACCGAGAGTGTTACAACATTGAAGAATCTAAAAACAGAGGAAAGCGAAACTCAAAAGGGGCTCTGTATCCCAAAGATGCAGCCATTCTGTATAGCCCAGGCTATGCCGTGATGTCCGAGCCTTCTACTACTCTCTCTTTCTTTCTCGGTGATGCCTCCTCTGTCTTGTCTTAGTCCCTGCAAATGTGCAACAAAACATCAACATCAGACCGTATGACTTGTTACATGGACTGGTAAAATGATCAGAGCTTCGAAAATAAAGACAACTTTTTTTTTGTGAACTGAAACCATTAAAATCACAGCAGAGACTAATTTATTTCACTGCCATATCGCAAAATCATGACCCCTGATAGTGCAACATACATTAGAGATATTCAACTTTCATTACCCCTACTTTAACATATGTAATGAATCTCTCACAAGTTCGATTCTTTACCTTTTTCTATATTAAAACTATTACCCAGACACGAGAACTATAATATAATCTGATCCTACACGCAAGGGTACTCATAAGACGTACTCCAGCTTTGCTAAACTTATTTATACCAACAACCATTATGCATCAGGCACACATCATGACAAGAAAAACGAAATAGAATGGAAGATGTTTTTACTTACCAGTACTTGATCAAACCATCCCAACCACAAGTTGCGACTTTACTCTGTTCCAGGGGATGCCACTCGGCTCCAATGCATACTCCATTGTGACATTTAAGAGTCCTGAAGACTTTGCAGCTCTTCCAGTCCCAAAACCAGCACTTACCCTCACCATCTCCGGACATTACAAACCGTCCATCTGGCGAGAAGTTAACTTGGCACGCATAACCGGCGGCAATGTGCCCTGCAAACCTCTTCTTCTTATTCAGCTGAAACCTTTCACGGGTACTGTAGATCAGAATCTGGTTATCCAAGCTCTGAGCAGCAAGCCAGTTTCCATTCGGGTGAACAGAAATCGAAGGCATAGAGTGCATATGAGGCTCACTGATATACTTGATAACAACAGGTATCCCGAACTCCCACACACGGAGAGACTTATCATCGCTCGATGTGACAAATCTTCTGTTATTGTCCACAAATGTGATTGTATTAACGGCACCCAAGTGCTGATCATACTCTTGCGTAATCTCCCCCGTATTGATATCCCACTGCACTATCTTCTTATCGCTCATACCGGCCAACAAAATGTTCTGCTTGTCATCATCCGGATTCAGCTTAACCACATACGGAATCTTCCCGGTCGAGAAAGTCGATATAACTTGGCCAGTTTCCGTGTCCCAGTACTTGATGTTCTTATCATACCCAGCAGTTAAAAACTTAGTCCCGTCATTAGAGAAGCAAATATCCCTCACAGCTTTGGCGTGACCCATGTAAGTCCTCATGCATTTACCAGAGTTGTACACATCCCAAATCTTAACCTTGCAATCCATACCTGCAGAGAGAAGTAAATGTCCATGCTTTGGGAAGAACCGAATAGCAGAAACACCTTTCGTGTGACCACTCCATGTATGAACCAGGCGTTTCGGGATGTAGCAATGATCGTTGTTCGCCTTTGCATCTTTAGGAGCCTCAATCCATGACCTCCCTTGATAATCTTTCTCCTCCTTGCCGTGGAAGGTGCTCTTGTCCGCATAATGCTCCCCTTTGGCTTCGCTTTGTTGTCCCTTCTCTTCCTTCTTCTTCGCGTGGTCCTCTGCATACTTCTTCTGCTCCTCCGTCAACTCTCCCTGAACCACCTCCTTCTTCCTCGACCATGGGCTTTTCCTATTCTTCAAAAGCCACTCCTCAGTCGCCGGGTTCTCAGCCTCCGGTCCAAGCTCTTCCTTTTTCTCTTCCCCTTCTCTCTCCTCTTTGTTCTTCTCAATCTTTCTCCGCTTCTGCTCGCTCTGCGGGATGTTGTAAACCGAAACACCGTCGTTCTGCTTCAACGCCTCCACATCGCCGACGTAATTCATCCCGGACGGATCTGCGGCGTAACCGTACTTGTGGAAAGTGTTGTACTGCTCGTCGAACACGAAGGAGCCAATCGAGGCGTCCTCCACAAACCCTAGCTTGTGGTTCCGCATCCCCTGTGCGATCCCGTCTTTGGCGTACGGATGCGCGGGACCGTAAATCGGAGCCCAAAGCTGCTCATAGGTAGGGTTAAACACGACGGCGTGCTGGGTCGGATTGATCGGCTTCGATTTCGATTGATTCTCGTTCGCCACTGTGAGAGCCAGTGCCGTATCGTCTACCTCCGGCGCCGATGATTTCGCCTTCAACATACGAGGCGGCGAAGATTCCGGCGAAGAAGAAACGGCTTCTTCGTCGTATGACTGAATCAGATCCATCTCACGATTGCCAGATTTAGTCTCCACGTTCTTAGTCGAGCTTATTTTGAGATTTTGCCTCTTTTCTTCTCTTCGACTAAGGGTTTCAAAATCCCCTAAATCCCACAAGGGTTGCGATTTGTGCGAAACTTAAAAGTTGAAAGGCAAACCCTAAATTTTATTTTATTTTCACATTCACCCCAAAAGTGTGTTCATTTGCATTTACATCCTATTATCTTTATGGTTAAATTTTTCACTTGGGTACGGAGGACAATTTTATCTTCTCGTTAAGTGAGGACAATTATGTTTTCTTCGTCATATCATAATAACTTTCAGTCCATTTTGTCTGGCTAACTTTCAGATACTATTTTCTTGCTTTCAATTCGATTTTCTTTTATGCTTTTGATTGAACTTTTTATAAAATATAAATAATTTGATTGGATTTGGCTAATCCGAAATGGACAATCTCTTTCTCTTTATATATTCGCGTTTCATAATAGTTTTCTTTACATCCAAATATTTGCATCAAAAGATGATATCCCTTACTCTCTCTTCTATCCTTGATGGATCAATTCCGATCCGACATATGATAGCCTGCAAATATTCATTCAGATATGCATAATCAAAATTTAATTCAAAACTATATAAAAAGACGTGACACTGACATATGCATGTGCATGTGCGCATGCTTATAATATATACATACGTACGGTATGCGTGGATATATATGTTGATAACATACCTGAGCTGTGATTGCATAAGTGATCCTATCATTCAAGTTCTGAAGATCAGCACTCATAACTTGGGCTCCTTCTTCTTCAAAAACACTTACAAGCTCGTGTAGCATTACTCTTTTCATCTTCATATCCATGATCAGATTCATTTGTATGATCGAATCCCGCGAATTAATGACGAGTTTCGGTACAAGATACGACCCTTGAGAGTGATTCCCGACTTCTCCTCCTAACAATGCCTTTTTCTTCCTCTCCTTCAAATTCTTTATATTCTCTTTCACTCGGATCATATATGATGTCGCTTCATCTATAAGCTGAGGCACCGGTAACTGTTAGAGTCCAATACAAAAAAAAAAAACAAGTTAATTACAAAAGTTGTGTAGTTATGTTCTGTTGAATACACAATAACATATTGTTGTATATACACATGTACATATAATACATGTACAATGTACTATATTTAGAGAAGAGAGAAAGACATAGAGAAAGAGAGGAACGGACCCTATGAGTGGGAGAGACATGAGAAGAGAGTATAGAGAAGAGATGTTTCATGTGCATTCGCCGCTCTTTCTCTCTGAGATTTCTTTGTCTTCTCGGCGACACTGAGCTTCCTTCTCCTATTTCTCTCTCCCTCTCCATTCTCTTTTTGTTTTTCTTTTAAGCTTTTATGTTACTATATATGTTTCTCTCTTTTCAAATCCATCTCATCATTCTATATATAAATAGATAGAGAGGGAGAGAATAGAGAATCTCAAATGTCAAATTTGCAGAGAAAGATCTGCGTAGTTTTAAACGAAAGTGATGTGCTTCAAAGAAAGTCATGGCTTTTGTGATTGCGTCCGTGAGCTTACACACTACTGAATCACATGTGCTTAATTATTCTTTCCTACCAAGTAAATTTTACTATTTACTTCCTGAGCTTCACTCTTAGATATATACTAAACCTTGAAAAAGAAAAAGGAACTATTTACCACCACTCAAAAAATGATTAGTTGGTATAGTTTGGAAACATTTTTAGGACCTAGCTAGTGATTAGAGATTCTAATTTACGTACATGGTATTTACATTTTTAAAATGGGACAATGTATGGTAGACAAAAAGATACTATTTACTTTAGAAAATTCCCATCAAAGACCATTTCAGTGGTCTAAAATTATCATACGGTAGACAAAAAGATATGAGTTCCTTACAAAAGTACGTATGTTTCCAATGTGTTTTGTATAATCGCTACAAAAAAAAAAGGGACCACGACAAACCAAATCCATACAATTAATTAGGTGCACATATTTATTATCCCGGTCGAAGTATAATGTATATCACACAGGTCATTGCTGAGATTATTCAACAAGCTATCATTATTCAACATAGATACAAGAAAATGACAACACTTGTATTCCTTACAGTACTTTTTTTTTTGGTTTAAATGTTAATATTTCCTTACAGTACGTGAACACTTTTTGACCGCATTTCTGACATCATTCATCGGAGATGCCCTTTAACTATGAAGACTTGATCAACGTCTACATGGAACGATATCTAAACGTTACGAAGACATAAAATTTATAAAACATGCTTAATTTCTCTATATAGCCGATTAGTACAAGTTCTTTTTATAACCAATTATAAACCGAATAAAAGTAAAACTTTGTGTGCACCGATCATAATAAAGCAGACTAATTAATGTTTTATATGGAACTCTCTGCATGTACGAAGTCGACTAATCGTACCGTCTCACGCGAAGGATCGCAGTTTTACTTGGAATCTCATTGGGTTATATACTTCTCTACTATATATGTTTATATGGACTTCCCGATCCACTTTGATCGCAAGAAAAAGCTACAGGTACTTTTTTAACCACTAATTACTAGTATAGAAATTTTAATTTGCAACTGAAGAAAAAAAATCATAGTAAAACAATAGCGTTTGCTCATTTTTTTACCGGGTTATGTTGAAAATGTAAAACAAATTCATTTTCATCCGGTTTAGCTCGTAGTTTTTACGTCCTTTTTCACATCTCTCTCTACATGCAAGTTGAAGTAATTTCGCCGAAAGGAGTATGTAAATATATAAATAATACAAGCATTTGAAAAATGGTGGAAAAGTAAAAGCATGTGTACGTCACTTGTTGTACGTCGTCTTTCCTCATTTGCATATCTTTCGTCGAGTAGTTTTGGCCACTTTTTGGTAAAGTGCTAGTTTTAGTCTTAGTGATTTTACACATGTTTTTTTTTTTCTTCATATATTGACTTTTGACCACTTTTTTTTTTCTTCATATATGTTACTGATTGACTTTTGACCACTATTTAAAAGAACATGTTTAGTCCTTAACCATCGTCGATGCCTAATTGACCACAATTTGATGTTATTTTTCGTGATTGTTAATACCCGAATTCGAAAATGCATTTTTGTTAAGATAAGTTAATGATCAATACCAACTTTATTGATCAATGCAAGAAAAAAAACTTAAAAACAAGTAAGAAATATTTGATTTAGCCATCGAAAATAAGTTTACATGACCGTGGATTTCTATGAAGGTCTCATATTCTTCTTTTACGTACACAACGAATTTATATCAATGCGTCTAAATTAAAATAAAGAGCTACTAAATTTGTGTTTATATCAATGATTCGGGATTTAATGCTTTAACGATGTATATCAAGAGATCATATCCCTTACTCTCTTTTCTATTCTTGATGGATCAATGCCGATCCGACATATGATAGCCTGCAAATATTCATTCATTTTAGACGGTTAACACCGTACATAATCAAAATTAGTTATAAACTATATTAAAGGACGTGACACATGCATGTGCGTGATATATGCATACGTGTGGATGTATTTAAACATTAGAGACATATATATAATATATATATATATACCTTGGCTATTATTATATAAGCGACCCTCTCATTCAAGGTCTGTAGATTAGCAGTCATAACCTGAGCTCCTTCTTCTTCAAAAACTCTCATAAGCTCGTGTAACATTAATCTTTTCATGTTAACATTGATAATCAGGTTCATCTCTATGGTCGAATCCCTTGAATGAATGCTGAGTTTTGGCAGAAGAGACGACGACCCTTCTGAGCGATTACCGACTTCTCCTCCTAACAATGCTTTCTTCTTCTCTTTCAAACACTTTATTTTTTCTTTCAATTGGACCATGTATGATGTCGCTTGATCTATAAGTTGAGGAACTGGTAACTGTTAAAGCCAATAGAAAAGTTAAAATCTGAGTTTAATTACTTTGCCTTTTTTTGTTGCATGAATTTGTTTATGATTAGTGTATTACACAAACGGAAAGCCTAGCTATGTCTCCCTCTGTTCCTCAATTTTAATTTTATTTTTTTGTGTGTAAAAAGGTAGGATTATGAGAAAACGTTTATTTATTATATGCATGGTGTTCTATTGAAAATAAAATGTAAATATGTGCATCACTTGTTTGTGTCGACTACCAGAGCGAAGCTATTGGATTACGTACATCTATTCAAAATGTGTCTTCTTCCTACTATACACAGATGAAAATACATGTATAATGTGCTAGAGAGAGAGAGAGAGAGAGAGAGAGAGAGTAGGAAGGGAAAGAGAATCGGACCTTACGAGTGGGAGAAACAAGAGAAGAGAGCATAAAGAAGAGATCTTTCATGCGCATTCGTCGCTCTTTCTCCCTGAGGTTTCGTTTTTCCCTCAAGGACAATGAGCTTCCTTCTCCTATTTCTCTTTCCCTCTCCATTCTACTTTGTTCTCTTTTAAGCTTTAATATATGTTCTCGGTTTTTTAAAAAAAAACTCTTATCTCGAATATATATACATATAGAGAGAGAGAGAGAGTCACATGCAGATTTCTATGTTGAGAGAATGAGCTGCCTAATTTAAGACAAGAGTGATGTGATGTATTTCGAAGAATTTAAAGTCAAGGGTTTTGTAATTGCGTCCCCGAGCTTACACACTATACTAAATAACGCTTATTTTTTTCTTACCAAGTAAATTCAGTATTTACTTTGTAATATCCTCTCTTAGAGGAAACTAAAATATCGATAAAAGATCATGTGGCTCTAGCTATATAGTGTTCGTTGATACAGTTTTACGTGACAATAAACCTTTTTCTTCTTGGGACTACTTAATTAACTCTAGGTATAGGGTCCAGTGAACTGCCGAAAATTCTTATCAGATACCCATTTATACAGCATAAATTACTCAGATGATAGGATAAACCGATGCGCAATATAGCAAAAAAAACAACAACACATGTATGTTAATTACTAGAAACTGAATGCCGTACGAAAGAGTGCAGTGTTCAAATCGACAAAAATAAAAGAAGATTTGTTTTTCTATTAAATACCGATTGAAAAGACCAAGAAAACAAACAGTAAGTAATCCTCAGCTAATTAGGTGCACATATTGTCATATTTACTATCCAAATTATAAAACACAAAGTGATCATCATCATACGCTACGATTATTCAACGTCATTGACTTTAAGTATTCACCATTCTAGAAAAGGATACAGTTCTATTCCTTACGGAAAATTACTAAACTGCTTTTTTGGCAAAATTGCTGTCTCCTGACATATAATTCACTGGAGATGTCGCTGACAAAGACTATATAACTTCTAACTCTAAATGTGGAAAAATAAAAATAAATAAATAAAACAACTAAGTGTGGAGATGAATACGAAGACAGACACGGTAGGAGTAAACTATATAATTATTATAGATACTAGGTATTTATCCGTGCTATGCGGCGAGATATTTTTCTAAATTTTGTTTATATTTTTAATATAATAAAATTATTTTTATAATATAAATAAGTATTATATTTTTATTAGCTTAATTTATGTATTTATATGTTTTTAATTTGAATAAACATTTTATATCCTTAATTTTTTTATTTTTTGAAATTATAATTTGCTATTTAATTTTTTTAGATAACTAATTATATATGTATATGTAAGAATAAAACAATATATTTTTTAGTACATTCATGCTAATGGCAAATGTAATCTATTTTCTCGAATAAATTATTATTTGATTCTCCTTTGTTATTATATAAAGTAAAATGCCATTTAAAAAAAATATTTCTGATTATCTTGAATTATAAAATTTATTTATTTATCAAATATTTATTATAAACATATGTTTCTAAAACTACTAAACTATTATCAATAACATTCATATTAAAACTATTGCTATTTGAACTGTTGAAATATCATTTTAGTTGAAGTTACATAATTAAATTTTGGTTACTGTAAACATACTTTAACTTGAAAATTTAGCACAAAGAAATTTCATCTTCTTACAAAAACCGAGAAATCGCATTTTCCATCAAAACAAAAAAACTTTATTTTCCCATGAAACTCAGAAAGCGCATATTCTCGCCAAAACAAAAAAAAATTCATTTTCTCGTCAAACCCAAAACCTAAAATTTTATTTTTCCTCAAACCAAGAATCTTTCCTACCAAAACAAATAAACTAAAAATCACGTTTTTTCACCAAAACTAAAAATTTTATATTTCTGCAAAAACCAAAAAATCGTATTTTCCCTTTAAAACCAAAAAATTTATTTTCCTGCAAAAACCGAGAAATCATCTATTCCCGCCAAAACCAAAAATTTTATTTTTTGTCAAACCAAGAATCTTTCCTACCAAAACAAATAAACTACAATCCGCAAAAACCCAAAATTGCATTATCTCACGAGAAATTATGTTTTTCTGTGAAAACTAAGAAATTGTATTTTCCCGCGAAAACAAAAAAAAATCATATTATTTGTCAAAAATTAAAAATTTGCATTTTCCATCAAAACCAAAAAATTATTTATTCCCGCCAAAATTATCAAATTCCAATTTTCTGCGAAAACTAAAAATTCATATTTTTGCACGGAAACTAAGAAATCGCATTATCCGCCAAAATTGAAAAGTTGAAAAGATCACATTTTTGTCAAAATTGAAAAGTTGCATTTCTCATCAAAACCGAGCATTTTTCTGTCTAAACTAAGATATTTTGTTTTTTCATCAAATTTTTTTTTTGTTTTCTCACCAAAACCAAAAATTCACATTTTCTCGCCAAATCTAAAAATTCATTTTTTTTTGCCATAGCCGAGAAATTATGTTTTGCTATCAGAACTAAAAATCACATTTTCCTACTGAAACCAAGAAAAAATCACATATTCCTGACAAAACAGAGAGATTCCCTATTCTCGGCAAACCAAGAAATCATGTTTTCCTAATAAAATTGAGAAATTGCATTTTTCTGCCAAAATTGTCAAATTGTATTTTTCCACAAAAATTATGAAATTGTATTTTCGTACGAAAACCAAGAAATTGCATTATCTATCAAACATAAAAAATTGTGTTGCCCATTAAAAATAAAGATTTAGTTTTTTTATTTGTTGTTATTTATTATTTGGGCTTTAGTTTGACAAAAAAATAAAAATAAAAATATTTTTTTTATTTACTGTTATTAATTATTTGGGCTTGAATTTGGTAAAAGTAAAACAAAAATTAATAGAAAAAGTATTTGGGTTTTTAATGGATTTAATTTTAAAAATCAAAATAAGTAGATGAGTTGTATTAATAAAATGTTTTGATTGGTAAATATTTTTACTAATGTGTCATCTTTAGAAAGCTTTAAAATGCTGATGTGTCATCTCTAGGAGAGACATTGGTGTTATTGTTGTATTGATTAGTTTAATCATAAATTCAGAATTTTCATTACCAAAACCAAATCAAACTAATATAGAACGTTCATTAATTTTAACAATTAAAAATGAAAATCGCTAAATCGGTATAAACAATCATTTAGCCAACTAAACAAAAAAGCGAACCCAATTTTCAAATACACCACATGTTAATAAAACGGGAATACAAAAGTTACATATAACTCAGTTTTTTTGGTAGTTCGTATCCATCCGGTTTAGTTTGAAGTTTGTGAGTCACTTTCACATCCCGACACCTTGACGTCATTATTCAATTTGCGACCGAGCGAGGTGTTTCCAAAACCAAAAAGACAAAAGTAAATCATTTGAAAACTGTTAGCCGCAAAAAGAAATCAAAGAAGAATCTCACTTTGTACGCCTTTCCTAGTTTTAGAAAAAATCGTATGATGTTACTTGAGGAATAAAGACTGTATATTTATCGTCTGGCCGTCTTCTTAGACACAGCTAAGTGCTAAATTTATATTCTCAGTGCATTTTTCACATGATTTTTATTTCTTCAATTATTTGTATTTTCCCACTACGAAAAAAAAACTAGCTACAAATACTAGTGATGGTTTTGAATTTGGGTTCTCCATCATGACAATTTAATTTGACTGATTCTCTGAAATGCAATAGTGTAGAAACAGTCAAATTCTATGATTATCATTAGCATATTTAGGGTTCAATTTCTATAAATACATACAAAAATAGAATATATAGTTTAGACGAGACAAATTTGCTAGAAGATGCGAGAAACATTTGTAAGAGAGATAACATTTAACTTCTATAAATTAATATTTGATTCATTAACATTTTGATAAATTAATATTTTTTTGTCAGTTTCAAAATTTTATCAACTAAATCATATATCTATAAATTAATAATCACTATAAATTAATATTTTTTATAAACTTTTAAAGTCACAACATTATTAATTTAAAAATGTTTTACTGTAAAAAAGTGAGGTTTAATTAAATTTCGCCATAACAGAACTATGTTTATATAACTTATTATACTATCATCTTTTAATTTACGTATATTTATCTCTAATCAGATTCTTAAATAAAGCAAGAATAAATCCAATTAAGGTTTATTTTTCTCAACTTTGTTATACTGAGATCAAAAATTTTAGATGATGTACAATGGACCAAAGTCTCGTCAATCTGGTTCTTATTTTTGTATTTTTCTAGTTCTTGGTGACTCTTAAATAAAGCATTTGTTCCAAAATTCTAGAGTTTATTTTTGTACCTCCTCTTTTTGGCATTTGACAATAAATCAGCTATTCATCATACATACTAAGGAATATAAATGCAAATCATGAACGCAAAAACATGCCGAACCAATTGTAAACATCATTAGCCAAATCAAATTGTTTATAATTCACCAACATCTTAAGGGCTATTATCAATAATATTGACTTAACTATGTTTGATATAATTTTGCCAACAAGATATTGATGTAAATTTTTTTTTTAATTCATCTGAGTTTTTTTTCTGAATTTGGCAGAAAAATATCGAAGTTAAATATTTATTTTTATAAAAAATATATTTAAAATATTAAATTATAAGAGTACAGTAAAAAAGATCAATATAGATAAAATGGGCTATATATTCAGGTTATGAACTTATAATTTATAATCTGATGATCGAGTCGATTCTCAACCATGATTCTATATTTTTTCAATAAAAAATATATTTGTTTTTAAGTTTGATAGAAAATTCTCGAAAAAGCATTGTATTGAAGTGTTAAATATTTATTTTTATTTCAATTTTTTTAATTATCAATTAAATATTTTCATATGACAGATTGTAAATCATTTTGTCTACATATCAATTATCTATACTAAATACTAAATATTTTTAATTTTATTATCTTTTTTTATCAATATTTTCCTAATTTCTTTTTTAACCGATGAATATTAATAAAAATAAATATTTTCAATCACTATAGATTTCTTCTTTTGTTATTCAGCAATTCTCTTTTATATATCATTATTTTTAGAAATTTTATAAATAATTTTATTAGTTAAATGTCAATGCCGTGCATAGCACGGACCAAAATACTAGTTGTTTATAATTCACCAACATCTTAAGGGCTATTATCAATAATATTGACTTAACTATGTTTGATATAACTTTTGCCAACAAGCAAATTGAAGGGTTTGAACTTTGAACAACACCATTGATAGAATAACAGAAATTCAGTGGACCAAATGTTCTCTCCGTGATAATCATCAGTGCATGTCTTTATAACTTTTTGTTTGTTTTTGCTTTAGCGTCAAAAAACGAAAACAACGACAAGAAAATGATCCCATGACATTTAAAGAGAAAATCAATCTACAAAACCAAAAAAAAAAAAGAAAAAAAACCAGCAACCTGATTTTTCAAAGCGAGAACGGTAAATCAAGAGGCAAGCTGGATAATACATAAGACTCAAAACCACCCGCAAATTCTGATAGCAAAACTCAAAATCTGATGCTTCTCCAACTAGAAAATGGGTCTTGTGAGTCGCTCTGCTTTCCTTTCGTGGAGGAACACATCAAGCTTCGACGCTCACAACCTCATACTCGATGAGCGAAAGATTGTTATCTTCCTTCACGGCGATGTCTGTGGGCTCCTCCGCGACTTCAACACGGCCCCATCTATCAACCGCAAGCCTCATAGACCCCTTGTACATGTCGATCTTCGCATTGCGCAGGGTCACAATCTTGCCTTCTTTCATCGTGTCCACTGATTATAAATGACACATAACATCAATCAGATAGCTCTAAATCACCCTAAAGAGATGCTCAAGATCGTTTCTTCTTATATGTAAATGTAAAATCAGACAAGCACACGTTCTCTCTTACCTTGATCGTTTCTTGCGGTAAAGATAATGATCCCAGTCTCATCTCCAACAAGACATTCTGCAATCCGCATCTGACGAGCCTGAGGACCACTGGGACGACCTCCTCCTCCTCTCTGCATCACCATCTTCGTGCTCACAACTTTCACGTTCAGTGAGTGACCGTTGGTTCCTGGTCTCAGCTCATTCACCTTCGTGAACACAGGCTTCCTCAAAGCAGGCGTTGCCTCAGCCATTTTTTAATAGAAGATTCCTACAAATTAGCCATAAACAAGTACAATTTTGCTCAGATCAGCAATAAGGACAATTCGATTCGCAAGCAATTTCAAATCTGATAATCAGATAATCAAAACAGCCTGTCGCAGGGTTCACACACAGAAGAAACGTTTAATCCAAACAATTGATAAAAGATGAAGCATTTAATCTCTGAGATTGACCCAAAGCACGAGATATAACAATTAAATTCCTCAAAACCAATACATCCAATCAAAACGAATAATAGGATTCCTAAAACAGCAACATCAACAACAAGGCGACGAACAGATGACGAAAGACCGATAATCAAAGCTAATCACACGAAAGTAATAGTTTTGACCCCAGAAATTCATGGAATCTCTGATCGAGTAGATAAAATTCACGAAGAGAAGATCGAATTGAGAAAAAAGCTAGGGTTTTTGAACCCACTTACGTTTTCGTTTGGGAGAAGAGAGACGACTTAGCGATTAGATCTGTTGAGGCGATACACACAAAGACGCGGCGGTGTTAATGTCTAAAACTCAGATATTAGTACAAACCGTAGATCCATGACCTGAACACGTGTCACTTTCTAAGAACATCTTCGCTGATTATCAATTCAGCCTTATAATTTTATACATATTTGAGATTGCCCTTAAACTTTGATTCTAATACAAATTACTCCAAAATTCTCCGACTCGGTTTTTCTGACCTTCAAAACCGATTTCACTGGACCGGTCGGTCTATCAGGAACCGGTTCACTGGTCAGCAAAATTTTGGTTCCTCGGTGGATTCGTCTTTCACTCGTCGTGCTCATCCATTGATGCTTCTGCTCCTGCTCCTGCTTCTGCTTCCACCATGGTAACGCTCTCGTCTCCATCTCCCTCGCTCTCTTGCGTAGAAAGCGGGTCATATAAATCGTCTCACGTTTCTCGGGTTCTATTCTCTGGACCCGATAAGATTCACGGCGAATCCTCGGAACCCAGTATACTGAGAGATGTTCATATCGTAAGAGATTCTCTTTCTTATATAAAGAAAAAAAGTTACGGTTTTTATGTGATTTTGTCGGATTGATTACTTATTTTTCGAATTGAGATACCGTTGCTGTGTTTGTTCTTCTTAGTCAGAAAGGTTGATGGAGGATTTCACTGAGCTTGCGAGAGAGAACACTGAGAAGGACCTCGAGACTTGTGGAACTCTCGCTGCCTTTCTTGTAAGATCATCTTTGCTTTCTCCACGTTCGAGATATGAGAATAGAAGTTATATTTTGGGTGAAAAAAAGTATCTTGAAGTCACATGATTTCATTGTTCTAGTAAAGGGTATTGTAAAATTGATATTTTGGACCTGATATTGTAGATTTGTCTAGTCTCAATCTAAGTTCAAGTGATGATATTGCTGATGATAAGTCAAGCGTTATTTTGAGATCATGAGTCATGTTTAATTTTGATTTACTTCCTTTAGGATTCTTCCTATTTTGGGGAGTTGAAGGACCTGATATGCTAATTACTTTTCTGTTTCTGTCCATGCTTTAGGAAAGAGGGATTTTCTATGTAACCACTCTGATAATACCTAAGCAAGAATCAACTGCTAATTCAGTGAGTATCTTAGAAAGACTTTCTATGAGATCATTTCGTGGTGTTCAATTTTAAACATGTGTACTAACTCAGTGTTAAAATAAAATGGCAGTGTCAAGCCATGAATGAAGTGGATGTGTTTTCCATACAAAACGAAAGAGAACTTTATCCCGTAGGATGGATTCATGTATGTAATTTCCCCTCTCCCTCCATGTTTTGAGATGTTTAGTGATCTTTGCTTTTACTATAACGAGTTTATGCGTGTTGGACAGACTCATCCTTCTCAGGGTTGTTTCATGTCATCAGTAGATCTGCATACACACTACTCGTATCAGGTACTGAGCTTTGAACTCTTGAACTCCCGACATGACACATCTGTACAAGGTTTGAGACAAATCAGTTTCCCATCATGTTTTTTTTTTTTAAGGTAATGGTGCCAGAGGCTTTTGCAATCGTCGTGGCTCCAACCGATAGCTCTAGGTATGTGCTCTCTTCACGTGTGGACTGGAGTCAATTAGTAGTCAAGCTATTGATTTGATGGACTCTGAAACTGAACTTTTTGTAGGAGTTACGGTATATTTAAGCTAACGGACCCGGGAGGAATGGAGGTATTGAGAGGCTGCTCGGAGACCGGGTTCCACCTGCACAGAGAACCGGAAGATGGGAACCCGGTTTATGAGCATTGCTCAAACGTCTACAAGAACTCGAACCTTAGGTTCGAGATTTTTGATCTGCGCTAAGGTAAATACGACCCTTGTTAGTAAAAAGTTTCAAGCTTTATCCACTGTAAGCTCTAAGGATATCAATAACCGTCATCATAAGTCATAACCATAACCCTAACCAAAACTGTATTAAGCTTAGAAGGCTGTTGGGTTCGGGTTATGAACACAAATCAATCTATTAAGCTTAGCAATGTTAATAATCTAATGTAAGTGAATAATTTGGTTTCTTGTCCATATATAATCAGTATAAATGTCTTTGATCCTTTATTATTTATTCATATAAATATATAAATTGGATATCATGTTTCTCAAATTTTTTCTGCCAACTGTGCCAGTGATGGGAAACGACGGGAAAATTCAGAAACTTCTGCTCTAGCAATTTCGAAAATGATGTGTTATCATGTTCTACAATTTGTCTAAAACTGGTTACATTCTTCAATTTTTTTTTTTTCTTATTTGATGGATTCATTGAATACGAAATAACCATGAATTATAACCTAACAAATACTATAAAAAAAAGTACTACAATTCTGTTTTTTTTTTCTTTTTCTCGTAAAGACATGTTCCAAATACATTGCTCACATGAAGAAAAAAAAGGTACAACCAAAACAGAATCAAAGATCCAATATTTTCCCTAAAGTATTAAAGCTCTCAAGCTCGTTTCTTCTTAAAGTAAATAGTACAGAGGATGATTTTATCAAGTGAAGAAACAAAAAGCTTGATCCTTTCTTATTGTTAAGTGTAGCTATCAAAACCAAACAGTCCTTTTTTCTTCTTTTGTTTGATTCAAAACCCCTTTATGGCCGTTTTCGAGCACATGATAAGTTTCTTCGTACAGTCAGAGTAAAAACCCTCTCTCTCTTTTTCTACAGATGTCAGTCATCTCTGTCACGGATGTGGGTACAGACTCGTAGACGATTTCACTCTTCTCTCTCTGGGTTTTAATTCAAAAAGCGAAGTTGGTTACCATTGTCTTGTACGATCGTATATTCGCGTTATGATTTGTTTTGACAGAGTAACTGCTGTGCGTATGCCAAAATCTCTCTCGCTCTCTCTCATTCCTCTAAATTTATAAGTAAGAACAAAAGAGATCACAAAAGTTCAGGCTTTTTGTTTCGCTTTACTTGTTTTCGCAGTAGAGTGAGAGAAAGAGAGAGAAATGATGAGAGGTTCGGAGAGAGTGAAGGAGTTTCTTCGACCCTTTGTCGATTCCAGGGATTGGGACTTTTGCGTTATCTGGAAACTCGGCGATGATCCTTCTAGGTACACTCTCTCGATTCTGGGTATTTTCGTTTTCTGGGTTTTCGTTGTTCATACGAATCATCCAGCTATTTACTATTAATGTTTCAGTGCCAAGCTTCCATCTTTATGCAGACTGATGGGTCTTCGTGTTTATCTCTACCCTTGCTTTCTGGATTTTGTTTTGTTTTTTTTTGGCTCTGTTGTTTGATTCCGTTTCATCTTGTATTCCTGAAAAGTTTTGGTCCCCAAGTTCGCAGCTTGACTCTTTTGCTTCATCTGGTTTCTGAGTTTACATAATTTTGTGTTTTCAGTAACACAGATTTGACAAAGCCGTCAAATTTTCTGAATTCGTGACATCCATCTGTTGACATCTACCAAAATTTCGGATTTTTGATATTATCATTTCTTTTTTTCTAGTCAGTTGTGGGTTTTGCATTCTCTGGTTTCTAAATCAGCCGTTGATTCCATTTAATCCGCAGGTTTATTGAATGGGTGGGATGCTGCTGCAGTGGTAGTTATATTGATAAGAACATCAAGCATGAAAATGTGGAAGAAGGAACTGAGAGAAAAAAGATGAGCTCTTCTATATTATGCAGAGATGAACACAACAAGCATCATATAAGAAGCCTAGCTTGTGAAGCTCTTTCTCATTTTCCTCTCTTCATGCCTCTTTATCCCGGGTCTGTTTATTCAATTCAATTTAACCCAGAGATTTTGCCAAAGTTTTAATTTTTTTTCTTTTCAAAAATGATATGAAGCTTCCTCCATAATAACAGGATTCATGGAGAAGTAGTGATGTCAAAATCTCCCAAATGGCTGGTGAATTCAGGTCCGGGATCTAAAAAGGTAATAAAAAAAAAACGACTCTTTGCTTCAGCTTTTTTTCGCTTTTTTAAATCGTAACTGCAAATTTCGGGTTTGATCAAAAGAACAGTCTGATCTCGATATGTTTTTTTCGCAGGACATATCCAGCACTCGAGTTCTTGTTCCTGTGAGTGATGGTCTTGTTGAGCTTTTCTCCTTCGTAATGGTAAAACTATATTTTGCAATTTAGATAAACAGAAAGCAGTCACATTGTTGGGTGCTAACTTCATAAAGTGTGTCCTTTTTTTTTTGCTTGTTTCAGAAACCTGTTGATGAAAGCATGGTTGATATGATCATATCGCGTTGTAACGCCTTCTTTAAACCGTTCACTGAACAAACACTACCATTTAGGATCATTCCTAGAGCAGAGGAATCTATGAGCAGCGGTGTGAATCTCAGCTTTGAAGGCGGCGGCTCATCAAGCGTTTCGAACCCCTTAAGTGAAAGTCAGACTCTTTTCGGAAACCCGAATGCTCCTTGCGAGGAACAAAAGCCGTGTTTGGTAATGAACAAGGAAGATGGTGTCGTGATGCAAAACACTATCGACGTCAAAGCTAATAAGAAGTTGCCAAAGGAAAACTTCAAATCAAAGAATCTTCAATCAGAGAGAAAAAGAAGAGAGAGAATTAATCAGAGACTCTATGCGCTAAGAGCTGTAGTCCCTAGAATCACAAAGGTTCTTTTTTTTGGTTTCTTGATCACTCGTGTTGCGATCAATAGCAATTTTTGATAAGATTATTGTCCATTTCTTTATGCCATGCAGATGAACAAACTTGGAATTCTCGGTGATGCGGTTGATTACATCAACGAACTGCTAGTGGAGAAGCAGAAACTTGAAGATGAGCTGAGTAGAATCAACGAGATTGAATGCAGGGAAATCGCTGCAGAGCAAGAATCTGCAATAGCAGAAGCTGAAAAAGCTTCCTCTATGGTGAACGATGACGAGGTATCCGATATAGAGCCTCGAGTTTATATCCGTATTATATATCTGACCTGTAAAAGAATCCCACATAACTCCTTTGCCTTCTGGTTTCTTTAAGGTGAATCTTCAAGTCCACGAGATTGGTGAGCGACATTTCTTGATTCGGGTTGCGCAGGAGCATAAACGAGATGGATTCAAGAGGTTGCTAGAAGCTGTAGATTCTTGTGGACTTGAGATCATTGACGTTAAGTTCACCAGGCTCGATATCACAGTCATGACTCTTCTCAATGTGAAGGTAACTTTAGTCACATCGCATTGCCTGTACTTCATCAGAGATTCTTGACATGTGAAAAGTTTGGATTTTTAGGCGAACGAAGACGGAATTGCAGCTGGAAATCTGAGAGATTTGCTGCTCAAGAGGATGATAGCTTCAGACAGTCCAAATGCAGAGTCCGTAAAACAGAGTACATAACCTAACAAAAAATGTCAAATGTTTTGTTTGCTTCAGCCGCAAGTTACTGTTGAGATTTGATTCTCACAAGCTTTTGGTGACAAATTACGTGTTGAAACTATACATCTTTCTGGGTAATTGGATTTTGATTTTGTTAAGATCTTCACCAAAAAGAAAAGATCTAAACGAGTGTTTAAGTTGTTCTGAATCGTAGCCCACTAATGTTATGTAGTAAAGAAAATAAAGCGGAGCACCATTGAAAAGACAAACCGGGCACCATTGATTTGATAAAATAAAGAGATTTAGTTAAACTGTATGATAAAGTGAGTTAAAAAATAAATCACTATTGAGTTAAGATTTTAATTAGTCTCACAAGCCTTTTTTTTTTGCGACAAATGTACATGTTTGAAACTATACATTCTTCTTGGTATTGGATTTAGAGTTCGTTAAGATCGTCACAAAATTTCTAAAGGGTCCAGCGAATCGATAGAATCAGTGGTTTGTTGTTCGGTGAGATGTGTTGAAGGCTCGGCTCTCAGATTCGCGGCTTGTGTAGTCTTGGCTCGTGTTCGTGTAGTAGGCGTTGTTAGTACCGAAATCAGAGGAATCTTCAGATGCTCTTCTGAAGATACGAATCTCATTGCTGTATTGACCAGAGTTATACACCGTACTTTGACCCACTTTGACTCCGTTTGTCAAATCGTCTATCGTGTCCAGCGCTCTCACCACCTGAACCATACGAGGTCGTTTTAGAGCTGAATGCCTTACACAAGACGCTGCCGTTTCGATCATCCTGTAGACTTCGCCTTCAACGTAATGCTTTTCCAGCCGTGGATCCACTACTTCGCTTATGTCACCCTTTTCAATGGCCTCGATTAGCCGTGGACGTGCCTACCAAGCGGGACCCATTCCTCAGATTTCATGTACTTTTTATATTTTGATGAAATATATTTCAATAAATAAATAAAAAACATGAAAAATACCCATTCAACGAGACTTTCTTCACCCAAAGGTTGAGAGGTGTCAACGGGTTTGCGACCGGTGATGAGTTCGAGAAGCACGACTCCAAATGAAAACACATCTGATCTGTCCGTTAGCTTTCCGCTCGACGCATATTCTGGCGCTAAATACCTGAATTGAGATTTTAAAAATCACATATAAGAGACTGGCTTTAGTCCGAAAACTTATCTTTCTTTGAAGTTGATTATTTAATTCTGAAAAGTAATTGGCAGGAGTAACAGTACCCAAATGTGCCCATGACTCGTGTCGATATGTGGGACTGTGCAGTATCGTTCAGTCTGGCGAGTCCAAAATCTGCAACCTGTACGGAACAAGATTAAATGCTCAGTGAAGAAGATCATTAATGATTTCTACTAATATTATATACAAATTTAAATATTGACTTTGCCTGAGCTTCATATTCATCATCCAACAGAATATTTGACGATTTGATGTCCCTATGGATAATCTTCGGATGACCTATGAAATTTATTAAAAGCCCAATCAGTTTGCATAAACATCAAAAACTATAAAAGAAAAAAAAAAGGAAATTTCCTTTACTATATAGTTTTATACCAAGGAAATATATTCAACAAAAATATGTAACGGAGAGTACTCACAATCTTCATGTAGATAAGCAAGGCCTTTGGCTGCGCCTATTGCAATCTTGACTCTTCTAGTCCATTCCAAAACCGGTAAGTCTTTGCCTGACAACAACACAAGAATTTATCAGACCACAAACTTTTCGCGGTTCAACGGTCGGATAACATGACCGGTTCAAATATAGTAGTAGTTCAGCATGTGCTACAGTGTTCACTTGTATAATAACATGATAAAACAAAGAGAGAACGTAGAATAACGTACCATGCAAATGGTAATCCAAAGTATTGTTGGGGACAAACTCATAGATGAGGAATCTATGTTGCTCAGAGATGCAATAACCCACAAGAGACACCAAGTGCTTATGATGCACTCTGCTTATGATCTCTACTTCAGCTTTGAACTCTCTATATCCTTCTGCGCTGATGGACTTTAGCTGTTTGATGGCGATTGGCTTTCCGTCGCAAAGGATGCCCTTGAATACGCACCCGAACCCGCCTTCTCCTATGACGAATCTCTTGCAAAACCCTTCCGTTATCTGGCTCAGCTCCTCGTAGCTGAATAGGGTCTTCGCAGTCCCTATTACTGCCGAGTCATGAGTCGGTTTTGGATTTCCCAAACTGTTATTAGTATCCGGTGAAGAGTTCTGCGCCGAGCTGTTCCCGTTTCCGGGTTTTTGCCTGTAGTGAATGAATCCATCTGCGCCAAGAAACAAGAAATCAAAGAACAAACATGGAAGAGTAGGAGGCAGACAAGATCCAAACCGAAAGTCAAGATTCTAGGACATAAAATAAGAAGAGATATCAAGAACAAGACATGATTTCAAGAACCAAATCTTTTTACCTGTGTTAACGGAGACATTAGCCGGTGGCAAATACTGCTGGTTAGACCGAGGCGAAGAAGAGTTCTTGCGTTTCCTCCTAAAGAAGAAAACGACAGCAATGAAGATAACGACCAAGATACCTGCGATCCCAATACCGATCATTGTCTTTTCGGTGTAGTTAGATTCATTGTTGTGTTGTCCACTACCATCATTTACGTTGTTATTCGCATTATTTCTATTAGAACCTCCGGACTGGTTATCGGAGCCAGATAGGGAAGGAGGAGACGGGGAAGAGGTAGAAGACGAGGGCACAAGATTTGATCCACCTACCGGAGGTGAATCCAACGGCTGTGAAGGGTTTCTTGGGGAATTAGGGCTTAGTGGGACAACCGGAGGCGATGGAGATGAAAATGGAGGAGACTCTTGGCTACCGGAATCTTCTAGGAACGGCGGCGCGAAGGGAGTAAAAGGCGGAGGCGGAGGAGAAATAGGGTTGTTGGGTTGTTGTCGGCCGTTTTCAATAGGTCTTGTCTCTGGTTGCTGAGTAACTAAGGTCGGAGGAGGAAGAGGAAGTTGAGGCTTTGGAGAAGGAATAACCACCGGAGATTCTCCGGCTGGGGCGGATTGAGGCGGAGGTTGAGGCTGAGGAGGTGACGGAGGTGGAGTTATAGAAGGTGGAGGCGAAGAAGGAGTTGTTGGAGGTGGAGTTGCAATAGAAGGTTGGTTCGGCGGTGGTGGAGAAACCGTTACCGGCGGCGGAGGTGATTGTGAGCCGCCACTGACTGGGGATGGAGGAGAAGGAGGTGAGGTAGTTGGAGGTTGTGTCGTCTCGGAGCCACCGGTGATTTTCTGATCAGTTAATCCTCCGACGTTTGTTGGATGTGAAGCTACAAACGGAGATATCTTTTTTTCGATTAAACCTGCTTGTTTCTGGACTTCGTCCATTTGTATTCACCTTTTCCAGCTTCTCTCTTTCTTTTACATCTTTGAATTTGCTCTTAAAGGGGTGCCTTGTGTAACAAGAAAGGATCGATGTACTTTGCGATCCGGCCAAAATGAGTTTAAAATTCCGCAGAGATCCCAGATATTAAATTTCAAGCATTTTAGAGGCTTCTCTAGATAATGCGTTTATGGGATCAAGATTTGCCGAAATTAACGAAAGAGAGATGATCAAAAAAATGCAGGCCTATAGGGTTTCTTGCGATTCAAGGAAAGTTGGAAGAGGAGAGATTTCGATCAAGCCGATTCAGATCTTGTTGGTTGATTAATTTTTTCGTCCCTTGGATTTTTTTCCCCCCATTTCGTATTTTTGTGTAAAAATAGAAAGTCTCCCAAATCTCAACAATTGAATTCTAAAAATTACTGAGAAATAGGCTAAAAATTCACTTGATTGTTTTATTTTACAGTAAATAAATTGTAGGAAAGAAGACCAATATCTGGAAGACTCACCATGCAGCTTGATTGTCGGAACGTCCCGTAATATTATTCTATCTAAAATATTATTTTAAGCTCTTTCCGTGAAATTTTTGAAAATTAAAATTCACATAATCCGGTTACAATATTTCATTCTAAGCTAAATATTGATCATACGATGGACGACTAAGTTCATTAATTGGCACAGTGAAATTTCCATGCATTTAATTTTGAGACTAGTTGAGTACTATACGAGGCTATACGTATCATAAAACACTCTGAATATGTAATAAAGGATTGAACTCGAAATATTTTCGAAAGATATCCATTTTTCCAATATATTTGTTTAATAGAGACTGTTACTTCAAAGTAACTATAAAAATCTTATAAAGTCAATATATGTTGAATTCTCGCCAGCATTTTTGTTTATTCCATGCAAGAAAATCAAATGTGAAATTGCAGCTCACTTAAAAAAGAAATGTTATATAAACCTAAAAGAATCAAAACATTCGAATTTTAACCACAAGAAGTTAAACAAATCATTTCCCCCTTGAAGAAGTGAAACAAATATGACTCCAAGAAAATGTCTTTAACCACAAGAAACATGTTGACTCCAAAGACAAAGCTTTTAATCTTCTCACAAAATTATCTGCTGGCAATAACCTCAAGCCTGCGAATCGAGTAAAACAAAGAACCGAGATCAAATCAGCACACAAACATAAAGATGACCGACCAAAGCCTAAGATTGTGATGGAGGTCTATTACAAAATGTTCATAACCTAAACCGAATATAAAAGCCCATTGATGGAATCAGAACTCTTACTTTGTTAGCAATGTTGTTGGAGAGCCAATCCAGACCTTCATACAACCCTTCACCGGTGGTTGCGCATGTGCTTTGAATATACCTGAATAAAAGAGAGCAAGCAATGTAATTTCCAAGTATAAAATAGTAATAGCAACTCGTGGATGTGATCATAAAGTTATAAAATCACCAGTGGCGTTGTCGGAGAGAGTGAAGGCCAAGCTTATCAGTGATCTCAGCAGCATTCATTGCGTTTGGAAGATCTTGCTTGTTGGCAAACACAAGCAAAACCGCATCCCGAAGCTCATCCTGCAGTTACAAACTTATTTAGTGACAATTCAACAAGTGAAAACTATCAATAGTACCAAAATGATCCATCACATACCTCATTCAACATCCTGTGAAGTTCATCTCTGGCTTCAACAACTCGATCTCTGTCATTGCTATCAACCACAAATATCAGACCTTGAGTGTTTTGGAAGTAGTGCCTCCACAAGGGACGGATCTGTAAGAGAGAACAAGTGGATAAGATCATAAATGTTCGTCTCTCTTGCGTTTCAATCTTTTTTGAAAGAGCCACACATAAAGTACACGCACCTTGTCCTGACCCCCGACATCCCAGACCGTGAAGCTGATGTTTTTGTACTCAACCGTCTCCACATTAAACCCTGTAAGAACCCAAATTATTAGTCTGTTTTGAACAAACAACAATACAAAGAGATGATGTATCATGTCTGGTTTGAAGAGCTTACCAATGGTGGGAATGGTGGTTACGATCTCACCAAGCTTGAGCTTGTACAAAATGGTTGTCTTACCAGCAGCATCGAGACCAACCATAAGGATTCGCATCTCCTTCTTGGCGAAAAGCCTGCTGAAAAGCTTTGCAAACGAAAGCCCCATTTTCCCTTTTTAACCGTTGATCCTGAAACGCCAAAATACACATGACAAACATATCACAATACCATAAACAATTGAATCACACCAAACCCACATTTCTGCTCTATTCCTAACACTGTTCCTTGCTTTTACACCAAGTTAGAACAAATGCATATAAAACCCAATTCTTCTATGTTACTGAACTATTGTATCAAATAACCATCATTAGTCATTATACTCATTACAAAAAGAACAGAGCAGCAAATGAAACGGAAAAAAAAAGGTAAACACGGATAATCGATCATGAGTTGACACATTTCATGATGAATTGTAACAGATGATCAGGAAACAAAAGTCAAATCTATACCCCAGGATACGTATAATCTATTGAATAACTCAGATCACCGTTGCAAGTAAAAAAGCCAGGAAAAAAAAGGAAAACGAAAAGACGAAACGAGAATCAATATCTCCGGAACATCAAAAATTCAGCTCATCAAGGAACTCGTCATGAAATTAGAATATGCAGATCCAGAAAAACCAGAAGAATCAAGAAGATCTGAAAGCTTTTCGTAGCTTACCTTTCGAAAAATTGCAAGGGATCTGAAGCGAGCGAGAAGTTTCAAATCAGCAAAATACGTGATTTTGTGAATTGATCGTACTTTGTGATTTGTGAATTTGATTTTTTCACTAAGACCCTCCTACTATTGTCTATTACGAAACGAGTACCTCTATTAAAACTTTTTTCCTCTTCAGAAAAAGACCCCTTAAATATGGAGAGTGAAAATCATGCCCCCTCAATTAATATATGTATGATTCACCTTCCACTGCTCTCTGCAACCTCACATCAAATTGTGTTTGAATACAGACCAACTTTATCTGACAAAGATGAGATCACTTAGTAAGTACTAGGCCAAATCAATTTACACATATATATATATACATACATATACGAGAGTACATATGTTTGGGTAATTTTACAAAGAAAATGCACACAAATATATATGTGAAAAAGGGAAAAATACTTTGAAAAGACATTAAGAAGACACACTTTCTTCATTTCCTTTACAATATAACACACTTGGCTCATTTACAATACCGGGGGAAAGAGAGATAGAGAATCAGAGAGAGAAAGAGAGAGGGACGAAGGAGCTTGACACTAGGCAGTGAAAGAGGTTTCAAGTGAGAGTTTGTAAAAGAAGTTTTCTAAGGACTTAAGGTGAGAGAGAGAGAGATGGGTTGGAAAACTGATTTTGGTCCGAGTAAAGAAGATGGTGAGAGCTTGAGCTTCTTCAAGGTTTTCCAGGGTGATGACTTATCCTCCGAAAGCAAGGTGATTTTTTGCTCTAAACCTCATCATATCCTTAAAGATGTGATTTTCTTGCTAGTTTTGTTTGAAAGGTGGAAACTTTTTTGTTGTGTGTGTTTAATGGGTTTCAAGTTTTAGGCTTAATCTTTTGGTGGTCATTGAAAGGTTAAAAATCTGTTGGTTCTCTGAATCTTTACATTCTCTGTGTTTGAAACCTTGAAACTGTCTGTTCTGTGGTTTTTTAATGGATCTCAACTGTTGAATTTTTAGGTTTTCTGTATTTGAAAAGTTGAATTTGTTAGCTTTGTTTGAAAGGTAGAATCGAATCTTTTTGGCTGTCCGAGTTTAGTAAAAGGTTGAGTCTTTCTCTTCATTTGTTCACTCTTTTCTTTCTCTGCTCTCAAAAACAAAACAAAAGGTTCTTAGCTCCCTGTGTATGGCCAGATCTTTTCCTCTGTGCTTCTTCTCGAATTCCTGTTCTAAGATTGTTTGTGATTAGACCAACTTGATGTTTAGAAAAGTAGAGGTGAAAGATTGAAACTTTGGCACTGATGTAATTGATTTAAGATTCTTCGGTTGTATGTTCAGAGAGCGTTTCCTTACAACTTCATAAGTAAAGTCTCTCAAGAGGAGATCTCCCGTAATATGGTGATACGAACGCAATGGGGAAGCTCATGGGAAGTGGGAATCTGCAAGAACGCAAGGTTCTACTACATGGACAGGCGTGGATGGAGCCAGTTTGTGAGCGACAACGCCTTGGGACAAAACGAGTATGTTACCTTCACTCACAAAGGCAACATGTGCTTTCATGTCAGCATCTTCGGGAAGAATGACAAGGAGATTATCACACCTCGAGATCCCCGGACAATGGCTTATCTTAGTAAGCTTTGCTTTGCTTTAAATGATTCATGAAACAGAGGAAAATATGGATATGAAGAATAATTCTTTCCTTTGGTGATGAAAAACAGGTGGGATCAAGAAAGAACAAGGGGAGAGCAGCAACAAAGCTTTGAAGGAGGAAGAGGAAACAGGTGAATCCATGGGAGTAGTTGAGCTCAATGTCAGAAAGAAGAAAGCTAAGGAGGAACCCGAGACATCCAAGAAGAAGAAGATCAAGGGCGATAAAGTGGAGCCTACTGTTCCACAATTCGAAGTCATCCTATTGAAATCATACCTCGCACACCTGGTAAGATCGAAACCAAAGATATAACAAAACAGTATCCACACACAGACTGTGACCAGTCTCTGAATTGATGATATGAGTGTGAATCTCTGATTTTTTTTCAGCCAATCCCAAGTTACTTTATTCGCCAGAATCATATCCCGAATAAGTCTACGACATTCACGATTCATCACGAGAACGGGAACGGTTCATGGGAGGTGTCTTGCTTGGTGAAGAAGACTTATGCAACCACCCTCTCAGCTGGATGGTCGAAATTGGCACGACAGTACCCTTTATCGATCGGCGACGTTTGTACCTTCCAGCTCATCAAACCGACCGAGTTTCGCCTTGTTGTCGGCCAGTGAGGTGTTAAGTGTGCTGCTTTCTTCTTATCCATTAAGACAATCTGATGACTTTGGTTGTATGGTTTTAAAAGACTTTTTATTGCATTCCCTCTTAAAAACACAATGTTGATGATGCAAATTTATTTTTCACTAGTGTCAATATTCTGCCATAATGACAAAGCAGAGACAATCGAAGTCTTGCGTTTCAAACAAATCATAAGAAAAGTATAGAAAAAAGACATCAACTTTTAAACTAAAACCGTAATTCGTATGAAGTAGTGGTACTAGTCGTAGTAGGCTATTATGCTAAAGAAAGATATACATACATTCATCTACAAATTTTCACAAGATCCATCAACATACATCGTGATCTGACTGAACTCTGTTTCTCGCGGGCTTACCAATCTGTAAACAATCAATGGGAGGAACCGTAGGAGTGTTGAGCTCACCAAATGTCTGCCAGCAAAAAGGATCATACATATGATACCGTTCTTGAACCGGTTTAAGCTCAATTGCAGATAACTGCACATCTACGCAAGGGAAGTTATCGCTGCAAGCGAAATGCACAGGCTTCACTGTATAAGTGCCTTTTATCCTCTCGTAGGTCACTCCTTCCACTGCTACTGCTGATGTCTGGTTCTTACACTTGCTATGGTCACAGTAGAATTGGTCTATCACTATCGGAAGCTGGACCTCGTTGAGCTGAATGTTCGAGAAGAGGATCCCTTTCACTGATCCCACTCCTCCTTGCCATGTCTTGATCCGGACACCTGTCATCGTGTTGTGCATCGCCACGTCTCGCACTGTTATGTTCGATACGCAGGCTTTTGTGCTGTCCTTACCGAGACTACCGATGCTGATCCCATGACCCGGTCCACAGTTCACGTTGTGTACGTATACATTCGAGCAACCCGTTTGGATCGAGATACAATCATCTCCTGCACACACAAACACGTAGAGAGGAGACACCATTAATCGACAATTCAGATCATTGGCGAGATTCAAGATTCAAGATTCATACCGCAAGCGAGTGTTGAGCTGTGGATGAGGACATCTCTGGTGTTCTGTAGGTGAATCCCATCTGTGTTTGGACTGTCACCGGGTGAAGAAACGGCCACGTCATGTACCACAACGTCGACGCAGTTATCGAATTTGAGGTGACATTGAGGACTGTTCTGGATCGTTATACCCGACACTTCCACGCCAATACTCCCGTAGAATCGCAATGCCTATAAAAACCAGAAACACAGATCAGTTAACAAAACCAATGCTTACAATTTCACAACACCAAACTCTTTTGTGTTTATATTTCTCACCGTTGGCTTGATGCTTGGCATTTTCCAATCAAGCTCACTTCGTATCTGTCAAATGTACGTGAAACAAAAAGGGTCTGATCATGGATGAATATTCTGCAAATGAGACACTGAAGAAGAAGAAGAAGAGGATGAAGATACCGGCATTGGAGGGTTTTGGTGAGCAGAATTGTTTAAGGGAACGATGAGTTTGGTTTCACCATCAATGAAAGGGTAATCTTGTTGCCACCAACCAGAGCCTCTTCCATCTATCACACCTTTCCCTTGTACTTTGATTCCTTTCAGCTTTGTGAAATCAATCCACCACATTAACCCTTTTCCCCATGTCTTTGAATCCGTTGGAGCTATGATTGTACCATCAAGCTGCAAAAATCACAAGAAAAGTTACAGAATTTTTTTTCACTACAAAGATACAATTTTTTTTAATATTCTGAAGATCATTGTTTCTCACCTGAAACACAATGTTAGCTTGACAATAAGGACCAGAGAATGAGATTGGACCAATAAGGAAAGTGTATTCAGGCGGTACGATCATCGTTGATGCTTCGATTTTGCAAGCTGCTGCCCAAGCCGCTTCAAACGCCTGCAATCATTATGAAACTCTGTTAATATCTTCATTAACTAATCTTAAAGCCCTAAATCACCAACACTACAATTATCAATTATGGTTAGTAAGGCTTGTGAACTATTGTGGTCCCTTTTGTAATCTGTTATTTCTGTTGTCGCTTACTTTATATTCGTTTGGGTTTGTTTATTTTTGTGCGCAATTTTAACATTTAAGAACCAAAAAAAGATTTATAAAAAAGAAGTTTAAGTGACTTTATGGACAGAAACCTTTTTCTGAACTCTGTTTTTTAATAGTTCTGTCTCGTGTTCTGTCTCAATGATCCCTCAACTGTAATGTGTCTTTTTAAAAATTCTCATGAAAACGAAATATAAAATCCCCTAATTAATCAAATACAACCACTAGGATTGAAAATGGTACGGATAGAGAAATTAATTAGTTTTTAATTTTTTTTATCTTTTACCTTAGTGTCATCACATTTGCCATCACCCTTTGCCCCAAAATCCATCACATTGAAGACGTGAGATCCCTTTAGCGGCGGAAGAGACGGCGGTTGGACTTTTGGTGGCCGTGAAACCACCGGAGAGTTACTGTCGTCAGCTTTTGGTGGAAGTTTCTGCTTTGGTTTTGGTTTTGGTTTAGGTTTAGACTTGTGTTGATGGTTATTGTTGTTGTTGTGAGAGCTGTGATGATGACTGTTCCCATGGCTCTTAGGTTTCTTGCCTGACAAGGAATCAGACACGTCAGATGAAGAGGATCTTCGGTGGTTATGTCTCCAATGCCTTCCTCTTCGAGCAATGCAGGTCTCTAGAGTTACAGACCAGACCAAAACGGCCATTAATATCATCATCGTGATGCTTCTCAGCTTTAGACTTCTTCTCATTATCATTTTCCTCTGTCTAGACGAAGAATGTTTTTGGGGTGGTTGAGACTAAGAGACTGAGACTTTGGTTTTTTTTTTTGGTGGTTTAAGTTGAAGAAAGAGAAGGTTTTTGAGGGGATTTAAATAAGGAAGCTGTCCAAGAATGTTGAGAGGCTCACGGGTTTTCAAAATGGAATTTTATTATTAAAAAAAAAAACCAAAACGAAATTGAATCAGTAATGTCCTTAATTTTCCATATTGTTATTTGATAAACTTATTTTTAAAGTTAACAAATTGCTAAATAAACGAATAAGTCTAAGCTTTACTATTACAATAAGACCATAATGTTCGTAGCAAAAAAAAATAAAAAATAAGACCATAATGTTCGATTTTTTAGTTGGACCTTTTTGTAAAATAATGGTGATGATATTGACAGTGATATATAGTTATTACTCGAGAACTAGTATTTGGAAGTTATGATGCCAAAGGTATAATTGAAACAGAGCAATCTTATTTACCGCGGATAAAAGCTTAAGTCTCACCCACACGGCCAAAACCTTGTGGAGTAAATATTATTAGCCTGGGACAGTATGCATGCCACGTGTAGAGTATTGGTTGGTTTAAAGCTCATCTAATTTGGTTGCGAACATGGATAGCCAAAGACTTCCCATAATCACATACATGCAAACACATGTATATGCGCACCATGCAGTAGGGATGCTTAAAATGAGGTGTATATTCAATTTTAGGACCTTGCTTTATGTTTTTTTTTTGGATATATACAATTAGATCGATACAAGCATGTGTGTATGTAACGTAGCTAGGCATGTGTTGGATATCTGTCGTATTGGCATGATAAGAGTGTCCTATGATTTTCACATTTACCGTGGTGAGGCCATGTAGAAAGAAAAAAATGATATTAAAAAAATGTGATTTCTAATAACTGTTTCAATCATTATATATCAAGAATTTTTTAAAAAAAATTTAGAGAGTATAAAAATAAAACTTGAGACCTGAGATCAGGTAAAATAAATTATGAAGAAAAAAAACTTGAACTCAATAATTAATCAAAGTAATATATATTTTTCATTATTCCATTTTATATATAGTCTGTAATCTATTAGGATCCCAAGTGATAATCAAAATCTTTAACAAAAAAAAAGTGGATAATCAAAATCTCAAAAAAAAAAAAAAGATTTTAAGAAATAGGGACATACAAAGTTGTTGAGAAATAATGTGTCCCATTAGTTTATACGTTTTATAAATCATATATATGTATGGATATATATATCATATATGTAAGACTATATAAAACGAGAATAAATAAAACGAAAGAGACTCGTGAGTGGGTCTATATGTTGTCAATGGGGCACTGATTATAACATCTCTTTTAGTACTCACATGCACCACTTCACGGGCATTGCTTTTGTATTCACAACTCCTTCCTCCAATTATTTACATATTTTAATTGTTTCTTTCTTTCTTTTATTCATGTTGAATCCATTCTACCTTCAATTTCATTCATTATTTAAGAAAAAAATATAGACTTCTGTTAAAGGAAAGAGCAGAAACAGAAAACAGAAAGTAACCGAAGCTTGTTTCTTTTAGGTCCTCATATTTTTTTATTTTTTAATCATATATTTGGATATACACTAACTTATAATGCAAAGTTTGAAACAAAATGTTGTCGGCATTTTTTTCCTTGTTTTTACTTCACGAGCTGTCGGCATTGGCTGTGAATGAAAAAATGTTTTATTTAGTATATCAAATAGCTAAAGTCTCAAGACTTCGATAAGTAATGTTGTGCTATATATGGTAATCGTAAAAAATGTGTTGCGATTGAGTGAAACATATGAAATGTACGTATTGTGATGATCAAAATTACTAAAAGAAACTTACACCAATGACGAACGAAATAACATGTTATTTGTGAAGTGATTATATCTTAGAATACTTTGAACTTGGTTACTGGTTAGTGTGCCTAGTGGTCGGGTCGTCATATCAAACCTACAAATGGATCGCCGTGAAAACTGGTTTATGTCGTTATAAAAGCATTTTTTATGAATTTTCATATGAGATGGTATACCGTTTTTAAATTACATTAAGTGAGCTCTATTGCTATACTAGCTACGCATTTTTTTCGCATGTTATCTAATAAATGTTATGCGCATTGATGAGGCTCCGATTGTACATTCACTGGTTGGTTGTCTAACAAAAGATTGTATTATGTCACATACTGTTATTGTATCATCAGTTCTCGTACAAAGTGTTTTTCATCTCCAACATTTTTTGGATCATAAATATAATGTAAAATTCTGTCTGATTCGACCAAATCAGAGCTAATAAACATTGGCAGCATAGTTGACAAAAAAAAAAAACATTGGCAGCATACTACCTAAAAAAAACGTTAAATAAAAATAAATACATTTGGAAGAAATTATAAAAAAAAATTAAAGAAGTACAGAATTAATAACACAATTATGCAATGATGTACGGATAAACATAAACCATCTTTGGGATTCAGAAGAAGCTTTGGGCGCTCATAGTTTGAGGCAATTTCTCTGTCAAATAAAACTAAAAAAACAGAGGAATCATATATAGTATAAAAGAATGCTCACTTCAATTGTTGTAAGCTGGAAAAAAGTAAGTTGTTGTTTTGTCCTAATAGAAAAAAAATGAATAAGTATTTTATATTTTATTTTCGTCATGGTTCTTCAAAATTATATTATAAATGATAATTATTAAATATTGATCTACTATTCTGCAATAGTAAAGTATCATGTGATGAACACACAAATATGTAATTCGACAATTACATTCTTCACAGCCAAAAAGCTGTTGCCTATAGAATATTTTTGAACGTTCAAATTGAAAAACAAAAACAAAAAATCAGACTATTGTGAGAAGAATATCGATCCCATTGAGTTTGATTCTTGATAGTTATTAAACACATACAGTATTCGGATAATCAATGTTTTGTTTCCTATAAACGTAAATTATTACAATGGCTAGGAAATGGATCATAAATTTTTAACGTTGTTATGGTTTATTTTCTGTAGACATATTTGTGTTGCTTTTGCTGATCAAATGGCGATCTTGCTTGCACACATGATTTCTAATATATAATTAACATTGTCAATAATACTAGTGTCAATAATGTTATTATTATACTGTCACGGTACACGAAAAAGCATGAAAGTTAAAATCGTTTTCGTTAATTCGAATTATAAATATGCGAAGACAGTCAGAGACCAGAGACATTGCTGGCTTCTTTGCTGAGATTACAGTTAGTTTCAGTTTTTACTTACGCAGCAGATATATATAGGTCCAAATAGATGCCACTAAATGACCCTCTCTTTCATTAAAAGTATCGGAAATGCCACTGTTCATTGTTGCACGAGACAAATAAGTACAAAGCAAGCCTTATTTATTTCAATGCTTTTATTAAAACTAAGGAAAGAATCCTGAAGAATCAAGAAATGTGTCAGACAAATCATTTATTAAAACTAAGCCTAAAGCTAACGTTGCATTTATAAATTCGAAGACTTATAGGTGGACCAACCATGTTGCCTATCTTTGTTCTTTGTTGGTGCTCTTAGTTACCGAGGCGGTAAAGCAATAATATTCAAGAACGCCTTACACATTAACTAGTCGTTCTTATTTAGCTTTAAAAATGTTTAGATTTTTTTTATATAAAAAAAATGTTTAGACTTTAGAGTTTGAACGGCCGTTTCTAGGAGTAGATTACTCTCTGGTTTTATTTTTAGTTATAATTTATAAGAAAATATAGCATATTTAAACAGCCATATACGGTATCTGTAATCAAAAAAAATTATCTATATTTTTGAAAATACAATAATACAAAGAATAATCATATAGTACACGGCTATCTAAACTAATTAATGAACCAGTCAAATTTTTTTGAGTGATTATTCGAAATCATGGTGATGGAACGATTTCTACTGTGAATATAGCCGATTGTTGAAATCTTGGTAACAACTATATATATTACCTAATTTGTAGATTAAATTTACTCATTGTTAAAGTTAGTGATATCTGCAGTCGTTAGTAAATGAAATATGCAATGGGAGAAGATTGAAAAAGGTGTTCGTCAAAACTCAATAAGCTAAAAATATTTTAAAAAGAAAAAAGCGAAATCTTAAGAAACTGTGAGTTATTGTGACTTTTTTTTTTAAAAATAGTAGTATGATTTTCTGATTTGAATGTATAGCTTAGTGGTCTTTTTTTAATGCATTTTCGTATCTCTAGTTAAAGTCAAGTATTTATGGTATAATGGTATGTGAATTATACAAAATTTTGGCTTTAACTGTGTTCTAGCACCTTATGGTCGCTCCTATATATATGAGCTCGGTAATTTGCTTCGAACGTGCAGTATACCGTAAAATCTAATTATTTGGAAGATTAATGCATATATTACCTATTGGCTATTACATTCATTTAAACTTTTAAGAGATCATCCAGAAATCTTATATACATGCTTATAAATCTTGTTTTATTTTGCACTTTTACGTATACAACAACTCACACATCTAATAAGTCAAGAATCGATGCGAGTATAGTTATGTGTATCTATTAGATATAGATAATAATAGGGACGAATCTGTAAGGTGCACGAGAATTTTGTAATTATTGGATATGTAATAATAACAAAAATGTATGCCCTTTGACTTCACAGCTCGACTCTTTATGATCTCGTGCCAATCTCTTTTTTTCTGTTGTTGATAAAGCGCAACTTATATTTTGTGGACCGTACCATTTCTCTGATACGCCAAATATGTCTTAAGTTACCTGTCTTCTACGTTATAAGAAAATATAACTTCACGCATTTGAAAAATGAAAAAAAAAAAAATCCACGCACATTTATGTAGATTATAACTATGGTAAGACACGTAGTCACTAAGTGGGAATAAACTATATATCACATGCTTGAAGAATCGGAGAAATCAACGATCGAAAATACGTTAATACGATTGCAGTGATATTGATTAAGAAATTGTATAAACTTTTTCGCATGGTATCAGATATAATCATATTCCTTATTATCATCGTCTCTCCTCTATACTTATACGCATAAGGCATAACATAGCAAAAATATCCAATGTTAATCCACGACGTAATTAATCTTCTTTAATAGTCTTTTTTAAACCCTAAGTATATAGTTGGAACACATTATTTACTTCATATATGTGGCCATTATATCTTTGATTTTGGAGAAATTAAATTTTTGTTTTATCTTTTGGCTTTACGGATTTTTAAAGGTGAGTTTTATATGCCGTCTTTAAGCGCAGATCCGCTCGTGAACCTTTTCCTCTTGTTGTGTTTTAGTTTTTTTTTTGCTTTTTAATTTAGCTTCCCCGTGAAGTCCATGCAACGGCCTTGGAATATACCTTAATATCCTTCCCTTCTATGGTCATTTTCTAATCTTTTTGATTAAATTCCTTCTATTGTTCTCTTATTACTGTTTTTGTTTTGAAGCTAATATCCAATAATATTCTTGCTTGTGAGCACATGAACATATAAAACACATACACACGCAAAAAAAAGGCTGTTTGTAGAAGAAGATATCACAAGGATTATGGATGTGACTAAGCGCTGGCATTTTTAATTATTGAGTTTGATTGGTTAAACCCCCGGAAAATCTATCTTGGCATGCAATGGAATTCTAATATCCTGTAAAGAGAATTCACTAGAAACCAAAAGTTGATTTGTATAATCATTAATATAAATCAACCACATGTATTGTAGATTTGTAAATGTGGCCAAAAAGTACCTGATTTTCAAAACTATTATTAAACTGCAGCTGCAATGTCTAATAATATTAGTTAATTAAAATCTGAAGTGATAAATGTTAAGAGTATTTTTGCGGTATTGGTGGCATAGCTGTATTTTTTTTTCCCCAACTCAAGAGAGTCGCGTTTGTTATGCATGTAAAATATCCCCTTCGACCCTTTATAAAATAATAATAATAAAAAAAATCCACTTCGAAGAACTCGAGTTTTGGACTGTGTTGTAGTTATATATACGTGACGTGTATATGATATTTTTTAATTTAATTTTGGAGTACTATATATGAATGAAATAATAGAGAGATCATGGGTATTTACTGTTATGTTGCTTCATAAATTTTATAGAGACAAAATTTGTCTCTTTTCCCACTCTCTTGTCCAAACCATTTTGTTCTCATTACGCTATCCAATCATCGTTCGGCATTTGGATGATAGATGCATATATATGTACCACATGGATATATACGGTATGTAAAGTAAATACAGATGTCAGTGATGATCACATGTATATTATTTATGTTGAATCATAAAAGCAACCAATGGTTCTCGACGATCTTCGAGTTTTACCCGGAACCCATTAAACCGTTCCGTTTGTACTAATCACTATTTCCTCTAGCCAAGTAGCCAGCGGTCTAGAAATTTTGGCGGTTTTAATTAAACGAAAAAGAGAACAAGTAGAAATAAATGGCCATCAATTGATTTTTCAAAAAAAAAAAGTAAATTAAAACAAATATTTTAATATGTGACATATAAAACCTCCATTCCATCTGTATAAGAACCTTACCGACATAGCTATAATGAATGTTTTCATAAACTTGGTCGCCCTTAACACTAATAAAACACATTAATACAGACGTCAAGCACAAACCTCATTGCATTGGATCTCGCCCGAACTAGGCTAAACTTTATATTTCCGAATGGTAAGAAACTTCGTATATATAAATCATTTCACTTACAAATTTAAGCATTCTAATGAGTTTTCTTACTTATTGTTAACAGCGAATACAGAGTATAACCCAACACATGCTTGACGAATGAGCTTTTGAGATACAGCGTCGGTTAAGTTTTGTGCAATTATGGGTTATTTTTTTTTTCAGTTAAGCCTCTAGTTTCGGTTTTAATTCGTTGTTCAGGTTTAATTGGTTATCTAAGGTTAAAAAACGCATGATTGACAAAACTAATATGGGCTTTTCTAAATTGTTCTGAGCCCATGGAAAAGCAGATAGAGTCAGCGGCTAAAAGCCTAAAACCGAGTCACAACAGAACTGTACCAAAAATTCGGTTCGGTTTGATTCGGTAAAGGGTCTTAATCTCACTGAGAAAAAAAAAAAAAAAATCGATCTCACTGATAGTGTGATACACTCTGTTGCTGATTTTTTTTTTATGAATGTAATTCGTGCATTATTCGATTTTCTATGTTAATAACAAAATAGAGCGCATACGCGCCCGTATATATATATCGTCCAGCGAGATCTTTTAATGTTCATCATCCAAACTCTCTCATTTTCTCTCTCCCATTTTTTTCTCGCTCTAGTTTTCTCGTAGAGAGTCTCTGTCTAATAACATTTTTCCGGGAAAAAAAGAGAGAAAAGTCTCAAGAAAGATTTATCTTGGTTGATCGCTGCGATGAAAGGTATCGCAAGTAAAATAGCGCAAGACCCAGAGCAACTGCCAACGGATTCATCGGAAAGTATTGACGGCGAAGGTAAACTTGGGAATAATGCTTATAGATATTATATCGAACTCTCTGAAGATCGTGAACAATGTCCATGTTCTATTTTTTTTCCCTTCTTCAATTTTCTTGGAATCGAATTTCTCGGTATCTGCTTTCTTGTACCACAAGCAAATCTGTTTTAAACAGTTCCTTCGTTTTGAACTACAAGTAGTTTTGATCTGTTCACATTCCCGCGAGTGAAAGTAGTAGAGTTCCTCATGCTCTGAAACAAGTCTCGATCTTGAGAAATGAATTTAGGGTTCTTTGTTCTTGGTTATCTTTCTTTCTTAATCTTTTTAGTAATTCGTTTTATAGATTTAAGTTATGGAGTTACATATGGATGGAGCGAGATCGTAAACGGAACCGAGAACTTCGGGTCAACACATTTTCTTGGCGAAGGCCACTTCGGCAAAGTCTATCGCTGCGATTTCCCAACTTCGGTATAAACCCGAAACTCTTGTCCTTTATGGTTTTGAAAAATCGAAACCCAATTTGCTAAATTTAACAATTTTTGATTAATTAGGTTGGAGCTGCAAAGATTCACGATCATGGAAACCAACTAGGTGATGCTGCTGAGTTCTTGGCAGAGATGAGAACGTTACAAGAAGCTAATCACCCAAATGTGATTAAACTTATCGGCAAATCTTTCGGCCAGAAGAAAAGTGCCTTAGTCTACGAATTCATGCCTAACGGCTCTCTCAACTACCACCTCTCTGGTAAAAAAATACCCTAATCAACTCTGTTTTACTTGTGAATCAAGTTATCAATTTGCTAACTCCTTCTCTCTCTTTTTTATGTGGTGTAGCATTCGTGAGTCCAGGTCTAGGTCTACAGCAGAAAACTAGGGTTTTGGATTGGAAAACGAGGATGAGAATCGCTGTGGGTGTAGCGGAAGCTCTGGTTTATCTACACACAGGGATAAAGACGATTCACCGAGATATTAAAGTCGCAAACGTTTTACTTGATGAGGACTTTACACCGAAGCTGGCTGATTTTGGATCGGCGGCTAAATTCGTTGAAATCGAAGACGGCGTTGATCCGCCGCGCAGGATGAATCCGGTCAAGGGAACTCTAGGATATAAGGCACCGGAAACCGAGAAGTTCGGGTTGGTTTCGACCAAGTCCGATATCTATAGCTATGGAGTTTTTCTGTTTGTGCTTTTCACCGGAAGGCAAGCTTATGATCTGAAGAGACCTGCTGCGACAGTGAGAATCACTGATTGGGTATGTCTATGACTCAAACTTTGTATATAGGGTTTTGCTATTTAAAAGTTCCTTGTTCCGGAAGTAATATATTAATTTATGTTTTCTCGGATGTTTTTACTTCAGTTGAGGCCAGTGTGGAGTAAAGAGGAGTTTATCCCTAGGGTAACTGATCCTGCGCTCGGTAACAACTATTCGGTTGAAGGTTTAAACAGTCTGTTTCAAACTGCGAGGATGTGTACAGACGCACACGCAAGTTCACGGCCTCAAATGGTGTTTGTGAAAGAGATGGTTCGTCAAGCTGCAGCGTTCCCAGTCCCAGAGTTGCTCCCGGCGAGATAGAGACTCGATACAAGTTTGATCAGGAGATTTCGACGATATAAGCTTTTCTTTTTTTGAGAAACATTCAAAAACATATGCAGGAAATTGTATACAAATATTTTCTTTTTATAAATATTAACAATACACAACTTTTGAAAGTTGGAAGACTTTTTTCAAGACTTGAGTAATGGATTCTCTTTTCTTTTGTGCCATTTGCTTTCTGTCACAAAAGTCAGGAAAAGAAGACCTGAACGCTAGAAGTTTTCAAAGACTCGCATACAGGACATATCCCAGTGAATACATCACATTCTTTACACAAACTCAAGTGCCTACAAGGCACAACCAACACCGATACTTCCTTCGCATTGCACATTTTGCATCTCATCCTCTGAGTCCCCATGTTTTTGTTGTGGTTGTTGTTTGGATCAATGAATGACGAAGCTGCATCATCTATCTCGCTGTCTCCAAACCCTTCTTTGCCTTGATCTGCAGCACCAATCACATTGTTGTTGTTTTGTGACATTGCTTGTTGTAGATTTGTCTTCAAGGCATTAACCACAGACTCGTTGTACTTTGCTCTGTAGTGCCAATTCTGAGCTTCCGTTGCCACTTGCTTAATCCGTTCCACGAGCTCCTTGTTCTTCTTGTTCATGTTATCGATCTCGAGGTCTTTCTCTTGCAGCTTCTTGCTCACTCCCTTCTCTATTGTGTTGAGAAAAGACGCAATCTGTCTCTGTTTCATATCCCTCACTCCTTTCGCCATTTGAGCCGCCTGAAGCAAGACAGATACATTACAAAAACGAAGAAACTTAAGAGCTTCAAAACAGAGCACACGCAGAAACAATCAGTACCTGGATCTTGATGAACTGGTCAAGCTCATCTTTTTGTCTATGGAGGTCCACCCGAAGACTATCATCGAGTGACTGAAAGATCGTAGAAGCAGCTACAATGCCACCACTAGCAGAAGTCACTGAAGAGTTGCGTTCATCGTCATCATAAGATAGCCTAAGACCAGTGGAGACTTGTTCTGGAACACTAATGTTGTTGTGATTATAGTTCAAAGATATCTGAAGCTTCTGTTGCCTTTGGATATTACTAAAGCTTTCGACTTCCCTTCCTCTTTTGTTGGGCCGAATCATTGGAACGAGATTCTCGTTAGCGAAATAGTTTACTGGATCAACAGTGCACCCACCTCCCACTGCACAACAACAATAAGATAACAGAAGACATGATTAGCTGAATAATGCTATAGTTTGAGATTAGGACATTATGATAAACCAGAAACTTACTGGTTCCGAGCAAGTGAAGCTGATTCGATTGTGTGTTTGACTGGTATTGCAACTGGTTCTCATTCATGAAAACCGGTGGTACAGTGTTTGCATTGTTCCCACTTAGCATCTTCTTCTTCAATGAATGTGTACGTACGACGGTACGGTAAAGTATTCGACTATCTATGTAGAATGAAGCCTGCAATAAAGGAAGAAGAAGTCAAGATTGGACCTTTCTTAAGCAACTAATCTAACGAAGATACGCTAATCGAAAACATGAATCAGAGTCTATATACAAGTTTGGAACTTTTGGCTCCCAGTACCGACCAGATCTACAAAGCAGAGAAATGTAACCGAGACAATGGTGGATCATAGAACAGAGTTGATGCTAAATCTATAATCAAACAAAAAAAACAAGAAAACAGAAACTTCTGGAGAGAAAAATATATCCTTTGTACCTAAACGATTAGATTTCTATGACTTTGCCTGATAAATCGGGATACAGCAGATTGATTGATTGATTTGTTCAATAGTCAAAGTTCCATATAAATATATTTTTTTGTCTTAACTTATTGAATTGAGGTAAATCTCTGGGAACATGGAAAGATGACAAAAGTTCAAAGAACGGTTCATATAACCCAGAAACAGAAACCCTAAGGAAATTGTAACTTTCCAAAAATGAGTACCAGACGAAGAGGAACAAAATTTCGTACCTTTTTTCAGAAAATTTTCTTCAGATTCAACCGATTTAACAAACTCTAGCTTCCCTTCAGATCCTGCATAAAATCATCATTGATTCAAAAAAAAAAAAAAAAATTATTTTCTTTTTCTTGCACTTGTTATTTGATCAAAAACATCCCAGAAATTTTTATTTAAACTAATAAAAAGTGAAGAAATCGAGAAAGAGAGAGACGAACCGATGAATCAGGATCTTGACAGAAAAGAAGATGCCTTTGTTGAGATGAAACGGCTATAGAAGAACAAGACCCAATCAAATTAAAGCCACAAAAAAAAAATAGTTTGCTTATAAAGAAAAAAAAAATTGTAAGGGAAGAAGACAAAAGGAAAGAGGCAAAAGAAACGGAAGAAGAAGAAAGAATGATGGATTGTGAGCAATTGAGCGGGTGCGATGGAGCGGGACAGTGATGAAGAAGTGGGGGAAGTTGGGTGCCAATTTCGATATTTACTTAAATAATAATATAACAAAAATACAGTACCTTTTAAAAAAAAAAATTAATTTCAAATTTGAAAAGAAAGAAAAAGAAAATGGTTGATAGTAAATGTAAACACCAAACAAGAACCGGTGCTGCTGCTTTCGTCGTGAGTTGTGTATCTGTCTCTCCCTGATTACGCCAACTTTTCAGTTTTCTTTTTTTCTTTTTCTCTTTTCCTTCTTTTTGTTAAAATTTAAAACCCCGGAAGATTGATTATAGGTTTGACTGATTTAACAAATCTATTAATTACGGTAACTGATATTGAATAATAAAATAACTAAATGGTCGAATCTCGAAAAACCTTTTGGTTGACTAAGTTTTTGCGAAATAATATAGACGTTAAAACAATGTTTTAGTAGATTATTGGTGTCTCATTTTCTTAATGATAATTTTTTGACGTGTTTATAGTAGTTTAGTATAATTATTTTCAAAGCGTGTAAACGTAATTAGTATCTTCTTGAATTCTCTTTAAAGATAGTGAAATCACGCTTTAAAATAGAGAAACGTGTAATAAAATGGTATACGATTTATTACCACTTTCTTTTTGTTAAACTGTCAGAATTAGATTACTAACTTAAGTTATTTAACTTAATTTCGCTTCTCTTGTTGACCACAAGATGAGGCATTTTTAAACTATCCAAACACACATTAACAATACATTGAATTCTGAGATTGTTGACTAGAAGTAAATGCAGAATGTAATCATTTCAATATTGTTGACAAAAGATAGTATGGAATGTGATTTCAATAAGCTATACCACAGTTGAATGTGTGATCGCGTTAGAGAACAGTTGTGTAATAATGTTAAGAGTACAATAGTGTAATGAAACCGCTGTGATTGATGATATATATGTCGACCAATCAAAATTGTGTTAGAAACCTCATTTCATGGTTTCACACATTATCTAGTTAGAACTATATAAAATTATCAACTACGGTAAAGATTGGTCGTTTTAAAGTGTATCACAAGTATGATATATTTCTCCATTGAATCCATTTATATTTTATCAACGATGTTACACGTGGAAAATTCAATTTTAATTCTTCCAGAAGTCAATACCACGAGGGGAGACGCTATACATATTCAAACTATTTCACCGGGATTAATCAAATACCACGAATGACGAACACGGATGTTGCTGTATAACTTATGAAAACAGAAAAAAAATTGTGGAAATCAAACTCTGTCAACCTCTCTTAATAATATTATTTTCGGAAACCATATTTGTATTTAGTTGTTTTCCCTTGTTTTTATATATTAGTATAATGCAAAATGTATGTGTGTGTACATGCAGAGAGAGAGATAATAAAGTAATAATAGTAATGAATAATCGCTTCACGTCAAATTCAAAAGTCAGGACACGGATTCCATAGTGGGGAGAATTATGACAGCAGAGAAGCAGAGATGGTCAACTAACCCACCGTAGGGGTACTTTCGTCTTTTCCTCCACCAAAATTGGGGTAACGGAAGAGGAAAAAAAGAAGCGATCGACGAGAACGTGTTCGCCGTGATCTCAGTGTCTGAGAGGAGAAGGAGCCGTTTTAATTGCGTGTGGGACCCACTTACCTGGTCGTTGGGACAAATATGGCGGGTAAATTTTGGCGGGGAGAAAAAGAAGAAGGAAGGAAAAACCCCTTTGAGCTTTTAGTAAGTTACTTACCCATATGACTTTCTGGAAACTTGGACCGGACCAAACCGTCGCACGCCAGGTTTGTCGGAGGAAAATTAATTAATTTCGTCTTCTTTTTCCTTGAATAATTTGTTAAATAGGATATATAATTATCTAATCTCCTAACTTATATAATTTTGGTTTATGATTCGTTTTGGTTCGATTACAGTCAACTCGGTTTTGGATTTTTGGTTTAAATTATAATAAAACCAGTATGTTATGAAATCTATCCCTAATTATGTCTTACCACCATCGAATATATAAACTGTTAAGACTTGAGACCCGATTAGTGAAGAAGATATACTATAGTATCCTTCGTAAATGGGGGGATATCATTTAGACCATCTCCAATGTGTTCCTCTATTTTTTCCTCTAAAATAGAGGAACTCTAAAATAGAGGTGTACTTCTCTCCAATGTATTCCTCTATTTTTTCCTCTAAAAAGGTATATTTTAAGAATATTCTCTTTATAATTTATTATTAATACCTTCTTTTCATAAAATTCACAAATTAACCCTATTTATATTATTGTTTACAAAATTTTCCATCAATAATAAAAATATATTAAAACTAAACATTTATTTCATAAACAAAATTCAAAATGACTATGTATTTGTAATTTTCCATAATTTTCAAAACATTTATTAAATCACTATAGTATTTATCATTTTCTATAATTTCTGTATTTTAAAAAAATTATTGCAATTTATCATTTTATTTATAGTTTAGTTTGAAATAAATGAGAATTTTCCAATTTAGTTATATTATATGTTCACAAAATTTTCTCAAACCATAACAAAATTATTAAATTTATTTATTTATTAGGTTTTTGTATTTAATAACATATAAAACTGTATAATGTAACTTTATTGACGTATTATTGTACATGTGTATACTATATTGCTATTCATGTTTATTTTTTTTATCGTAGATTAACCACTTTCATTTATAATTATATAGTTAATTAAAATAAATAATGTTTTCTGTTTTTCTATAATAGTTATTGTCTGAAATGATGTTGATTTTATTAAACTTTATTAAAGTTATTTAATATTTTATAATTTAATTAAATTTATATGTTAGATATATGGCTATTTATTAGATATATACAAACTAGATTATGCAAATATTTAATTGAACTTTTTATATGTTATATAAATAAAAATAAAAAAGATGTAAAAGTTAAGGAACCAGTTTATAAATAAAAAAATGTATCTCTATTATAGAGGAACAAATAGAGTTCCTCCAAATATAGAAGAAAAATAGCAACCTCTATTTTAGAGGTAAAAATAGAGATGGATTGGAGAGAATTTTTCTCTAAACTCTATTTTTCCCTCTAAAATAGAGGTAGATTGGAGATGTTCTTAGATGTGTGTTTCAAAAAGAAAAAAGCAAAAGGTTTTTGGTGGTTGCAATGATACCGACGCAATCAATTTATTATTATGTGTACTGTTATATTTATTTGTAACGTTACACGATATCCAACTAATATTTGGTTGAAGATTTGTTATGTTTATACGATTTAGCTTTTGACTATGTTCTAGTGCATAACCTTTGCTTTCCTTTCAAGTTGTTAACATAGATTCTATATTTCATATTTGAGTCAAATATAGATGCACTATTTTCTAAAATACGATGTGTCTTCTAGCTCGAGACTGGAACTAATGAAAGAGAAAAAAAAGAAATCCAAAAGTTTGTTAAGTCTCCTTGTGCCCGTCATTATATGGAGTTTCATACACATATCATCTCCATATTATTAGAACTATTTAACAGAATCTTTCCACATGTTTGATCGTTGTTCAACTGTTCACATTCATTCACTCATTAGATGTCTTTTTAGCCCTTTTAAATCCTTGTGATGGTAGTGTCTATTTTGCCTTTAAAATGTTTGAATCTCTGCTTCTCATGTTTAAACTCAGCAAAACTGCAACTTTAATGTGATATATGGAGATCAAAACCTCTATATATTCTCTCGGTTTAATGGAATTGGAATTTATCAATTAGGCAATAAAGTAATCCCGAAGCGCATTTGTTAATATTCATGTAAACATTTAGAGGGCAACAGTTGAGACTTCTTGGTAGGTAGACTTCAGGCCCATTGAAGTCACACACTATCGTAAGTCACAAGAACCAATTTACAAACACTTATCTTCTAAATTTGCGGAGAGCCTCATAGTTTTACTTTCAAATCGCCCTGTCTACACACAAAACTTGTCGTGTATGCATGATTCAAGTGGCATTTGGTTGGCCACACAATTCAAAAGTTAACGTTTACAAGGGACCAGTCACTTATGTGATATGTTTGAAGCCAGATACCGACCGAGGGTTTTGGCACTATATGTTAAAGAACCGGTTTATTCGTTCCGGTCTTAGGAAATTTCATAAACTAAAAATTATGCTATGAGATATGATGTAGTTGTCTTTTCAAATCATATCTTTAATTTCTTCAAAATTGACTATATAATTAATTTTTAATATTTGCTTGAAATCATTAAAAGAAGATTTGGTTTGGTTTAGATTAGTTTCGGTTTTCTTACAGACCGACCAAAGCAAATGAAATTGAAGCTCTGGTTAGTTCAAATTAAAATATAAATTAAAATGGTTTAGAAGAAGTTGAACTGAATTATAGTTGCGCGACCGGTAATTAGTCTCTGAGATCGACTTTGTAACGTTAGATAAGCTGACAAATTAAAAGCCAGAAAGTAGAAAAAAAACAAAGGTTAACTGTGAAGTCATAGTCATCAAAAGACAAGTTAGTTCCAACTAAAAAAATAAAAAAATTGTGATCAAGTTGAAAAAGTGACAGATAGAGAATCTATCCTTTGGATCCTCTCCTCTATTTTTAGCCCTTCACTTGGATCTCTCTTGGATAACTCATTAAATGACACTATCCAAATATACCCACATGTGTATCAGCGTATGTATATGAATGTGTATCTATATTTAGAAGCTTCCTAATTTTGTCACAGAAAAATATCTTCATATTTTGTTCCTTTCCGTTACAACTCATAATTCTCTTCCAGAGTTCTTGGATTAGTCCCCAAAATCATTTGGAGATCCAAGAAGAAAGAAGAACGATCTCCAAGAGAGAAGAAGAAAATGTGTACTCATCATGATGATCAATCACAACACGACCTCCCTTGTCTCCATTGCCAACCACATTCATACATTCACATGGTGCATATACATATACATATATATAGTTTATGCGTGTTTTGTTAATTTGGTGTAACAATCCTCAACAAGATTTGTGATTGATTTCGTTAGGTACAACATATGATAGAGAGATGCATTCTCCTCCGTATGACTCGTGATGAATGCGTCAAGGCGCTAGACCGCCACGCAAGCATTCTACCACTCGTTACGCTCACCGGTTAGTCTTTATAAGTTCACATATTAAATTATTGTCCACAATCCCCATATTAATTTTTTTAAGGGTTGTTAAGAAAGTTTTGAGATGATATTTGGAAATTCAATTGGCGACGTCGAATATGAAAAATTGAAGAAATTGAGGGGGAATATTGTGAAGATTCTTGGATCATGTTGGTCATTTTTATGTTTGACAGTCGACACATAAAATTACAGAAGTCACAAATGTTTTCTTTTTCTTTTTCTTTGCAGTTTGGAGAGGACTTCAAAGGGAAAACAAGGATTTCTTTGAAACGTACGGCCATTTCGTTTCTCCTAGGCCTTTCTTAGGTAAGATTTTGTGGGATCAAATGTGTAAATCTTCAATTTAGTTTCTCGGTCAACATATCGACCAAACATCAAGACATTATATTGTTTGGGACAATTTTGATGACGAGAGTTTTTTTTTTTGTTTTTCATTTTTTTGGCGTGAATTTTGATCAGGCGGATATGTTCGGAGATCACCGAGGTTTGCGAGAAGGATACAATAAAGACTTTGCTCCAGGGTTCTCTATGTAGGAGAAGAAGCTTGAACTTTATATGTAGACCTAGCTAGGGTATTATACATATTGCTAAGATGAGACATTCATGTCTATTATACGTGGACCTTTTCTGTTGAAAGGTTTCACTGTTGAACTAAGCAGAGAAGCTTTCTTATGTAAACTACTTTTTTAAGGTTGCTTATTTAGATGCAGTCTATTAATTGAAAACTCTGAATTAGTTTTCTTTTGGCTTAACAAAATATGTTTATCAACCTCAACATACTGAGATATCCAAATTGGCATCAAAGAGTAAAGCTTGAGAACATAAAAAAAAACTTGTAGATTTGTAGTAGTGAATCCAAACTAAAACACTTTAGTTTATAAATATTAATTCTAGGAAATAAATCGAATAAAAACTACGAAACTATAAATATTTAAGAAGTTGGCAATAATAAGAAATCAAAAATTGAGAAAAATTGTTATTGGAATTTTGGATCATATGTACGCGGAAAATAAAAGCAGTTCCACTATATTCTTGGATCAAAAATTGGATATTTGAGCATATATTCATCCTAAAGTATGTATACACAATAAAGCAGACTTTTTGTAACACACACTATAGGTTTAAATTGAACCAACAAAAAACCGGAAGTACACATATCTTAATCCGAAGAGAACCGGGCGTGTAACAAATAATAGCGATTTGTCTGGGGCTATTCCGAGATTCCGTATTGATCGTCGGATTAAAAATCAAATCTACACTGCAAAAGAGTTTCAACCTCCTTCTTCCTCTGTCAACCAAGTAATATAATACCGACAAGATCTTTGTTCTTTTTCTTCTGGTTACTTCGTGGGTTTCTGGAGGCTCTCAGCATCTTCCAATCGTCGAGAAGATGCGTTAGAGAGCCTGCTCTGAATCTTCGGAACAAAAGAGTCTTCAAATCTCGAAGTAACATTTTGTAACCTTCTCTTTTTAGGATTCACCTCTCTTTTACTTCTGTTTATCTGCTTTATATATTAGCTTGGAGGTAAATTTGAAGTATTTTCCTTCATTTATAGGCTGATTTGGATTCAGAAAATCAAAGTGGGTTCTCTAGCAAATTTTTGTTTCCAATTTTACTGGGGTTTCTGATTTTTTTGTCCGCTAATGCAAAAAGGTCTCACCTTTTTCGCCACTATACAGTCTTGTGAATAGTTCAAATATATCCAATCTTGAAAGCCAAAAGTAGATTTTTCACTCTTTGCGATTTTGAAAGTCAAAAGTGTGAATGATTCTGTTAAACAAAAAAATCAATGAAATTGAGATGAATCTTAATGATGATGTTCTTCTTTGCTTTTTTGGTGGAATCTTAGGACTCAACTCACTAGCCATGGCTGCTGATACAACAGCTTCAAGCTACTGGTTGAATTGGAGGGTCCTCCTCTGTGCATTAATTCTCTTAGCTCCACTAGTTGTCGCAGCTATTCTCATATGGAGACACGAAGGCAAAAGAAGAGAACGCGAAAGCCAGCGAGAATCCCCAGGGACGCTGTTCCAAGACGAAGCTTGGACCACATGCCTTAAAAGAATCAACCCTCTCTGGTTACTTGCCTTTAGAGTATTCTCATTTGCTGCAATGCTGACTCTACTCATTTCCAATGTTGTGCGCGATGGAGGCGGCATCTTTTACTTCTATACTCAGTGAGTTTTTAACCGTTTCGCTTCCTTCTCACATCACATTTCCTGAATCTCTGAAATGAATGAAAAAATCCAACCTTTTTTTTTTGCTGAAACAGGTGGACATTTACTCTTGTCACAGTCTACTTTGGGGTAAATCTCTTGAAAAATTCCGAGTTTTGAGGCTACTGTCTTAGTTTTAGATACTGAGTCACTGATTCCTTTTTCTGCAGTATGGTTCGTTGTTATCTATTTACGGATGCTGCATCTACAGTAAAGAAGCGGATGGTAACATAGAGAGTTATACAAGTATAGGTGATGCGGAACAAGGCACTTATAGACCACCAATCACCCTTGAAGGGGCAGCAAAAACCTCAAACTCTCCTGTTACACATTCAGAAGCAGCTGTCCGAGAAACAGCCGGTTTTTGGGTTTACATCTTCCAAGTCCTTTTCCAGGCAAGTCTCTCGTAATGTTCTCTTGAAACCGCCTGCGTTTTGCTGAGACTAAGGGACTTACAAAGCTTTCTGTTGTGGCAGACTTGTGCCGGTGCTGTTGTGCTAACAGATATCGTGTTTTGGGGGTTAATCTACCCCTTTACCAAAGGCTACAGGCTGAGTTTTGTAAGTTCTGGCTCTAACAATGTTTGATTCCCGAAAGATTTTGGATTCATTTTGTATACGATAAGTCTTCCCTTGAAACCTCTAATTTAGAAGTGTTACTTCGATCGCAGCTCGATGTTTGTATGCATTCTCTCAACGCTGTTTTTCTCCTCGGTGACACATGTCTCAACTCCTTGGTATGTCCTCAAAACTGAATTCTTCGGATACACGAATGATGAACCTCCCACGCTTTTTGTTTTATTAGAACCTAACAGCGATTCCTTGTTCCTTATCCAGCGATTCCCGCTGTTCCGGGTCTCTTACTTTGTACTTTGGAGCTGCATCTTCGTGGCTTACCAATGGATAATCCATGTTTTCAAAAACTTATGGTACACAGTTCTTCCGTTTTCTGATCTTTATAGAGGCTAAAAGTTCCCATCTTTGTTACCTCAGATGTTCACTCATTGTTACGATTAAGTAGTATGACTTTTGAAGGATCCACGTGAAGTCTTAACAACACACAAAACCACAATGTCGTAAAAGAGTTTTTAAGGGATCTTTGTCTTACATCATTTGCAGGTGGCCATACCAATTTCTTGATCTGTCCTCACCGTACGCACCCTTATGGTACGTTCATAAGCTCTTCACACTTAATATGTATCTCGTAAATCATCCATTGAAATTCAAATCCATGGATCAGAAGAAGAACACTCATTATGATCTGTTTCTAACGTTTCTGCAGGTACTTGGGGGTGGCAGTGATGCATATACCGTGCTTCGCCGTCTTTGCTTTGATCATAAAGCTGAAGAATTCCTTGCTACGGCGTCACAGCTCGTGATGGTTTTGGGTTCCACCACTCCAGTTTTCATATTGCTTAGACAATGTGGAGATTCTTGCTAATGAGAGAATCACACACATGAGGAGACGATGGTCATACTACTAGTACAGTTACTGTGAAGATGGTATACAAAACTATTGTACACTATTTACTTTAAAAAATAAATGATTTAAGTGTCATATGTTATACAAATTAAATTGTTGAAGCTGAAACGTCCGTTTACAAGTTAGGTGGCATAACTCGAAATTGAATGAACAACTGAACCAACCACCAGCTTGAAGGAGTAGCTGCAAAGTCTTGTAAACATTTGTTAAACAGAAAAAAACCCAATTTTTTTAAATGCACAACTTAAGACATGTGAACATGCTTAAAACATAGAAGTAAAAGGAAAAGAAATTGTTCGTAAGTGAAAAAGATTAAATTTTTAACAATTATGAGGGAAAGTGATGATTTGTAAGCTGCAACTATAAATGGTAAAATACAGTTCTTAACAATGGAGAGAAAAAGAGGAGTCGAATTGGTGAGCTAACTACCGAACATTGAAGCTACCATTTTTCTCTCCTTCTCCTTCATCAAACTATCAAACGGTAAAGATCAAATCTGCTTCTTCGTCATTCCTTTGGTCTGTATCCATTTTGTGAACATTCTCTTTTCAATTTGGAAACTTGTTCACGTCTCATTACGTAATTAACGTGATGTTCGCTGTGAAATGCATTCTCGGGGGATTTGAGATTTGATTGGGAGGAGCGAGTGATTTCGCGTTCTCTGGATCTGTGAGATTTTATCAGTTTAGCGGTGGTTTTGATTTGGTTCCTCTTGCTTGTTTTTCTCCAGTTACGATTTGCAAATGGCAAGGAAGAAGATCAGAGAGTACGACTCAAAGAGACTGGTGAAGGAACACTTTAAAAGGCTTTCTGGCAAAGAACTTCCTATCAAATCCGTCCAGGTTCGATCATTCTCCTTTGGATCTTGTCTTTTCAGTGCTTCTGGGTTAGGGCATTGGTTTCTCCGACATAAAGCAGATTTTCAACATTGTGATTATACTTTCCAAAGTATATTGAGTAAGCTATAAAGGTTTCAGCGTTTTGCCATACTTCAAGTTTTAAAAAGCTACAAAAGATAGCATTTTTCTCCAAATTTACCATATCTGAATTTTATCATTGTATAAGCATCTCTTTCGGTTTATGTATGTCGTTCAGTGTTCATGTAATGTAACCCTTTTTTTGAATCCTCATGTGCGTAGATTAACCAAACAACTGATCTAAATGAGCTAGTGGAGAAAGAGCCTTGGCTCTCGTCCGAGAAGCTGGTGGTGAAACCTGATATGTTGTTTGGAAAGCGTGGCAAGAGTGGTTTGGTTGCCCTGAAACTTGATTTTGCTGAAGTTGCCACTTTTGTCAATGAGCGTTTGGGCAAAGAGGTCACTTTTTTTGTTATGTTTCGTGCGCTTTTTTTTTTTTTTACTCTATCCTTCTGAGACCATCTTCACTCAACTTTTCTGTTTATATCATCTGCAGGTAGAGATGAGTGGATGCAAAGGACCCATTACAACATTCATTGTCGAACCATTTGTCCCACACAATGAGGAGTTTTATCTTAATGTTGTCTCGGATCGGCTTGGATGCAGCATTAGCTTCTCAGAGTGTGGAGGAATTGAGATCGAGGAGAACTGGGACAAGGTATTTCGAAAGAGCTTTCAGAGATTTTTTTTCTTCAGTATCGTCCATCATAAAGATGAATTTTGAGTTGAGGCTCCATTTTTTTCTACAGGTCAAGACAATATTTTTACAAACGGGTGCTTCCCTGACACCTGAAATATGTGCACCTCTTGTGGCAACTCTTCCTTTAGAGGTAATCGTTTTAATCTGATAAAAGAGTTGTAAGCATGCCATAGAATCTAGACTCTAGACTAATAACATTTCCACATACAGATCAAAGCGGAAATTGAAGAATTTATCAAAGTAATTTTCACTCTGTTTCAAGGTAAGCCAAGCATAGCTGAACCTTCATATAGATGGGAATCACCTTTGCTGGGATAAAAAAAACTAAGCTTTTAGTCTTGTTTCCTTTGGTGTGCTAGATCTTGATTTCACTTTCTTGGAGATGAACCCTTTCACACTAGTTGATGGAAGGCCTTACCCTCTAGATATGAGGGGTGAGCTTGATGACACAGCCGCCTTCAAAAACTTTAAAAAGTAAGTCTGACTCCACCATTTTACCAACTCTTTGACCTCAAGAACCACGAGAATGCTGCGAACATGATTTAACCCTTTCTTGCAGATGGGGCGACATTGAATTTCCTTTGCCATTTGGAAGAGTAATGAGTCCCACAGAAAGCTTTATACACGGACTGGATGAAAAGGTATCATCTTCTTGACATTAATACAACCTTCTGTGACTAGTAAAAGCTTACATTCCTGTTCCCACAATCGCAGACGAGTGCGTCTTTGAAGTTCACTGTTCTGAATCCCATGGGTCGGATTTGGACAATGGTAGCTGGAGGAGGAGCAAGTGTCATCTATGCAGATACCGTATGTTCCCTATAGAATCATTTTCTGAGAGAATCTCTGCATTTTCTCCCTTAACAAGACTTTCTTATTTACTAGGTTGGAGATCTCGGATATGCATCTGAACTTGGCAACTATGCTGAATACAGTGGAGCACCCAAAGAAGACGAGGTTTTGCAATACGCCAGAGTCGTTATCGATGTAAGAGTAGTTTCTTTTCCCTTCTTCCATAAAGAAGATCTCTTTCCTGTGACTGATGAATAATAATAATTACACAATACAATGCTTGCAGTGTGCTACAGCAAACCCGGATGGAAAAAGCAGAGCTCTTGTGATTGGAGGTGGAATTGCCAACTTCACTGACGTTGCTGCTACTTTCAATGGCATAATCCGCGCTCTCAAAGAGAAGGTAACTCAAGAAAGCTTGAGCTTCTTTTCAGATTCATTACATACTTACTAAAGTGGATGAAAAGCGTAACATCTTTTGTCATGCATTGTGATTATATTTGTCAACAGGAAGCAAAGCTGAAAGCAGCAAGGATGCATATATTTGTGAGGAGAGGAGGACCAAATTACCAAAAGGGACTTGCTAAAATGAGAGCCCTTGGAGATGAAATAGGCGTCCCCATCGAGGTCTACGGTCCAGAAGCAACCATGACAGGGATCTGTAAGGAAGCAATCCAGTACATCACAGCCGCAGCATAAGCTTCTCTCAGATCCCATATGTACTGCCCAAAACGTCTGTTTCTTAGAGCCTCTATATCTACTTTGTGTTCAAAGCCTTCAAGATCACTTAAGCTACTAAACTACTTGCAACTTCTTGAAAACTCTCGTGGTTCGATTTTTTTCTTTCCCAAAGTTTCCTCAGATTCAATTATAAGTTTATAACCATCTCTGTTAAAAAAATTTTTTTTAAAAAGTTTGATTATCTTCCCAAGCTTTAGAGGTTCCTTTTTGAACGATGAAAAGTAAGTAAATCAATTAGGTGATTTTAACATAAATTGTAGAATAAAATAAAATTTCCACTTATGTGTTATGTTGGTGAGATTTTTTTATAAAAGTGAAATTTTTACATTCAAAAAATAAACTGAAATCTGTAGAACATCTTTCATTATTTGAATTTGTATAATTCCATGAATGAAAATTACGATGGAGTATTAAGAGAGAAAACAAAAAAAGAGTTTTGACAATTCAGTTATAAAACTATTCAGGAATGTTGCTGTTGCTGAAGATTGATAAGTTTAGAGTAAGGACCATTCTTGTTCCCAACGAGGCTATTGTGGCTGCCTTGCTCTATGATCTTACCATCTTGTATTACACTTATCATATCTGAGTTCTTGATCGTCGATAGACGGTGAGCCACCACCACCGTGGTCCGGTTTCTCATTAGCCGATCCAATGCTTGTTGTACCTACCCATTCATTAGTATAAACCCGTCAAGATTCTATATGTAAAATCTCGACCCTAAACTCTTAAATCCTAATACTAAAGAAGAAAAAAGCTTACCACACGCTCTGATTCAACGTCCAAGGCGCTTGTGGCTTCGTCAAGGAGCAGAATCTCTGGATTCTTGAGGACTGCTCTAGCGATAGCGATCCTCTGTCGCTGGCCGCCGGACATCTGAATACCGCGTTCGCCGACTTTAGTTGAGTAACCTTCCGGGAGAGAGCTGATGAAGCTGTGAGCGTTTGCAAGCTTAGCTGCTTCCACGACTTCAGATTCAGTAGCTCCTTCTCTTCCGTACAAGATGTTCTCGAAGATAGTTGTTGCAAAAAGAGCCGGTTCTTGTTGAACCAGGCCGATGTGTCTTCGCAGCGATTTCAAGTTCATTTCCTTAATGTCTTGTCCTGTAATAATTGTGGGTTGAAACCCAAAAAAAAAAAAAAATACAACTTACAACCAAATAACAAACACCTTGCGATGCAAGAAACCTGTGGTCAGAGTTTCTTGTGATTGAAGTTAATGAGTCAAGAGCATGGGCGCGTACCGTCTATCATGATTTTTCCGGCTGTGGGATCGTAGAACCGGAGAATGAGTGAAAGGACCGAACTTTTTCCGGACCCACTTTGTCCGACGAGAGCCATACTTTTTCCGGCAGGGACTGTCAGATCGAAATCGCGGAAGATACTCACATCGGGGCGTGAAGGATAGCTGAAATGGACACCTTTGAGCTCAATTGTGCCTTTTACATTACTCAGTTCCTTGCCGGTATCTCCAACGACCTTAGTTCTTCGGTCCAATATCTCGAAAACCGAAGCAACCATCTGGTTTCCTTTAAGCAGATCAGGGGCTAGAGCCAACACTTCACCCATCACTAACGCCGTTACGATTAAAACCATGAATGTTTTCATCACCGACTGAAAAGTTGATAATCCTTGCGCCATCAAAATCGATCCATACCTGTAAAAAATATATAAAGGTTTTAAATCTTTACAATCTTCTATATTTAATTTCTGTGTGTGAAACTGATTATATATAATAATAATAATACCAGAGGGCAAGTCCGTAGGAGGAGAAGATGAAGAACTGAGAGACACCATACAAGATCCCGGCCATCTGTCCACGCCTAAAAGAACGTTTGGAAGGTTCTAGAAGCTCTTTGGAATAAAGTTCTAGAACCTTCTCCTCGGCACAAAAGGCGGCTACGGTTCGAATGTTGCTAACAGACTCTCCTGCCAACATGTTAGCCCTCAAATACGCTTTATTCAAGTTTCCTCCATACCCTTGCATGAAAATTTTCTAACAAATACAACCAAGAAAAACAAGAGTGAGAAAACCTTAAAAATTATTTTCCAAAAAAAATAATATATAAACGAAATCGCTGAAATTGAAAACAGAACGCAAAAAAAGCTGCGTTTTACTTCTACGTACCTCACTGATATGACCGCTAATGATCAGTGGGTATGTGGCCAAGACAACAAGAGTGAGACGCCAGTTGAGTATAAAAGAAATGATGAAAGAGGTCACAACAAGACCGAAATTCTCCAGTAGGATAGTCGATCTATCAACCACGATGGTTCTAAGCAAACTCGCATCGGTTTCAAGCCGCGACGCTAACATCGAGCTGGTGTTATCCACCTTATCAAACCACCCGATTTCATTCCTCAAGATGGCTACAAACCGAAAAAAAACAAAAAAATTTAAAGACAACTAATGGTGGGGACCGCGGTTTTTCTATTTGTGCGTACCTGAAAACATCTTTTGACGGACGCGGAGAGTGAGACGCTCGCCCATAATACCGAAGGCGGTATGCTCAATGGCGTGAGAGATGACGGTAATGACCGAGGCACAACAGAATAGGATAGAGATTCTCTTGACCTCGTGCTGAGTCGTCTCCCAGTCCATGTAATAAGAAACCAAAGCCTGCGAGATCCCAAGCGCGAAAAGCGGCATTTGTGAACCCGCCATTAAGGAACCTAACATCCCACAGATTCCGTACTTCCAGTCCGGACGTATCATAGAGTAGAGACGTCCCAACGTTACTTTCCCCTGTTTCTTCGTGTCTGGTTGATTTCCTGGTTGATGAGCGGAGCATAAGTTCGCCGTTCTTATTGGTAGTATCTCCGGCAACGGTTCCGTACTGCAAAAATGAAAGAAAGAGAACAGAGTGGTGTTAAAGTTGGATTGGACGGTTTGGTTTTAAGTATACATTAGGATTACCTGATTGGTAAGTTTGGAGTGTGGTTATTCAGGTGGTTCAAGTTAGTGTTGGCAGCTTCTTGGATACGGAGGAGAGAAGAGTAAGCTCCATCGGGGTTGGAGGTGAGTTCGTCGTAGCTTCCGGACTCGATGATCTTTCCTCCTTGAACGACGGCTATGATGTCAGCGTTTCTTACGGTGGAGAGTCTGTGAGCCACCACAATCGTCGTCCTCCCAACCATCGCTTTGTCCAAAGCTCCTTGCACGCTTTTCTCCGACTCTGCGTCTAGTGCGCTTGTTGCTTCGTCCAGTAAGAGTATTGATGGATTCTTCAGGATCGCTCTTGAAATCGTGATCCTCTGCTTCTGCCCGCCGGATAGCTGAACCCCTCTCTCGCCTACCTGTAAAACCGAAATAACAAAGCAAAATTTAGGGTTTTAAAAAAATAGTTGTTTCTTGTGTTCTAAGCTATTCGAATTTTCTACAGACCTGGGTTTCGAATCCATCTGGGAGATTGTTGATGAATGAAAGTGCTTCCGAGAGTTCTGTGGAACGGGCGATTTCTTGATTCGTAGCATCATCTTTACCATAGATGATGTTCTCCCGAATCGTAGTTGCAAACAGGGCAGGCTCTTGATTAACCAGACCGATATGTCCTCTTAGCCACTTGAGATCAAGGTATCTGATATCGTTCCCGTCCAGCAACACCGCCCCTCCGGTAGGCTCGTAGAACCGCTCGATTAGAGATATCATCGAGCTTTTTCCGGATCCGCTTCCTCCAACAAGCGCTACGACTTTCCCGGCAGGGATCACGAGGTTTAGCCTGTCAAAGATCACCACGTCAGGGCGAGACGGGTAGGTGAAACTCACTTCCCTGAATCGAATTTCTCCGTCTACTTTCCCGAGTTTACGACCCGTTTTAGGCTCCGTGTTCCTCTCCATCATCTGAAAAATCGGAAATGCAGCAGCTCTCGCTCGTACAAACGTGGAAATGTCTGGCGCTGCTTGACCTAGAGACCTACATAAAACACCCAATGAAACAGAGACTCTGTGATCAACAAGGAAAAAAGTGTAGAGCAAGAAACCAAGCAAGATGAAAATAGAAAAAAAGTATATTACAAGCCAGCGATGACAACGTTGAGCATGGTGGTGAAAGATTCGCCGCCATTAGCGATTCCCTTGTGAACAACGATGCTTGTGAACCAAATGAGCAAAGCCCAAGACAAAAACAGGACACTGTGCATCGAACCGAGTCCCAGTCCTTTGGCTAAACCGGCTTTTCTCCCGTACGTGTACGTGTTCTTCAGAGATTCGCCGTATGATCTAACCGCCTTTTCTTCTCCCGTGAACGCTTGTACGGTTCTCACATTCGCAATCACCTGAAGAATTCAAACAGAGATATTTTTGAAAATTATAATACTCGCACTCAAACACTTTTTCTTGTCAGACAAGCTACCGACCTCTTCGGCGATCTCGCCGGCCTTGACGTATGATTTACGGATACGAGCGACGAGTCCGGTGGTGACAAAAGCGTACATGCCACCGGCGAGAGCAATGAGTGGGACTATGGAGAGAGTGACGAGACTTATTTGCCATACGCTCGCGAATCCAATTGCAAAACCGGCTACAAACCGGCTCATGCAATGCAAGAAATTCCCTACCTGCAACAAGTACCGTTAAATCCGGTTATCAATCTTGGTCACATTTTAAATTATACAAACAAAAATTTCTTTATTATTATTATTGGACTAAGCCAAAAAAAAAATTTTAACAGCGGACTAAGCCATAATTATTGACATTTAAAATTGGTAGAATTAATCAATTTGTGGCGAATGGCATACGATAATTCCGAAATTAATTCCTTACAACAAAAAATTCATACATTATATTCATCACATTAGATATATTCATTGCATGAAAACTAATAAATCATTGTATTCATTGTTTCTTAATAATTAACTACTGTTAGTCATTGTAATTATCGAATATCAATTCACGGAAATTTTACTGAAACTGAGCGAATACAATAAAACCCAAAAAAAACCATACTACAGAACTGTGTGAACCGAATCGATAACGATTTGATTTCGAATAAGCGTACCTTCTCGGAGAGAGCGTCTTGGACGACAAGTATGTCGGATGTGATGGCGGATATGACTTCTCCGGTGGAAGATTCGGTGTCGAATAAGCTTATGTCTTGACTTAACATTGAACGCAGATAAGCTTTTCTCATCTTCGCCGCTTGTCTCTCCCCCGTATGCATCCAACATGCAACCTCTGTTTCCATTCATTATTATATTTTTTTAATCATTTGCATCTTCAAAAAATATTTATAAATGCTTAATTTTACACTATATATATTCTTTGCTATGTTGTTTACCTATCCATGATGAGAGAGTATCACCACACTCAGATATACAAAATCCAACGAGTACTGCACCAACCAAGAAATACAAAATTAAACGGAGCAACCATAATAACAACACTTAAAAGTTCAAAAAAAAAGAAACCATAATAACAACAGATAATAATAATAAAAAAATATAGTGATATCAAATTTATTATTTTCTAACATATACATTGTACCCAAATATTATTTCTAAAAAAATGGATTTATTAGATCTTTTTCTCTTGAATTTGTGTCTCGTCATGTTAACTTTTGTGTGGCCAATAAGATTCGAATCAACACAATTTTCGAATTCAGATATTACTACTCGCAGCAGTTAACATGTCAAACTTCTTAGTATATATATATATATATATATATATAAATAAATTATATAGCTTTTCCAATTTCATATTTAATCAGATGAAAGAATTTGAACAAAGCCTTAGGGCATAATTAAAGTTTTCGAAAAGTGATTATGGAAAAATATAAAAAATACCTTGGCGACTTTGTGAGAAGCTTGTTGTGGGAAGAGGTAAGCAAGGCCGATAATGTTGATGAGTTTACCGAAGAATATGAAGAAAACTGGAACGGAGGCTCCGTGAATGCACGCACCGATGGATCCAAGAGCCATCAGAATGCAATCGTAGAAATCAGCAAAGGAGAAGAGCTTAAAAACTGACACACTTGGCTGCTTCTTCTCCTTCTCTTTCTTCTTCTTCTCCACCACTATTGGTGGAACACTGGACGGCTGCATTTTCACGTGAAGCGGTGCGTTTCGATTGAGAGATAATGAGGGAGATTGCAAGAGAATGATAAATAGAGAAAAGGAGTGAGTTTGATAGAGACTATAAATGAGAAGGCAATGTATATATAATAAACAGAAGTGGAACTTCAAGGGAACTGAGGAAAAGTAGATTAGGTTTACTTTTTCATAGTTTTACAAAACTAAGGACTAAAATATTTTTTTTTACAAAAAGTGTTTAAAACATTAAAACTCTCGAGAACTGTTTGGTACTACGAATGTGACCGTCATTTTATAGTTCTTTTAAAAATTTATTGCGAATGTTGTTGTTAATTATTAGACATGCATGCAAATGTTTCTGCGAAGTTGAATGTATGCAAATAAATTGCTATTTCGTAAAATTTAGATTTTAAAGGCTGGATGTTATGAAAAAAAGATAATAAATAGGTGGCATTTCTATAATTGAATAGGTTACCATTTAAATGAATTTTTTATAAGAAAAATAACTCAAAAGAAGAAAATATAATGACAGATCATAAAAAATCAAAATTGAAATATAGAAAATTTAGATTTTTCATTTATATGAATAGAAAATTCATTTTTTCTGATTATAACAGAATTTTACACCTGGCGAATCATGACATTCGTCCAGAATGTGAGCAAATACCATACTTTGAGTCTTTGACTCTCTTACATGGAATGGAGTTGGGATTTTTGGAAAGAAAAAAAGATTATATGAATATTATGCGAATTGGCAAAGTTCAATATAAATCTATGAATTTTGTCATACAAATTCCGAAAAATTTATGAAATAGTGAGTAATAGAACATGGAGATATCTGTCCCTACAATCTAATTTTCTAACTCATGTTTTTTTTATTTAATTGGTCAGTTGATGAGACATTTTAGTCTAATCAACAACAAAAATAACACTATCATCTTTCCATTTACATTTCAAATAAATTAAAATAAGAAAAAGGAGTGACAATTTTTTCATTGTGGGTTACAGATCAGCATGTTGCTCGCTCATCGTTCGTCGCCATCCATCTCAACTATTTCCGTGAATCAAACTCAATGAATGAGAATTGAAGTCTTTTACGTTATTTCAGACAGTGATTTACAATTTCCATGGAAAAAATAGTTTAAGGACGGTCAAGATATTCAGAAACAAGTTTTTTTGAATTTATTATTATAGACCAGAAACTTAAAAAAGACACATAATTAATCAGACATAGTTCAACTTTTATTCCGAAAATCCGGAAAGAAACACACATCACAGGACGAAATCAAAATCAATAGAACAAGAAAACACGAGCCTGATGCCGATATATGACTTGCCGTTTCGCCCTTACCATAAGATAAGACCGAAGTTTTTAATTTTGGTCTCCTCGCTTCTCATGGCCAAGCTAAACAAACTGTTGAGGAAATGTTTCAAACTGAAGTTCCTCCGTCTCCTCCTTGAATGGCCTTTTCTGCATTTTTCCTGGCGGTGCCTCTCCGGCTGAGGAGACGTTTTTCATTCCCTTTTATTTTATGAATTATTTGTTTTGAGGTCTTAGTTTTAAAATTGTGTGTTAAAAACTCCCTATCTAAATGGGATATATATATAGATATGTGAAATAGGGTGATTTTATTTTATTTTATTTGTGAAGGTGAAAGTGATAATTATTGGATAATGATATCATATCCTATGTTTGGTCCAAGTCATAGTCCAACTCAAAGGTTCCCACTTTCTTCCTTTTTTCCGAAAGATAATTCGGTTTAGCCGTTAAAAGTTTGGTGTTGCATGACTTGCATCATCGCATTCGTGGAAATTAAAGTTGCTAGATTCTCATGTTCGTTTGAAATGCCTTTTAAGTAATATCTGAAAAAGAAATCTTATCATTTGTAAATTCAAGTGTGGCTAAAACTAGTTTTATAATTTTAGTAAATGGATCATATACAAAGTAGATTATTGCCAAATGGGTGGTTCCAGATATCAAGTTATATCAATATGTTTGAAATTTTGAAAAACGTAGTTCTAGAAAAAAGTACATATATGTTTTAAGTATTTCGAAATTTTATATGTTTGGAAAATGAACAAGTGATTCAACTTTAATGAAGGTTTGTCTTGTCATTTCAAATCCGAGAGCGATCCCCTCAACTGTAAAATTATATTGATATTTTGATATTTTGATATTTGGAACCACTTGGTAACACGTAGATATTTTAGTGGTAAACGATACATATATTATAGATTTTGTCTGAGTATCAATTTAGCATCTCTCTGGTTATAAGAGAATGTACATGAACTAAAAGAAAAACAAAAGCTCTTTTGACAAGTTCATGCATGATACGTTGTTTCTTTAAGCAATTGTGCGTTCCTCTTCCTTTCCATACTGTATTTTTGTTTTGTCTGCACTCCGGTCACATATTTATTTGCCAAATTGCTATTTAGATAATAATATTAATATTCAGAAAATATATGCATAAAAAACACATAATGTAGTCAACACATTTTTTCTGCATAAGAGCGATTTGCAGGCGCGTGTACCTTCCCATGTTGGGCAACCTGCAAATCCTCTCAAACCGAAAACTAACCTAATCTCCCAATCGATATTCTAACTAAACCGAGACAAACCGTTTAATCTCAGATGTTATGATGTACAAAAATTCAGGTCGGAGCAATCCCGAACCGACTTATGGTTGATCAAACCGGAACCAAATCCAACATCTTCATAACGTGTCTCATTTGACAGGTAGGGGCATATGTGCCAATTCGAAAACATTTCGCCACATGTCAGATTCGGTTTTAAGCGCAAAATTAGTTATTTTTTTTGGAAAATATCCGCCGGAAATTTCGTATTTTGACCCTTCGTCTTCGGAAATGGCGGCTGTTTCTCCGGTGACTGCAACAACCGCTGCTTCTCTAACTCTGCCTCAGCTTACCTCTTCTTCTTCGTCACCCTTTACTCTGAATTTCAAAACTGATACACTCAGCAGTCGCTGCGTGAGGTGCGGAGTCAGAAGCTTAGAGAACCAGTCGGGTCACCGGAGCCTCGATTTCTTGTCCAGTGGGGATCCGATCAGCCTAATTAATCCGAATTCATCTTCGTCTCCGATATCCATGGCCGCGTCGGCGTCGGAATCCGGTGCGAAATGCTCGAAGCGCGTCTGCCTCTTCCACAGCGACGAGACTAGAGATCTGGCCGAGAGAATCGTCTCGCAATCTGATTGCATCGAGCTTCGAAGCATCAATTGGAAGTAAACATTTATATTCTCTCTATCTATTTAATGGCTGATGCATGTCCCTCTTTTTCTTGCATCCTAGGGTGAAAATTGAAGTCTGCTATCGAATTATTCTCTTTTGATTTCATATTGGTGGGTTTGATTTTAATAAATTGTTAGCCTTTACTTCTTCTTTTTTTTGGTTCTTCACAATTTGAGCTTTCAAATGTGAGTTTCTCTGTGTGTTTTGGTCAACTGTCTCACTCCAGAGTTCAAAGTTGAGACCTTTAGATAAGATACCCTTTACACTTCGTGTGTGTAGGATCGTAAGAAAATTTGCATTAAGCTGAGGAAAATTTGGGTTTGTTGTACAATGAATGGCTGAGATTGGGAAAGGTTGAGTTCCTGTTAACAAAAATGATGAGAGTTATTGTCCTTGTTTAGGAAATTTGATGATGGGTTCCCTAATTTGTTCATACAAAATGCTCAAGGCATTCGTGGGCAGCACGTTGCCTTCTTGGCTTCATTCAGTTCACCCGCTGTGATCTTCGAGCAGCTCTCGGTGATTTATGCCCTGCCCAAGCTTTTCGTTTCGTCATTTACGCTTGTTCTTCCCTTCTTCCCCACCGGAACTTCCGAGAGAATGGAAGACGAAGGAGACGTGGCCACTGCCTTCACTCTCGCTAGGATACTCTCAAACATCCCTACTTCGAGAGGAGGACCGACTAGCTTAGTTACCTTCGATATCCACGCCTTGCAGGTTTTCATTACAACCCTGATCAATGCCAATGGCTCTTTCTCATTTTGTTCTTTGAGTCGATGGCTTGCATGTCTTGGGTTGTACTGTAGGAAAGATTCTACTTTGGTGATACTATACTTCCATGCTTTGAAAGTGGTATACCATTGCTCAAGAACAGACTCCAGGCGCTACCTGATTCCGATAACGTAAGTCTCTTTCCCCCCTGGTTGTCACATTCCGATGATAAGTTTAAAGGGCAATTTGTTTTCTTCATATAACTCGCTAGAGATTAGAGTTCCGTTCAAGCTTCATTAATGTTGGTTACCGATCTTCATTTGTACCAGATATCTATCGCATTCCCGGATGATGGAGCATGGAAACGTTTCCACAAACAACTCCAACATTATCCAACGGTACCATACTTTCTAATGGCGTATATCTCACTAGCATCAGGAGTTCTTCAGGCTCACATTAGATTTAACTCCAAAACAAGCTTTGCATCATCCTATCTTGAGCTGCAACTCTATACATTAACCCAGTAATCCTCTTTGTCATTCAGATTGTGTGCAACAAAGTTAGAATGGGAGACAAACGAATCGTTCGTATCAAAGAGGGAGATGCTGAAGGAAGGCACGTAGTGATTGTTGATGATTTGGTTCAGTCGGGTGGCACACTAATCGAATGCCAGGTTCTGTACTCAGATTCAACAACTCTCTCTTCAAAGTATAACTTCTAGTCTCACTTCTTTCGTAACTCACTACTAATTCTTGTGCCTTTCAGAAAGTCTTAGCTGCACATGGAGCAGCGAAAATAAGCGCATATGTGACACACGGCATATTCCCCAAGAGTTCATGGAAACGTTTCAAGCTTGACACCAAAGGTTGCAACCATTATTCAAATTTATTATACTCGGTTTGTGAATGTGTCTTCGTGACAGAGTTAAAATCTTGAATCTGTCTATTTCGTGGCGCAGGCGATCCTGCGGAAGGTCTGAGCTATTTCTGGATCACAGACTCGTGTGGACTCACTGTGAAAGAAGTGATGAATAAACCGCCGTTTGAAGTTCTAAGCCTCGCTGGTACCATAGCTTCTGCACTTCAAGTTTAAGTTTCCGTGATTCGAGTACAAATCCAGCGGCAAGTAATTTTTTGGGTATCTGATTAATGAGATTTGTCTTTGGTGTATAGTCTCTATCGAAGCATTTGCTGTTTAAGAGGTTGTTTATTTATTTATTTAGGAAAATCCAATAATGTAGTGATGTTTTGTCTCACTTCTTTGTAGTTGATTGACAGAAAATCCATTTGAAAATAAAGTTTTTAAGGTTGCAAACTTAAAGTAGAAAAAAAATCACAAACCAACTCCAATTAGTTTTGGTATTGTTATTGTTTGCTTTGTATGTATATGCATCACCAAGTATGTTATAACTTATAACTAAACTAATTTATCTAATCCAAGCTGAAAATAAAATAAAAAATCTATAAATTCAAATCGATTATATAATTCTACTAACATCATAGAGAGATGTCAGCATTCAAATCTTAGACTAGCACACGTTTTCTTGTTCATGCGTTGTTGTTATCTTTTAAAATCTAGAGATCCAAATCGAGCATATAACTTTGTTCATGCATTTTTTGTTAATCTTTGACACACAGAAAATCCTAGTCTGAAGAACAACATCAACCAAAACTGAGTTCTATTCCGATTGGGGTGGGAAGAAAAACTGAACCTAAGACTTTGATTTGTATAAGTAAAAGCATTTGATTAAAAATCTAAATAGAACCACAATGTGAAAACCATACCAAACCAAACTGGAACCGGATAGAATCTTGAAATTGAAATACATATTGGGCCTTTGGGGCCCAGATATTAAGCATAGTCCGCTGTGGAAATATACTTTCCGTACATCACGTCATTTCAAATTTCCATTTTTTTTTTTGGATAAAATTCATTCATTTCAAATTTCGTTAGCAACAGGAAAGAGAAAGCTGAGAAAAGCAGTTTCAAAAAACGGAGGAAGTATCTGGAGGAAGATGGCGGGATCTCTAACAGCATCAGTCCACGAGCACCACCGAGGAGACGCGGCGACTTTAGAGCTTTCCGGATGGCTGATCGATTTTGCTCGGTTTGTTCCGTATCCATCCTCTCCCTCTCCGTATCCAGGGATGGTTCCTCTCGGAAAAAGAGAGCTGAATCCGTCGCCCTTCGGGACGTGGTTGTCGACGTCTTCTCCGACGGCGTCTCTCCATCTGTTGGACGAATTGAACAGATCCGATGTGATTCTCTCCGTCGAACTCGGCGGGAAAGTCCTTGTGAGTTGATTTTTCCTCTCGCTATGTTGTTCTTTAGATCGGATTTGCTACTCCTAGTTTGTTTTTGTTTAGATTGGTGTTCGCGATGGTTCAAGCTTAATCGTTTTAGGAAATCGGGATCTATCCATTTAGGGTTGTAGTTTTTATGGACTATTGTAACTTCCCTGGTATCTGATTGCTCTTCGAATGATTGTGGAATCTCAAAATTCTACAGGAGGAACACTACATTTCAAAGCTGAATTTCTCATGGCCTCAGATGACGTGCGTTTCTGGGTTCCCACCTCGTGGTAGCCGAGCGATTCTCGTTAGCTTCAAGGATTCTGCAGACGAGGCAACCTCCCAACACTCGAATCTCTTTTGGGTTTTTTTTTTTCTGGAATTAACAGATATACAAGCTTAATAGTGTATCACCCTGAAAAAAATTTGATAATTGTCCATTGAGTTAGATATTTCAGATGTGTGATTGAAACCCTATTGTCTAACTATGTGCTTGTTGTTCTTCTCCAGATTCAAAAATTCGCTTTAAGGTTTTCCACAGGTGATGAAGCGGTGACATTTGTGGCAGCTCTTAAGGTTAGGCAGTACTGCAAATAGCTGATTTACTTGTTGATCAGATAGTGATGATGATATTTCATTACCCTGACTTAAAATTATAAGCTGTTTTCTGGGAATCATAGCCAATGAATTCCTTGTTTTGTTGATCTGTTTGCAGGAGAAACTCAATGGCTCAGAGGAAGCTGGGATCCAGAAAAGTGAAACTAGGTCCGAGATCTGTTTCCAGTCAGATTACAACCCTGAAAATGAGATTATCCCCAGGTTTGATCACATTACAGTGTTTGTGAATTTGTACAAGTGCTTTAGCTTTAGCCAACAATTTAGATATGGTAAATCCTCTTTGCAGAGCCACTGAGCAAGAGCCAAACATGGTTAAACCTCCTGATAGTTATTTTCCTGAAATGCTACCAAGGCTTGAGTATCAAACTGGACAAACCTTCTACGCACCACGATCGGCCACTATGGAAGAGCCGAACATGGTTAGACATTTTGATAGCTATGTTCCTCAAATGCAACCAAGACTTGACTATCAAATTGGACAAACCTTGTACCCACCACAATCCACGCTTACTCAAACCCCTTACGAGCCTTCCATGAACCTCCCTCCGAGTTTCAGTACCTTACTCTCTGGTTGCTTCCCCAACTCCACTCTAGGTAACTTCCACATTGATCTTGCTTGTTCTAGTTTGTGAGATATGGCTTCTATTCATACAAATTTAACAAGTTTTCTCCCGATGAAACCCGCTTTAGATGCAGGCCAAACAATTGTAAAGCAGGATCCTGATCTTAGGTCACAGATACTGGTACAGCAGCATTACAAAACTTGAGTTTTTTTCTTCTTCGTGAAATCTCTTTCTACACATCAACGCAAATTCTAATGATTTCTTCTGATTTGTGATTCCAACTTTTTGTTTTGGCAGAAATACATGGAAGATTCTTCATTTCAAGGTGAGCTTTCTCTCCAATACTCACTCAAACAGTCATTTAGATTCGATCTCGACATTTCAGCTTCGACTTCAGTTAATATAGATTTCAGTAATCTACCATCTATATTAGTAACAAGTGGTTTCCTCATTATCCAGATATGCTGCAGAAAGTAGAGAGGATTATCGACGAAATTGGAGGTAACTGGATTCTCTGAGTTTCATCCTATATATAGACTATCCCAAACTTATATTCCAGGTCCAGTCTTTTGTTCATCGATTCAACATGTATGGTTTAATCTGAACACTTTTTTAGACATTGTTGATTTTCTGTTTGTGAGTAATAATATAGTGGCTGATCATATTCATCTTTGCGAATTTGTTGGAATCTGAAATTGAAAACCTAATACCCACATGTTTATAATCCTAAAACCCAATCTTGACAGTTTAAAAGAAAGGATTCACAAATCTTAATCGTATAAGTTTTCACAGTATCTCAAGCACGTTGTAACAGTATAATGCACTTTTCGGACCGCGAAAGTGGATATGCAGAAAATCCAACATAAAAGAAAAGGATCCAATTTCAACAGATAATCCAATATACAACCATTTGATAGACGAAAACTTTCAATGTGTTTGATAAGAGTAGCTAGTGAGGTGTGAACAATACAAGTGGCACACAGGAGATGTGATGTCCAAGCCTTCAACATTGACATACGAATAATATTCGTCCGATTCGCATAACATACAAAGGCGTATGCTATTCCTTTTTTATTGCCACTAGTGTTAAGCTATTTTACCAATGAAATTCACGTCTTGATTTCAGATTGCGATTTAAATCTGTAAACCAACTACTAAACCAAACCTGGCCCAGAATTTAACCCAAATAGAATTCTGAACCAATTACTATACCAAACCTGACACATAATATATTTTTCTGATATTGATTTGACGCAGGCCCACATCGAATATTTTTCTCAGTAGTCAATATTTCGACAATAATTATGCATAAAACAATTCAACTATATATATATATTATATTTTTGTCAACGAATTCAACTATATATATATCAAACAAAATAGTTCATTGTCTAAAAAGTATTACAAATATTTCGATAGAATGATTTTAGCACCAGGGCGAATCCACGTCATTGGAAATTAGGAATGGGTGTCCAGGCGATGCTTTTGTTTTCAGTTTGGACGTTGTAAGCCAAATAGTTTAATGGCTTTGTCCGCCCCCACTGAATATAATGTTGCCTGGTTCGATGCTCTTGTCTGCTTAAAATCTTATTTCTTTTATTTATCTATTTTTTTTTTTTTTTTGGTTCTCTCGTGCGAGTCCAACCTTCAACTCAAAGAAAGGCATATTTTTCTATGCAATTAATTTCTTATCAATGATATGTAACATACTTTAGCTACACCGTTGATATCAAATTTCCTTATTGATGATATAATCACAAATATATTAAAAGAGAAGAAAAAGGCCAAAACCTGATATGTGGCTGGCCTACACGGAAGTCAAGTGATTACCATCCGTTAGTTAATTTTTCTCTTTCTTTAACGATATAATTAATCAGATATTTTTGTTCATATTTGAACTTTTATAACCAACCAGATACATCCCATACTCAGTTCAAGAGCTACACAGGTCACTCATGGGTAAAGCAAGGCGTATGCTATTCCTTTTTTTATTGCCACTAGTGTAAACTTACATAACCGATATTATATGAAACAACTAAACCAATACAGTGCAATTGGGGAGGATGTTTGGAATCTAGTTAGAGAGGCCAAAAAAGTACAAGAATCACAAACGCACTTCTGTAGTAAAAGCCTCTGCTAGTGCTAGGTCAGTGTCCTGCAGACTAAGAATTGACTTATTATTAAACCTTTAGTGAATAAATAAGGTTAACAAATCTTTTGATACCTCTCCGAGTATAAACGGTTTGCATTTGCTAATAATACCTTTAACAAAAACTCGGATGGAGACATGCTACATTCAAAACAAAAAGGGGGATAGAGACATACCACTTGATTGATTCCTCCAATTTTAAAAAGCTTCTAACATGACAAGTCTTTCACTTTTTATGTCTCGCTCGAAAATTTTATTAACAAATCCGAACCTTGTAAATTGTAATTTCATAAGTTATAGTTATGAGCTTCGTTTTATATGTTAGATCATCTCTGCATTTATATTAATATATCAAATCATATTTTTGAAAAAAATATATATCAAATCACTCAATGTATTTCACATTATCTATTTTAAACTACAAAAATAGATAAATTTTGAAATTAAAAAAAAAATTTGATAAAATGGACATAATTATATGATTTATCATTTATGGAACCCAAATGTATATACATAAATAATTTTTGTATATATGTTTTGTCTCCAAAATAATTACAGCTGTCCTAATCTGTTCAACAAATAATAAAACCAACTAAATAGATACATACAAGTCTACAACTATTAAAGAGAGAGAGCGTGTGTGTGTGTCTGTGTTGCAATTTTGGGTCAAAGGTTTCCATTTTCGGGATGTTCCAAAAATGGATAAGGAATTTCGTCTCAAAAGAAAAAAATATACTTATATTTATCTAAAAAGACACAAGTAGTCAATAATACTACCTGAGACTTTGCTTCGTTGCTTTTCCTACAAAGCTAGCAACTTTGCTTCGTTGCATTTTCTACTTACACTTTTATAACTAAATTTATATATGGTAGTATATTCGGGATTTTGAAACTCTAACCGGAAATCTACTAGCACGAACATATATAGAATTACTTAACGCTTAAATTATTATATATGGTATTCCTTGTTATATTAAAGAGTCAGAGAGAGAGAAGATAGTTCGTGCTAGTAGATTTGTTGGTGTTAGAGCAAATTCCTAGCAGTTCGTCCTATATACAAAGTCCTTGCACGAACAACTTTATATATATTTGCTACTGTCATGGATGCTGAGTTGAATATATTGGCGCTTTCGTCTGATCAGATCGGATCTATCAATCAAGTTCCAACAAAGGAGGTAATTTTTAAATCAGATTTAATGGCTGTTGAACAAAGGAGGTAATTTTTAAATCAGATTAAAAAACTATCTTCCATCATGCTAGTCAGCGCCTATAACATTTACTTTCATGCGTTTCTGATAAAAGGATTCGGAGGGTCTTTCTGAGGCAGAACAAGACCTAAAGAGTTTGAAAGATGATGCACCAAATGATGATCTTCCTGTTGGTCCTTTGATTAAGAAGTGTTGTACGATGGATCAGGTATCAATGTATTTTGTGTCACCTTGGATGAAAAACTGTTGTACACTGGATCGGGAAATGAATATCTACTATGTTTCTTTTTAGGGTAAATCAGCCAATCGTATCATCATCGTCGCAGCAGTGTGGCTGCTGCTGCTATTCACTTACTCTGGAGCGACTCCGATATTGACCATTCAAAGTCCAGATGGCGACAGTATCGATTGCCTCGACAGAATGGACCAACCATCCCTGCAAAATCCCCTCCTGAAAAACCACGTCATTCAGGTTTGTTGTTTCTATTCTTTTTATTACGATGTTAAAACACACGCCTTAATCATCACCATGCATAAAATTCTACTAAACCATCAACGAATAGACATCACGCTTGTCCAACTCCACTTTTGACACTTCCACTATCGTTCAATGCTCCCATCGTAACACGAGCTGCTACACATCTTCTATTTAGAAGTTCCATGTCTCTTCAATTTTCCTTAATTCAACAATAATGCGTCTCTCCATTTTTTTTTTGTTTGTCAAACAGGAAACCCCGAGCCATATGGTGAAGACAGAGGAAGGCTTTGGTTGGCAGGTTTGGCACAGCGGCGGAACAGCATGCCCACGTGGAACGATCCCTGTAAGGAGGTTCGAAACAAACGTCTCACATTCCAAAAACAATCCTGATGCCGCCGACCGAGCTACGAGAGGACATCAGGTAAGTTTTAAATTTCTTCTCTTTTTTTTTTAGTTTTTATTTTTTACTTAAAGGTTTTTATATCAAATTGAAACCTTAACTGAATCAATTTAGCCCAAAGCTAAGTAGGGCAACACAAAATATATTATGAACCTTGACTAAATTAATTTAGCCTAATGCCTAAATAGCCCAAAATAAAACATAATAAACCCCCTTAACTGAATCAATTTAGCCCAGTGTCTTAAGTAGCCCAAACCAAAACATATTAAGAACCTTAACTCAATCAATTTTGCCGAGTGCCTAAGTAGCCCAATGCAAAACATATTAAAAATCTTAATAGACTAAATTAAGCCCAGTGCCTAAGTAGCCCAACGCAAAATATAATAAGAACCTTAACTGAATCAATTTAGCTTAGTGGCTAAGTAGCCCAACGCAGAACATATGGAAACCCTTAACTGAATCAATATAGCCCAACTAAAGCCCAAATGAGAAACCAACTCCCTAATCGTTTGCCCAAAACGAGAAATGGTGTTGCAGAAAATCAAAGATTAAGTTTATTATAATTTTTTTTTCCATAACAATAACAATAAATAATGTTACTGATATAATATATTTGTGGACGCAACAGTATGCTATCGCACAGATGCAAAATCAATCATTTTATGGAACGAAAGCGACGCTCAATGTCTGGAGTCCAGTCGTAGAATCGCCGGACGATTTCAGCTTGGCACAAATTTGGCTTGTGTCCGGACATTATCAAACCAACGACATCAACACGGTTGAGGCGGGTTGGCAGGTTAGTATTAAATAGATATTTAGCATTCAAATATTTATTCCATTTAAGTTGTATGTAAATAATTTAACAATGAAATTGTATTTCTGTTATTTAGGTTTTTCCCAACCGATATCATGATCGCCAGTCACGATTATTTACTTATTGGACGGTCTGTATTCTCCTTTTTAATTTTGATTTTATAATATTAAGTAGTAAGTAATTACAGTTAATATAACTATTGTAGCTATTATTATTATAGATAATTAAACAGTTATTAATGTTTCTATAGCAATTTAAATATCAAATCAAAATAAAATTTAACCATAATATATTTTAAAAATATTTAATAATAACATTTAAATTATTGAATGTTTACAAAACATATGCAGAGAGATGCATATGTACGTACTGGGTGCTACAGCACTCATTGTGTTGGATTTGTTCACGTCAGTAGCACCATTGCACTTGAGGCTGCGATTGCTCCGACTTCAACATTTGGAGGCGATCAGTTCGACATCACACTTCAAATTTGGAAGGTTAGACTATTAATATTTATATTAGTATAAGAAATTATAAATAATTAGTAAATTAGAAAATATGAAGTATATGGAAAAAAAAAACACAAAATATAGTAACTCCGTAAAATTCGATTTAGTTAAGGTAAACAGTTCAACTTTGGTTTAGATTTGTTCAATTTGGTTTTTGAACCAAAACATGGGACCAATCAATCATACTGATTACTAATCATACTAAGTGGCATCGTTTTAATTAATATATCTTGAACCTTTTCTTGCTTCAAATTAGATTAACCCAAAAATAAAGAACCCATATGTACCAGGATGGTAATTATAAAAGCCCATTAGAAAAACAGAAGTTCCTGTAGTCCAGTAACAATTTTTTGTCCAGAAATGGGAAACATCTTGTTGGATGTAACCGAAGTAATTTCGATGTAACCTAAAAATAAAGAACCCATATGAACTAGGATATAAATTATAAAAGCCGAAAATAGAAGCCCATTAGCAATTATAAAAGCCTAATAGAGAATCCATATGATTCAAGATGGTAATTATAAAAGCCCAATAAAAAAGCCCATTAGCAAATTAGAAGTTACTGAAGCCCAGTAGCGCAACTTTTGTCCAGAAACGTGAAACATCTTGTTGGATGTAACCAAAGATTGTTGGATGTATCTCGTTCGATCCTTACTAATACTAACAATTCGATCTTTTAAACCCTAAAAATAATCGATCTTCCTTATTGATATTCTTAGTGAATAAAAAACAAAAACAATATTAAATAAGGTTTGTACGTGTGATTATTATTATCATAAACAATCTTATCTCTAATCGCATCAGTTTTAGTTTTAATGTTTCATATGTGTTTGCTTGCAGGATCCATTTTCGGGGAACTGGTGGTTGGGTATGGGCGTGAATATCGTGCCGATTGGATATTAGTATTCACGACTCTATCCGATCACGCCACTACGATCCAATGGGGTGGCGAAGTGTTATACCGCAACACTTCCGGTATGAACACGACAACCCAGATGGGTTCCGGGAGATTTCCAGATGAAGGCTTTAGGAAGGCAGCCTACTTCTGCAACATCCAGATAGCCCAGGAGAATCGGACGTTCCTGCCGCTTCAGGACTTCAACTTCACTATGGGAGACACTCAGAGGGACTCTTACACGATTAAGAAGGCTCACAACCAAGCCTGCGGGACCCACTTCTACTACGGCGGACCAGGCCCATTGCGCTCGGCATCGGACCGCGTTTCTTTTACTTTCTTGCTTTTCTCTTTTTCGTTTTTTGTTTTCGTTGTTTAATTTTAGATAAACCTCTAGATGTTATAATATTAATTGCGAATATAAACAAACCTCTATTTATATTATGTGTAGTTTCAAGAAATCTCAAACTTATCTAATCCATTTTATTTTACTATTAACTAACCAATCACATCTACTGGTCAAATTATATAACATGTAAATACCGGAAAATCATAAAAGCAATTGATTAGTTGTGCATGTGTACAATAAACTTTGACTAGATCCAAAACTATAATGAGCGTTCAATATGAAGTTATTTTGACCACCATTTTAACTATAAACTACATAAATGTCTAATCTAAAAATGTCTTAGATTAATAAGTGAAGCCAATGAATACTGGAATCTTTATTTAATTTAAATTAAAATATTAAATATTTTAATTGAGTTTAAACGTATAAGCTGATAGGTTGAAGAAAAAAAATCTAAATTATAGAAAAATTATAAGAAATTATGCAAAAAAGAGCCTTAAAACGACATAATTTTTTAATCTTTTTTTAAATTGTCTAAAATATAAACTGTATATTTTATTTTGTTTTGAATATAAATATGTATTTTTATTGAACTTTGTTATATGCATAACAAATTATTTATTGCATTAATTAATTATTGTTCATACATTATAATAATATAAATTCAATTCTCAAACCATTACTTATAGGAAGTACAACAACATGTTTTAGGAGCATTTGGAGAAGGAGATAGACAATATCCCATTGCATATCCATCCTCAGCACAGTCAGTCATGCACATATACAATGTGTAATTGTCCGTACACAAAGTTTTACCGCAAGTATATTTGTCTTTGTTGATTTTTGCACCTACACAAACCCACATAAAAACTTATTTATGATTCTTGTTTAAATATACCTAAAGCCAAAACAAACCTTCATACCTATAACTAAGATAGTAACTAAAGCAAAATTTAAATATACCTGAAGCTAAACTATTGTTGTTAGACATCAAAACTGTTAATATTACGAAGAAAAAAAAGGTTACCAAAGTCTTTTTAATAGCCATACTTTTTTTAGTATATAACAGAAAAATATTCTTGACTTTTTCAATCCCAAAACAAATCTCTATTTATAATATTTGTAGTTTTAGGAAATCTCAAATTTAGGCATATTTGATTAATTTAGATAAATCCAAAATTATGAAAATTTAATGAATATCCAAATCTATGAAAATTTAATGAATATCCAAATCTATGAAAATTTAATAAATTTAAAGTTTTTAAATGATTTAAACAAATTTCGCTTTCTAAATTCTATCAAATACCATCATATGGGGTGATATTTCAATATATTTTTAAATTACCTCTCAAGTAATCCCAAATTATTTATTAAAATAATTTATTAATGAAACCCCAATTTTTTAATAAGGTAAAATTTTAATTAATTTGTATAAATGACTAATTCAATAACCTTGAATTTTAAATAACTTTTAAATGTTAGATTTAATAAAAAGATATTTGGAAAAAATGAAATTATTCCAAATCATTAATCCAATATACCCTATTATAATCTATTTTATTTTACTATTATTTCATTTTCCATATTTTACAAGTTCTCTTGTACATTTGGTCAAATTATATAACATGCAAAGACCATAAAATCATAAAAGCAATTGATTATTTTTGCAATTCCATATTTACAAGTTCTCTTGTGTAACTGGTCAAAGAGAATCTATTGGTCAAATTATATAACATGCAAATATAGGAAAATCATAAAAGCAATTGATAATTTGTGCAATTAGGATATTTATAATGTGTGCCTTTTAACTTTGACTAGATGCAAAACTACAATGAATATACTTTTTTTTAATGCCATAGCTAGAAGTGTTACTAGAAAGACTAGAAGTAGAAAATAGAAACCAACGATACCATTTATATCTTGCGAGACATGGTATGCGTTGGCTTCGACTGTTCGACATATGCTCAACCAAAATGCCCAAACATGATGACATGATCGTATCATCTACTTGTACAAACCTTTGCATAGTGGTTTTTTCATTGCTTATTATACTAATGCCTACTAGTGTCGGGTAATTTGCATATACCTTTTATATTTGTACTAAAACTCTTTGGAATTGATCTAATAAAAACAAAGTTTTTAAAAAAATATGAAGTTACTTTGATCAGCTAGCCTATAAACTATAAATAAACTACATAATGTTTATTTTTATTTTTTTAAATTACAAAATTTGATATTTAAATTGAGTTTAGATATAGAAGCTGTTGACTAAAAAGTCTAAATTTAAGCAAAAGTATTTAGGAAATTGCACGTATATCATTGTTCAAGAACAGACTCCAGGCTCTACCTGATTCTGATAATGTAAATCTCTTTCTCTCTGCTTGTCACATTCCGATAATAAGTTTAAAGGGAAATTTGTTTTATATATATAATTCGCTAGAGATTAGAGTTCTATTCAAGCTTTATTCATGTTGGTCACCGATCTTTATTTGTACCAGATATCTATCACATTCCTGAATGATGGAGCATGGAAACGTTTCCACAAACAACTCCAACATTATCCAACTGTACTATTCTTTCTAATGGCGTATATCTCACTAGCATCTTACAGTGAACCCATGTTTAGTATATTGCAACCTATGTTTAGCATCAGGAGTTCTTCAGGGTCACATTAGTTTTAATTCCAAAACAAGCATTACATCATCCTATCTTGAGCAGCAAATATGTACATCAACCCAGTAATCCCCTTTGTCACTCAGATTGTATGCAACAAGGTTAGAATGGGAGACAAACGAATAGTTCGTATCAAAGAGGGAGATGCTGAAGGAAGGCACATAGTGATTGTTGATGATTTGGTTCAGTCGGGTGGCACACTAATCGAATGCCAGGTTCTGTACTCAGATTCAACAACTCTCTCTTCAAAGTATAACTTCTAGTCTCGCTTCTTTCATAACTCACTACTAATTCTTGTGCCCTTCAGAAAGTCTTAGCTGCACATAGAGCAGCGAAAATAAGCACATATGTAACACACAGCATATTCCTCAAGAGTTCATGGAAACGTTTCAAGCTTGACACCAAATGTTGCAACCATTATTCATTTTTATTTTACCTGGTTTGTGGATGTGTCTTTGTGACAAAGTTAAAAATCTTGAATGTGTCTATTTCGTGGCGCAGACGATCCTGAGGAAGGTCTGAGCTATTTCTGGATCACAGACTCGTGTGGACTCACTGTGAAAAAAGTGATGAATAAACCGCCGTTTGAAGTTCTAAGCCTCTGTTAGAGTTTAGATGTATTGATTTGTATAATCGAGAGAAGTACAAAGAGTGATCTTGATTACATACAATCAAGATCCTGATCACATACGATCAGTGAATCGCACATCGCGAATCCTTTTCCACTATGATCTTTCTCGATAATGAATACAAGCCACATTTCTTCTATTTATACTTCTCGACTTCTCCCAATATGCGAACCAATCTTGAGCTACGGATCTGCCAACTCATCCTCCACATCATCGTTGACCACTTACTCTGTTTGACTATGCTCAACCATGCTTGATACTTATCAATACTTCCCCCTTTGAAAACAAGCTTGCCCTCAAGCTTGATGTGAAGAAATTGATGTTAGAATTGCTAAGGAACATTCACGGGGCTGCCACTCTCTCATAGTGTTGGCTATTGCGTTGAATGCAACAAGGAACACAGTGAATTCAGTAATAGTATATAATACCAAAGACAACACTTCTACCATCCCAAGAGTTTGTAACAACATTGAGCTCGGCATCGCTGACACTGTGAATGTAGAACAACCTTTGTAACCATTCACCTTTTGTTTATACTTAAACATCCTTGATTTGTAAAACTCTGTCATCTATTTCTGTTGTAGTAATGGAACTTGTAGCAGATTTTTGTTGAACTGCATCAGTATACAATGTCTTTCTACCATTGTACTCAATGTATACTGAATAGCAAGGTTTGATGCAACACATATTCTCTGCAGAGGGTGTTTAACTCTTTTGAATTGAGCCTGGATCTGTAACAGCAGCAAATATCTGCAATTTTCAAAAGCGCTGCTGTGCACTCTGTTTCCCCGCAACGTGGACTGGGATTTCTGAAGTTCCTTGGTCTTCTTATGAGGTGCTGATACGTGCCATAAAACCCATGTTTCAAAGCAACCCTTCTGAAACTAACGTTTTTCCAAATTATATGCAAGGTCTAGACTGAATTCGCCCACAAAAGCCAAAGCTTGATAGGTTGAAACGGTTTGTAGTAGCCTAGATTTCCATTTATGACACGGTCTAACAATTATGTCCCCTTCCACTGTGTGGATGCTGCACTGCTCAACACTTAACAAACAGAATTCAAACTCTGAAGCTGTCTTCGAAGTTGCAGGTTTTATGTTTTGCAGAAACTGAAACATCTCAATGCCATCTTTGTTCTCACTTGTAGATTCGTCTAATCTTGTACTTGAACTTGAATTTCCAAGCTTTATAGCATTTCCTCTTTATGAGCTTACTTGTTACTCTCCGGAACAGTTTACCAAACATGTTTTTAAACTTGAAACTCCAGGACTTAGGACGCTTAGTCCACTTCTTCTTCTTCAGAAACTTGTGCCCTGTCCACTTCATTGTAAGAACTATATTACTTGGAAACTTGTAACCCTGCAACAGCCCAGCCCTTGTAGTCCAACAACCCAATCTCATTAACCCCTTAAAATAGATCGTCGCTTGTAGCAACTCTCTTGTGGGCTCCTAGATTTTAAACTTGAATCGCCATGACTTAGTACATTTAGTTCTCCTCTTCCTCTTCATAAACTTTTCCCCACTAAGAGTCATTCCCTCAAGTACCGGATCTGCATTCTTCTCGCCAAGCACACATTCTACTTCAAAGTGTGAATGTAACCGGTTCATTGCTGTCTTGGAACCATTCCATAATTAGTCATGAAAATTCTCAAGTTGCTGAGGTTGTACAACATCAATTGTCAATGTAAAAGGTGTTTCCTCTTGTGATTCATATATGTGAATTGACTCAGCCTCTTGCAACGTTTTCTTAGCTTGAATCAACACAGTCCCATGAATCCCTTTGTTGATGCGAATCAATTCATACGCAAGATTTATTGCGGATGGATATACAAGCATATCAGATTCATATTGTAGAGAAGTTTCTTCCACACGTGGTGATTCTGGCTGTTGCACCACTTCTTTCTCATGGACTACTTCCTTGATTGCAACCAATTCATCCTTTACGATTACCTCAACTGAAGAACAACTCGTAACAAGACCAAATTGATTCAGCAAGCAACATTTAAAGTCATTCCAGTCCAAGAATCTCCTTCGTCGCATTGCACGACTGAACCATTTATACGCAGCTCCTTCCAAGTAAAGGAATACGAGGTCTAGTTTTGCTTCATCTGCCCAATGTTCGAAGAAGTTCTCCACTTTTTCCAGCCAACAATCCGGATTTGATCCATCAAACATTGGAAGCTTATTTTGTTCTAATGTGCTTTCACGATTTGCAATAATCAAATTCCCAGATCGATACCCTAGCTGCGATACACTCCGGTTTCGTTCCAGGTCAAAATCATTTACCTGGATTTTTGTTTGTGATGTCTCGAGATTTTGTTGGGGATCTTCTTCCGTCGCTTTACCCTTTGAATCCAGATCTTCATGAAACGATATCTTGTATCCACCATTGACAAAGGCGTCGATTTCATCATCGATTGGAGATTCAAGATTCGCCATAGTTGTGTCGTGTCGTCGAATCTTCGATTGATCCTTCGAGTCGCTCGTCCAGAATTCATGGCTGAAAAATGCATCCATTTTTTCACTCATCGTCATCGTCTTCATCGCTCGAGTCGCTGTTGCCATCGTCGCGTTAAATTCGAAACAGTTTCACCGCACCATTGTTAGAGTTTAGATGTATTGATTTGTATAATCGAGAAAAGTACAAAGAGTGATCTTAATCACATACGATCAAGATCCTGATCACATACGATCAGTGAATCGCACATTGCGAATCCTTTTTCACTATGATCTTTCTCGATAATGAATACAAGCCACATTTCTTCTATTTATACTTCTCTACTTCTCCCAATATGCAAACCAATCCTGAGCTACGGATCTGCCAACTCATCCTCCACATCATCGTTGACCACTTACTCTGTTTGACTCTGCTCAACCATGCTTGATACTTATCAGCTTCGCTGGTACCATAGCTTCTGCACTTCAAGTTTAAGCTTCCGTGATTCGAGTACAAATCTAGCCGCAAGTAATTTTTTGGGTTTGGACAATCTGATTAATGAGATTTGTCTTTGGTGTATAGTCTCTATCGAAGCATTTGCTGTTTAAGAGGTTGTTTATTTATTTATTTAGGAAAATCCAATAATGTAGTGATGTTTTGTCTCACTTCTTTGTAGTTGATTGACAGAAAATCCATTTGAAAATAAAGTTTTTTTTAGGTTGCAAACTTAAAGTAGAAAAAAAATCACAAACCAACTCCAATTAGTTTTGGTATTGTTATTATTTGCTTTGTATGTATATGCATCACCAAGTATGTTATAACTTATAACTAAACTAATTTATCTAATCCAAGCTGAAAATAAAATAAAAAATATATAAATCCAAATCGATTATATAATTCTACTAACATCATAGAGAGATGTCAGCATTCAAATCTTAGACTAGCACACGTTTTCTTGTTCATGCGTTGTTATTCTTTTAAAATCTAGAGATCCAAATCGAGTATATAACTTTGTTCATGCATTTTTTGTTAATCTTTGACACACAGAAAGTCCTAGTCTGAAGAACAACATCAACCAAAACTGAGTTCTATTCCGATTGGGGTGGGAAGAAAAACTGAACCTAAGACTTTGATTTGTATAAGTAAAAGCATCTGATTAAAAATCTAAATAAGAACCACAATGTGAAAACCATACCAAACCAAACTGGAACCGGATAGAATCTTGAAATTGAAATACATATTGGGCCTTTGGGGCCCAGATATTAAGCATAGTCCGCTGTGGAAATATACTTTCCGTACATCACGTCATTTCAAATTTCCATTTTTTTTTGGATAAAATTCATTCATTTCAAATTTCGTTAGCAACAGGAAAGAGAAAGCTGAGAAAAGCAGTTTCAAAAAACGGAGGAAGTATCTGGAGGAAGATGGCGGGATCGCTAACAGCATCAGTCCACGAGCACCACCGAGGAGACGCGGCGACTTTAGAGCTTTCCGGATGGCTGATCGATTTTGCTCGGTTTGTTCCGTATCCATCCTCTCCCTCTCCGTATCCAGGGATGGTTCCTCTCGGAAAAAGAGAGCTGAATCCGTCGCCCTTCGGGACGTGGTTGTCGACGTCTTCTTCGACGGCGGCTCTCCATCTGTTGGACAAATTGGACAGATCCGATGTGATTCTCTCCGTCGAACTCGGCGGGAAAGTCCTCGAGAGTTGATTTTTCCTCTTACGAGCCTTCCATGAACCTCCCTCCGAGTTTCAGTACCTTACTCTCTGGTTGCTTCCCCAACTCCACTCTAGGTAACATCCACATTGATCTTGCTTTTGCTTGTTCTAGTTTGTGAGATATGGCTTCTATTCATACAAATTTAACAAGTTTTCTCCCGATGAAACCCGCTTTAGATGCAGGCCAAACAATTGTAAAGCAGGATCCTGATCTTAGGTCACAGATACTGGTACAGCAGCATTACAAAACTAGGGTCTCAACATTGACATACGAATAATATTCGTCCGATTCGCATAACATACAAAGGAATCCGCATTAGCTTCTAAACATCACATACTCAGTTCAAGAGCTACACAAGTCACTCATGGGTAAAGCAAGGCGTATGCTATCCTTTTTTATTGCCACTCGTGTTAAGCTATTACCAATGAAATTCACGTCTTGATTTCAGATTGCGATTTATATCTGTAAACCAACTACTAAACCAAACCTGGCCCAGAATTTAACCTAAATAAAAATCTGAACCAATTACTATACCAAACCTGACACATAATATATTTTTCTGATATTGATTTGACGCAGACCCACATCGATGAAACACTAGTCAATATTTCGACAATAATTATGCATAAAACAATTCAACTATATATATATATATTATATTTTTGTCAACGAATTCAACTATATATATATCAAACAAAATAGTTCATTGTCTAAAAAATATTACAAATATTTCGATAGAATGATTTTAGCACCAGGGCGAATCCACGTCATTGGAAATTAGGAATGGCGATGCTTTTGTTTTCAGTTAAAATAGTTTAGTGGCTTTGTCCGCCCCCACTGAATATAATGTTCCCTGGTTCGAAGCCCTTGTCCGTTTAAAATCTTATTTCTTTCATTTATCTATTTTTTTTTTTTTGGTTCTCTCATGCGAGTCCAACCTTCAACTCAAAGAAAGGCATATTTTTCGATGCAATTAATTTCTTATCAATGATATGTAATATACTTTAGCTACACCGTTGATATCAAATTTCCTTATTGATGATATAATCACAAATATATTAAAAGAGAAGAAAAAGGCCAAAACCTGATATGTGACTGGCCTACACGGAAGTCAAGTGATTACCATCCGTTAGTTAATTTTTCTCTTTCTTTAACGATATAATTAATCAGATATTTTTGTTCATATTTGAACTTTTATAACCAACCAGATACTAATTCTTCTTTTTGTTTAATAAGTTCTCTTATTCATTTTTAGATATAATTTTATAACCTCACAATTAAATCTAAAGTGTTAAAATCATTTCATAATTTATGTCCTAAATTTTTATGTCGTCAATATACTGATCGAACAAATAAGTGGTCCATTTTTACCCCCCAAAAAAATGTGGTACATCCGTACATGTACAAAAGGTCAAAGGCAATCCACCACGTCCTTTTCCCAAGCAAAAGTTGAATTTATATGTATATAATTTCTCATGTAAGAGATGTTAATTATAATGATTTTGTGTTGGCTTGATTATTGATAAAAAAAAAGCATGTGAAATTAATACCAAACCACTCAATGTATGTCATATTATATATTTTAAATCATTTTTTAACTAAAAAATATTGATAAAATCACGATGGGGTTTTCAAAATTATATGATTTTACTAATCAGAATCAAAACTTTCGTTAAAGACAATTAAAAAGCATGTGAATTTAATAACTAACTAATTACCATCCGTTAGTTATTAAATTCACATGCTACTTATTATTAAAAAGCATGTGAATGTAATTCCAAATCACTCAATCAATATCACATTATATTTTTTAAACTATATAAATAGATAAATAAAATTTTAATTAAAAAATATATATTGATAAAATCAAGAAATGGTTTTCAAAATTATATGATTTACTAATCATAATCCAAATGTTACATCAATAAATTCTTATGTATAATGTGTTGTCTGCAAATTACACTTGTCCTAATCTGTTAAACAAATAAGCCAACTAAATAGACACAAAGTTACAGAGAGAGAGAGAGAGAGAGAGAGAGTGTGTGTGTGTGGGGGGGGTTACCATTTTGGGAGAAGGGAATATTATATATATCTATAGACATGCACTATAAGTAGTAAGTGACACTGGCGTAGACGAACGTATTATGACTCTGATTAATACAACTTAAATAGACAGAGAGAGAGTGTGTGGTTTCCGTTTTGGGATAAGAGAATTTTGTTTTTATCTATATATATATAAGTAGTCAGTGACTCCGATATATAAACTTTAGAGCGATAAAACAATAGTTTTCTACAACAAAACTCCGATATATAAACTTTAGTATAGTGGAGATCAGAAAGATGATGTGATGTGAAGCTTAATAAGGTTGAATTATTTTTCTCGTTAATTAGCGAATGAATGTACATCGTTTCTATATATACCTGACTCTCATTAAGCCAAAAGGAAACTTCAACCAGAGACTAAACCACTTGGTATAAACCACTATACACTCTAATAAAGCTACACAACGACGAAAGCCTTTTTCTTCAGCGTTTTCGATCTTGACTTCCATCTGTCTTCACGTAGCTTACGTTTGCGACCCTTTTTCTGTAACTCCTTCTGCATTGACATATCCATGTATAGCTTCTCCAAATCGTTTGCCCTGCTCTTCCGTGCCTCGACATCTATGTATGATCTCTCCATTTCCTTTTTGAATTTTATGAAGTTCAAAAAAAAAAAACTGAAATTTTATTTATATCGCTTCTTTTTCTGTACTTATACAGGGTTGTGGCTACCGCAGTTGCGTATATGAGACAGGTTTATATCAGGTATTGTTCATTGATATCGTCGTTCAATACATTTCTGTATGTAGTCATATATTGGGATTAGCATTATTTTATCTGCTAATTTCTATCTTTCGTTTGTTATTTAAGACGGGATGTTAAATCCATGCTATGTGGAGTACTGTTGCTACTCACTCTATGTGGAGAGTCAACAGCCACGTCAGACTTGATCCCCACGCCAGTCTTGACCATTCAGGTATGAATTTTTGATCTAAGTTCGAATTTATTTTGAATGATTTAATTTAACGTATTCTATATTTTTTTTTTTTATCTATAACAGAGTCCAGATGGCGACATTATCGATTGTATAAACCGGATGGACCAATCATCATTGAAGAATCCACTCCTGAAGAATCACATGTTTCAGGTTTTTTTTTTTAATATTATTATTCGTCGATAGTAAAAATAACACTATTATTTATTTGAAAAAAAAATCACTTGTTTTTCTACTATTTTTATTATAGTTTATTATTATTTCTGTGGGAAAAAAAACTATTTTTTAATATTTTCTTAATTCTATTTTTAATTTGTTTAAAACAGGAATTCCTGAGCCATCTGGTGAAGACGGAAGAGGAAGGCCTTGGTTGGCAAGTTTGGCACGCCAGCGGAACATGCCCACGTGGAACCATTCCAATGAGGCGATTCGAAACCAACAGCACTCATAACAAAAACAACCCCTTAATTTCTGATGCGGCCGACCGAGCTACAAGGGGACATAAGGTGAGTTTCATTTTCTTCTTTTTTTTTTGTTTGCTAAAAGATTTGCATATGAAACCCAAATAAAACCTTAAAGCCCATAAGATAATTAGCCCAACGCAAAAGATATTAAAAATCTTAACTGTATCAATTGAGCCCAGTTGCTAAATAGCCCAACACCAAATATATTATGAGCATCAACTAAATCAATTTAGCCTAATGCCTAAGTAGCCCTACATAAAAACATAGTAAAACCTTTAACTAAATCAATTTAGCCTAATGCCTAAGTAGCCCTACATAAAACATAGTAAAACCCTTACCTAAATCAATTTAGTCTAATACTTAAGTAGCCCAACATAAAACATATTAAAACCCATAACTGAATAAATTTAGCCTAGTACCTAAGTAGCCTAACGCAAAACATATTAAGACCTTTAAGTGAATCAATTTAGCTCAGTGCCTAATTAGCCAAACACAAAATATATTTAGAACCTTAAATTTAGCCTAAGTAGCCCAACGCAAAACATATTAAGACCCTTTACCCGAATCAATTTAGCCTAGTGCTTATGTGGTCCAACACGAAACATATCAAGACCCTTAACTGAATCAATTTACCCTAAGTAAAGCCCAAATGAGAAACCATCCCTTAACCGTTTGCCCCCAAGACGATCTCTGATTTTCTGCAACACCATTTCTTAAGTTTATTATTGATTTTTGTCATAGCAATAATAATAAATAATGTTACTGATATATAGTATATATATTTGTGGACGCAACAGTATGCTATTGCACAGATAGAAAATCAATCATTTTATGGAACGAAAGCGACGTTCAATGTCTGGACTCCGGTCGTGGAATCACTGGACGATTTCAGCTTAGCACAAATCTGGCTTGTGTCCGGCCAGTATGAAACCAACGACCTCAACACAATTGAGGCGGGCTGGCAGGTTAGTATTAAATAAATATTTAGCATTCAAATATTCATTCCATAAAATTATATCTAAATAATTTAACAATAAAATCTGTTTCTGTTATTTAGGTTTACCCCGGCCGATATCATGATCGTCAGCCACGATTATTTACTTATTGGACGGTCTGTATTCTCCTTTTTAATTTTGATTTTATAATACTAAGTAAATAAATATAGTTAATATAACTATTGTAACTATTAATATTATAAATTATTAGATAGCTATTACTATTATTATTATATAAATTTATGAATGAAAAATTACCTAGTTTATTGAAAAAGAAAAATTAACTTAATTTGTTATTACAAATTTTTTTTTTAATCTCAACTTTTTTTTTAATCGCAACTTAGATTTCAAATCATAATAAAATATAGCCATAATAATATTTAAATGATTGAATGTTCACAAAATATATGCAGAGAGATGCATATATAGGCACTGGGTGTTACAGCACTCATTGTGTTGGGTTCGTGCACATCAGTAGCATCATTGCAGTCGAGGCTGCGATTGCTGGTACTTCTATAGTTGGAGGCAATCAATTTGACATCACACTTCAGATTTGTAAGGTTAGACTATTAATATTTTTATTAATATAAGAAATTATAGATAATTAGTAAATTATAAAATATGAGGTATATAAATAATAGATAATTAGTAAAATTCGACTAGTTAAGCTAAACAGTTCAACTTTGGTTTAGAATTGTTCAATTTGGTTTTGAACCAAAACATAGGGACTAATCAATCATACTGATTACTAAGCGGCATCGTATTAAGTAAAATAGCTTGAAGTTGAACCTTTTCTTGCATCAATTAACAACAACAGACCAGATTTTTTTGCATCAAATTAGACTAGCCCAAAAATAAAGAACCAGAATATGGTAATACCATTATAAATGGCCGATAGAGAAGCCTATTAGTAATTATAAAAGCCCAGTAGAGAATCCATATGCCCTAGGGTGGTAATTATAAAAGCCCAATAGTGAAGCCCATTAGTAAATCACAAGTTACTGCAGCCCTGTAGCAATCTTTTGTCCAGAAACGTGAAACATCTTGTTGAATGTAAACGAAGCAAAGTCGATGTAACCAAAGAAATCCTAAATATTCGATCTTCTTTATTGATATTCATAGTAAACAAAAACTATATTTAATAAGGTTAGTATGTTTGATTATTATCTTATCTCTAATCGCATCTGTTTTGGTTTTTAATGTTTCATATGTGTTTGCTAACAGATAATGAAACAAAAAATTGCAGGATCCACTATCGGGGAACTGGTGGTTGGGCATGGGCGTGGATTTCGTGCCGATTGGATACTGGCCGGTCGAGATATTCACGACTCTCTCGGATCACGCCAGCAGAATCCAATATGGCGGCGAAGTGTTGTTATACGGCAACACTTCCGGTGTGAGCACGATAACCCAGATGGGTTCGGGGAAGTTTCCAGATAAAGGCTTCGGAAAGTCAGCCTCGTTTTGCAACATCCAGATAGCCCAGGAGAACCGTACGCTTCTGCCGCTTCAGAACTTCAACTTCACTCTAGGATATACTCTGCGGGATTCGTACACTATCAAGAAGGCTCACAACCAAGCCTGCGGGACCCACTTCTACTACGGCGGACCAGGCCCAGTGCGCTCGGTCTCGGTTCGGGCAAACCGCATTTCTTTTACTTGCTTTGTTTTTGTCGTTCTTTTTGTTTTTGTTGTTTGATTTTAGATAAACATTTAGTATATATTAATGTAATTAAATAATCTTACTTGTTTTTATTTTATTGGCTTGTACTTGTATTAAAAAAAAGCATGCATCTATATATTAAAACATAATTTGTCATACTGAAATGTATATTTCTATTTTGTATATATATAAAAAAAAAGAGAACACATTCTGGTTTATCGTTCATTTTAATGTGGTTATCCAGAAAGAGTTAATTAGTGAATCCACCCCCTAACCACAAATCCTTTTATGTCAACCCCTCACAATTAAAACTCAGTCAGACCCTCTACATCTTATACAAACTCAAATCTAATTATGACGTTTGGTGGGTATTAATATCATCATGTCATGTAAATAGCACTAAACCACATTCACTCAATTGCTAGAAATAGCCACATATATAATGTCCACAGAGTTAGATTCCATATCCCAAGTTCCTAACCAACCCAAGAAGGTAAAACCTATATACCAAACGAGCACGCAACTGTAATCCACAACTAAATAATACTTTTTCATTAAAATCTTTAGAATCACATTTTCAATTTAAATTTTTTTGCCAGAAAAATTAGAAATTCAAGTTTTCAAATTTTTGGTAAGCACAAAAAGCTATAAGACATTTAATAATTAATGAGAAAGTATTATACATAAAAACTATTAGATTTTTATTTTATTTTATTGCATTAATTAATTATTGATCATATATTATAAAAGTAAAAACTCAATTTTTAGATCATTAACTATAGGGATTACAACAACATCTTTTAGGAGCATTTGGAGTAGGAGATAGACAAGCTCCCATTGCAAATCCTTTCCCACCGCAGTCAGTCATGCACATATACAATGTGTATCTGTCTGTACATAACATTTTACCGCAAGTATATTTGACGTTGTTGATCTCTACCCCTACACAAACCCACATAAAACATATATATGATCTTTATTAATTTATAGTCTTTAAAACTATTATATCTCATCTAAGATAATAATTAAAGCAAACTTTCATTATACCTGAAGCCAAAATGTTGCTGTTAGACAACAAAATTGTTAATATTACAATGAGAAAAAAAATTGAAGTCTTTTTGATAACCATAATTTTTTCTTCTGTAAAATGTTCTTAACTTTTCCAATCCTCAACAAAGCTCTATTTATATTATGTTTCAGGAAATTTCAAGCTTATCTAGTTTATTTTATTTTACTTTTAATTAAATTTCCATATCTACTGGTCAGATTATATCTTTAAAAGCAATTGATTACTTATGCAGTTACGATATATACGGACAAATATAACGTGTACCATAAACTTTGACTAGATGCAAATCTACAATGAGTGTACTTTTTTTTATTGCCAATAAAATAATTTAATATAAAGTTACCTTGACCAGCTTTTTAACTATAAACTACATAAATGTCTTAAATTAATAAGCGAAGCCAATGAATACTGATATCTTTGTTTAATTTAAATTACAAAATTTGATATTTTAATAGAGCTTAGATGTAGAAGTTATTGACAAAAAATCTAAATTATGTAAACGTTTTTATAAATTTTTGCAAAAAATCTCTCAAAATAATATAAAATGCAAGAACAACTTCAAATAAAAAAGGGGCAAAATAATTTTTCAAGTGACAGATATGATCAACTTCAATTAATATAATTTTTAAGTGATAAATATGAAACTCTTTGGAATTGATTTAATAAAACAACATTAAAAATTACATCGATCAGCGTTTTAACTTGTACAAATAAACAACATAATGTTTAATCTAAAATTTTCTTAAATTAATCAGTGAAGCCAATCAATACTGATATCTTTATTTAATTTAAATTACAAAATTTGATATTTAAATTGAGTTCTAATGTAGAAACTGTTGACGAAAAAATCTAAATTAAGTAAAAGTATTTAGGGAATCATGTAAAAAAAAAAACTCAAACAGACATAAAATACAAGATCAACTTCGAACAAAAAAAGGTAAAAGAAATCTTTAAGTGACAAAAATATCAATGGAGTTAATGCCGAGGTTCAAATTTTTGATAGAACGAAGGTTTGCTGTTCATAAAAAGAAATAGAAAGAAGGTTTTTTTATTTTTTTTGGGCAAAAAATAGAATGGAGATTATTTTACAATAAATCAAATTAAATAAAAATTAGCCGGGTCGAGTTATACTTTAAATCCTTAAACGTACTATCAAACCAAACACGTCACTATTACCAAATATGAAATTCACGTTTTGATTTCAGATTGCGATTTAAATCTTTAAACCAGCTAAACCTGGCCTAGAATTCAGTCCAAATAGAAATCCAAACCAATTACTACACCAAACGTGACACATAATTTAAATCCAATTAGAAATCTAACCTGACCCAACTGGTAAAAGAGGAAAAACGTGATTCTAATGATTCTACCCGTAAACAAGAGCAACCAAGAATGTACCAAAACTATGAGATAAATTTTATTTTATTGCATTAATTAATTATTGATTATACATTATAAAAATATAAATTCATTTTTTATATCAGTAACTATAGGGATAACAACAACATGTTTTAGGAACATTTGGAGTAGGAGATAGATAAATTCCCGCTGCAAATCCTTTCTCACCACAGTCAGTTATGCACATGAACAATGTATACTTGTCCGAACATAACATTTTACCAGCGAGTATATTTGACTTTGTTGATCTCTACACCTACACAGATCCACATAAAACACATATATGAGCTTTGTTAATTTATAGTCTTTAAAAGTATTATATATATATATATATATCTAAAAAAATAATCAGAGGAAAATTTCATTATACTTGAAGCTAAAATATTGCTGTTAGACCACAAACTTATTATTACAAAGAGAAAAAAAATCAAAGTCTCTTCTGTATTGAAGATATAATGAGAAAAAATGTTCTTATCTTCTCCAATATAAATTTTGCACACAAAAAAAAAAACACTTCTCCAATATAAACAAAGCTCTATTTAGATTATGTTTAGTTTCAAGATATTAATTAACCTTCCATATCTACTGGTCAAATTATATAACATGCAAAGATCGGAAAACCATAAAAGCAATTAGTTACTTGTGCAATTACGATATTAATGTGTACCATATATTTTGACTAGATGCAAAACCACAATGAGTGCACTTTTTATTGCCAATAAAGTATTTTAATATGAAGTTACTTTGACCAGCATTTTAACTATAAATTACATAAATGTCTAATCTAAAAATGTCTTAAATTAATAAGTGAAGCCAATAAATACTGAAATTTTTATTTAATTAAATTACAAAATTTAATTTTTTAGACGTAAAAGCTGATAGGTTGACAAAAAAAATCAATATTATGAAAAATTTTTAAAAAAATTTGCAAAAAGAACCTCAAAATGACATAATTTTTTTTTTAAATTGTCTAAAATATAAATTATATATTTTTATTTTGTTATGGATATAAATATGTATTTTTTATTGAACTTTTTTACATGCATAAAAATTTATTTTTGAAAATTAATTAGTTATAGGGTAAATTGGATCTAAAAAAAAAGAGAAAAGTATCAATAATTAATTATTTTATTTATTATAAAATATGTAAAATATTTAATCTCTATAAGATCTTTTAGTCTTCTCATCTTTTAAAAAATAAGTACAAACTGTGATTTATTTTATCCATATTTTCCATGCCTCCTAATTTATAACTCTTAATAATGGATCTATAATTTCCTTTTATTTTGGTTTGATAGTACTAATGATAGCACAATAATAAAGCGATGTAGATATGGTAGTATGAATTTTAAAAGAAAAAGAAAAAAAGTGCAATGATTATTTATCCCAAAAAATTGTGATAAAATCAATATAGATATTAGTTAATATGAGAAGAAAAAAAACTTTATTTTAATGAGAAAAAGAAAAAAAAAGATTTTATAGTTTTAACAGCCATGTTTAGAAAACTTTAGATAAAAAGCAATACAAAAGAAAGAAAAAAATTACGAATGAGTAAAAAGTAAGCAAACATGTTATTATTAGCAAAATCAGTATCAATAAACATAGAAGATCGTCAAATGATTTTCATTAACAATAGTGTTCGTTTGTGATACAATCCAAATTTTCAAATGATTCAGAATCCTAATTCCAAGAAATTATCCGATAAAGCTATTTTCTTGAAGATCGAGCAAATCTTAGTTTCTCGAATCTCCAAATTATCCGATAAAGCTGTTTTAACTGTATTACTTAGAAACATTTCAAATTATATATGTTACCAAAAGAAATTAGAACTGTAAAGAGATAGAGACATTTTTAGTTTTTTACCACTTAATTCCTCAAACTTTAAAGAGTCTCTCACTTTGAACAAAAAACTAAAAATAAAGAGTCTCTGACATAACTAGTCTTCATTTATCACCTATGTTTTGAAGAATTTCTGTGGAGCCACTTCAACCTTGACGATTCAGAGTCCAAACGGCGACGCTATCAACTGCGTTAACAGGATGGACCAACCTGCTTTGAAACATTCCCTCTTGATAAATCATATCTTAGTTGTATTTATTATAAATAATTTATTCTGTCTTGATATATATCTAATGATAAACTTAAAACAAACTATTTTCCCAAAAAAAAAACTTAAAACAAACTTTATACCCTACAATATCACTATTGGAAAATAAGAAACAAAATAAATTGAAAAAATAAGCCAAATATATATGAAACATAAGAGTTTTTTTAAAATAAATTAAGAAAATTTTAAACAAAATCTAAGCAAAATTTAAGAAAAAATAAATAAAATTTAAAGAAAATAGATTATACCATTTTCATACAAAGATTAGTGATCACAATGACAACCTTAATCTTGACAACTGACGTATTCTTTATGTTTCTTAATTAGTAAATAATTCTGATAGTTAACAATTGGTCCAATCAGATTTGTAGATATTTACTGTATTATAGATATTTGTAGGCCTCTTTGATTATTGTAATATAATTTTTTTTTTCAAACATTATATATACGTGTATATAATAGTAATGCAATTGCGCATATGAAACCCCAAAACACCAACCAATTTATGAGACGAAAGCCACATTAAATGTCTCGAATCAGATGGCAGAATTTCATGCCAATTGGATATTGGCCGGTCGAGATATTCACCACTCTATCGGATCACGCCAGCAGAATCCAATATGGAGACGAAGGGTTCCGGGAAATTTCCAGATGAAGGCTTCGGAAAATCAGCCTACTTTTGCAACATCCAGATAGTCCAGGAGAATCGGACGTTTCTGCCGCTTCAGGACTTCAACTTCACTATGGGAGACACTCTGCGGGATTCTTACACGATTAAGAAGGCTCACAACCAAGCCTGTAAGACCCACTTCTACTACTGCGGACCAGGCCCATCACGCTCGCCGTCGGTTCGGCAATCCGCGTTTCTTGCGTTTCTTTTACTTTCTTTATTTTTGCCTAGATAAACATTTATATATTAATTAAGCATGTAATGTAATCAAATAATTTTACTTGTTTTTATTTATTGGCTCATTAGAAGTACTTGTATTAAAAAACATGCAGTCGATCTATATGTATTATAACATAATTTGTCATACTGAAATGTATATTTCTATTTTGTATAATAAAGGAAAAAAGAGAGATACCACATTCTGGTTTTTAGTTTTCACCTCGTTATCGTTCATTTTAATGTGGTAATTCAGAAAGACTTGGTGAATCCACCCCCTAACTACAAATCTTATATAAATTCAAAATCTATATTTTTTTTTGCTAACTACAAATATAATTTATGACGTTTGGTGGGGTATTTAGTATCATCATGTCATGTAAATAGCACTAAACCACATTCACTCAATTGCTAGAAATAGCCACATATATAATGTCCACAGAGTTAGATTCCATATCCTAACCAACCCAAGAAGGTAAGACCTATATCAAACGAGCACACAACTATAATGCACAGCCAAATAATCACATTTCATTAATATTTTTGGATTCACGTTTTCAAATTAAAATTTTTGCCAGCAAAATTAGAAATTCAAATTTTTGGATTTGTGGTAAGCACAAAAAGCTAGAGACATTTAATAGTTAGGATGAGAAAAATATTACACATCAAAACTACTTATTAGATTTTTATTTTATTTTATTACATTAATTAATTATTGATCATACATTATTAAAAGATAAACTCAATTCTTAAATCATTAATAACTATAAGGAGTACAACAACATGTTTTAGGAGTATTTGGAGTAGGAGACAGACAAGCTCCCATTGCATATCCATCCTCACCACAATCGGTCATGCACATATACAATGTGTAATTGTCCGTACACAAAATTTTACCACAAGTATATTTAACTTTGTTGATCTCTGCACATACACAAACCCACAAATAAAACACATATATGATCTTTGTTAATTTATAGTCTTTCAAACTATATACCTCATCTAAGAAAATAATTAAAGCAAACTTTCATTATACCTGAAGCCAAAAGATTGCTGTTAGACAACAAAATTGTTAGTATTACAACGAGAAGAAAAGTTAAAGTCTTTTTGATAACCATAATTTATTTTCTTTTGTATTAAAGATATAATGAGAAAAAATGTTCTTAACTTCTCCAATCCTAAACAAAGCTCTATTTATATTATGTTTCAGGAAATCTCAAACTTATCAAATTTATTTTATTTTACTATTAATTAAACTTCCATATCTACTGGTCAAATTAATTTATTTTAAAGTGATATGGATCTTAAAAAAAAAGTGCAATGATTAATTTATTCAAAAACAACTGGGATCAAACCAATATAGATTTTAGTTACTAGTCCTGTTCGTTTGGCAGCTGCAGGCGGCAGCGGCAGCGGCAGCGGGAAAGCAGTGGTGACGGCAGCGGTAACATTACTGCAGCTTGATGTTCGTTTGGCAGACGCAGCCGCAGACGCAACAAATTTATTTTTGTTTGTTTGGAAGTCGCAGCCGCAACTGCAGCCGCAGGATACATAAATGTTGTTCGTTTTACAGACTCTGCGACAAATTTTCATATAATTTATATTTTATTTTTATAAATTTGTATAATTAGATTTTTAATCAATAAAATATAATTTAAATATATTTCTATCAATAAGAAATATCATATTTAGTTAGTAATAATTTTTAAGTTGAAGTTGAATATATAGCTATAATAATTTTAAACAATTTATTTTGTGATAAATCGTAGAATAAACTAAAATAAAAGTAATAAGCTAAAATATTTAACTGAAATAAAATAAAAGTACAACATCAAATTATAAATAACCAAAGTTATATAAAAAAAATAATCAAAGACATTATCTCAATAAATTAATAAAAAATCATAAACAAAGTTTTAAACAAAAACTTAATAAGGTAAACGACCTCTATTACATTCATTTGTAATAAAATCACGCAAAGTTTCCATCACTCTATCACCAGTCGGTTCATATGCAATATGTCCACCATGATCTTCATCACTATCATCTTCTTCTTCTCCTCCTTCTCCTTCTCCTTCTCCTTCTCCTTCTCCTTCTTCTCCTTCTTCTCCTTCTTCTTCTTCTTCTTCTTCTTCTTCTTCTTCTTCTTCTTCTTCTTCTTCTTCTTCTTCTTCTTCTTCTTCTTCTTCTTCTTCTTCTTCTTCTTCTTCTTCTTCTTCTTCTTCTTCTTCTTCTTCTTCTCCTCCTTCTCCTTCTCCTTCTCCTTCTCTTTTTGTGCTTTGCCAATGTACAAAATCATGATCTTCCCGATGTGAATCACGTATGAAATTGTGTAGTGCCATTGTCGCTGTTACAAGCTTAATCCACTTGGTCAGACCATACTTTGGATGCTTGCGATCTAAAATCCTCCATTTTGCTTTCCATACTCCAAATGTCCTCTCAATCACTGATCGCAAACCTGAATGCTTTCGGTTAAACAACTCTCGTGCATTTACTGGTGGTCCTCCTCTAGCAAATTGACCAAGATGATATCGCATCCTACGATGCGGACCAAGATATCCTGTCCTAGTGGGATATCCGGAGTCAACTAGGTAGTACTTTCCACTAGGCGGATGTGGGAAAAAAGGCTCATTCCTCGCACAATGAGTCAAGACTTTTGTATCATGTGCTCTACCAGGAACACCGACATATGCATATATGAACTTCATATCGAAGTTACATATAGCAAGGACATTCATTGTGGGTTCATGCTTTCTACCTTTATAAGCTTCTGCGGTTTGCCTAGGGGGCCGGACTGGGACATGGGTTCCATCAAGTGCTCCAATGCAATCTTTAAAAAAAGGCATATATCTATCATCATTCCTCAAAACAGGGTTTACACTTGTAAACTCACCTTCTTGTGGTTTTAGCGTATCCACTGCAAATTTGAGGAGAACACTCAAAACCTCATCAAGCTTCCTTTTCACAGTATCCAGTGACCGTTGGTACCTGTCGGCTATATCCCGCATAGTCTTGTCCTGACCAACCACCTCAAGAAACATTGCAACAGATTCCTCAACATAGACATTTTCTGACTCTTCTAATCCATATCGCCTGGTTAGCATCTTACATAAAGCTCCAAATGTTCTTTGATTCATTCGAAGAATGTCATAATACTGCTGATCTGATCCATTCATAAGTTGCTGAACATGATGCCAACCTGCTCCTCGATCTGTTCTATGACTCAATCTCTCAGTGGCAAGTGAATCTAGCAAACCAAGTTCATCATCATCATCATCATCATCATCACCTAAAATTCATCTTCTAACCATCTGCAAACACAAGATAATCTATCATTATTTTTAGGTTCAAACTCAAGATATTCATCATCAAAACTCATACCAAAAACACATTTAACAAAACATCATCATCATTATTTTCAACTTAACATTTAACAAAACATCATCATCATTATTTTCAACAAACGGTTCAAACATAAACATAAGTAATTCATCACCAAAATAAAAGACATGTTTAAGAGAAACATTCAAGCAAAATCAATCATCAAGTTTTGTTCCAGTCCTAAACTCCAAAAACCTAATCTTATCTTCAGCCTTAGGAAATGCTATAAACCCTCTCCGGTTCCCTTCATTATCTACAAGATGAGCAATTGCTGCTTCGTAAAATGCAGACCACATTGTCACTCCTGGCAATCCATTAAGTATCTCTAAAACATTCTCAACACTCGAAGCATGCTCACGTTCCAACATCTGTTATGCTATTCTGTTCTTCTTATCAAGAACATCAGTCTGTTTCACAACAGCTTCTACAACCACATCTTTCTCTTTACGTCTTCGTTTTGCTCTTGAAGTTCCGGTCTGTGTTTGTGGCTGTGGCTGGGTTTGTGTCTGAGTTTGTGTCTCTATACCAGTGGCAACAGAATCAGCTTCATCGTCTTCATCTCCATCCACTCTAGAATTTAAACTAGCTTCTCCAGTTTGAGCGCTCCATCCTTCAGCTCCAGTTACCACTACAGCACGAACCTCAGCTTCAAACACATCCATATTAGCAACCAATTTGCCTTTCCATTTTCTAGCGTCAGGCCATTCCTATATAGCAAAAAAAACAAGATCCGGATCAGTGGCATTCAGCTAATCGTTAAAGCCAAGAACTATATGAAAAGCTTGAAAGAGATGATTACCTTTATGCGTTCCTCCCACCAATCATCTGACATGTCCAGCTTTCCCATATCATCATACCCAATCCTGGTCCTATTGTGAGTTAACATCCTATAGCTAGTGTATTTCTTTTTACACGAGTCATACTTGTTCTTGAAATAGTTCCATTTCTGATATCCTCTCTTAAATCTTGCTTCAAACTTCTTCATGATACAATCTTTCCCGGTTTTATTCATTCCTGTACTTGTCCTACTTCCTTTGCTTCTCTCATCCGCAAACAGTTGAAAAAAGTATCTAGTTTCTTCATCGGTCCAATTCTAAACGATGCATAAAAGACTCTACGATCAAAACCAAAACACTAACAAAACACTAAGATTAAAACCAAAACACTTACATCTTTAGACATCTTTCTCTAAACGCTGGGTCAAGTTTTGTCCTCTCCGTGATGACAAGACCCTGAAGAAACACAAGCAAACATAAACAAAGATAAGCGAAGATAAATGATAAAAGATAAGCGAAGAGAGTACATGACTCGGCAATTAACTACAAAACAGAGAGAGCACTAGTGATGACAAAACCCTGAAGAAACACAAGCAAACATATACAATAAACACCAGTAAGAAAGCAAATCTCGTTTTTAAATCAGAATGCTATAAACCAAAGTTTCCGTCACTAACAATAAACACCAGTAAAAAAGCAAATCATCGGAAAAAGTCATAAGAGAAGAGAAGACTATAAAACCATAGACACCGTTATGAGGCAAGCTGATAAAACGAGACTATTATGACATCTTACAAGCTTTAATTGAACTGCAAAGTATAGTGCAATCATAAAACCATTTTAATAATCTAAGTTTATGCATTGTACTAGAAGAATCAATTAACAATACATATAGCATAAATCGATGGAGATGACTAAGGGAATTATCAATCAGCTCATAAACACAAGGATTCAACGTAAACACAAAGATAAATCAACAACTTAAATCAACAACGTAAACACAAACATTAAGTTCATCAGATCAAAACATGAAGAAGAGAAAAACAATCACATATATCTCACATAAAAATCATCAAGACCCTGAAGAAACACAAGCAAACATTTACAAAGATAAGCGAAGATAAAAGCTAACTAACTAGACTCAGCAGCTAACTAGACTATCCTTCACATAAAAATCATCAAAGGAGCAAACAAGCATCACGAAGCACACACACAAGAATAGTGATTTCTTACTTGTAGACAGGGAGACTTTTTATGTGAAGCAACAAGAGACAGTGCCAACAAGTACAGGGACGGTTTCAACGTCAAGCTGCATAAACATTAAGTTCATCAGATCAGAACATGAAGAAGAGAAAAACAATCACATATATCTCACATAAAAATCATCAAGACCCTGAAGAAACACAAGCAAACATTTACAAAGATAAGCGAAGATAAAAGCTAACTAACTAGACTCGCCAGCATACACAAAAGTAACTAACTAGACTCGGCAGCATACACAAACGTAAACTGAGAACTAAAATGAGACATGGTGGATGCTCAACAGCTTATACATAATGAGAGCTATATACACCAGCGAATACATAAACTACTTGTATGCAACACGAACATAAGCATTTGTAGAACAGAAACCAAAAAGTATTTGTAAAAGCAGGGGAATTCGTTTGGTTCTAGCTAAGTGTCCTTATTGATTCTAGCTAAGCAATTCGAGAATCCAACCCAGTTCGTTTAAATAATAGAAGAAGAAAGAAACTACTTTAGGTGTAACTAGGCTACTAATGTATCTAGGACCCGAGTATTGATGCAGCGAATACATAAAGCAACGAGTACAGGAAAAAAAACAAAGTGATTTCTTACCCTTGGCAGCCTTAGAAAGCAACGAGTAAGAGACTGGGCCAACAAGTACAGGGACGGTCTCAACACCAAGCTGCATAAACATTAAGTTCATCAGATCAGAACTTGAATCTCACACACAAATCTCATACATAATAAACTAATCTCACATAAGGCAAATATAAAATCTCCTACATCGGCTAAAGTCACAAAAGCGATACACAAACTCATACATCACAATAACTAGTCTCTAAGTAATTTAGTCTCTAAGTAATAAGCTAATCTCACAGAAACTAGTCTCTAAGTAATCAAACGAAATGAACAGCGATACATAATAATCAAAGCTAAGCAGATCCATTCATCACAAGTTATAAGGAGTCTTGCGCAAGTGTAAACGTGAAACACAGAATACAAATTAGGACCATCTTGAGCCTTCACCATACACAGAATCAAATTCAAGTAACCTCATTTACCTTTAACTGAGAGATTCAAAACCCTTCAAAGAGAATCAAATCCGAGTAAGCCGCATTTCTCACACAAGACTCTTAAGATCTGCAAACGATGGGTAAACATTCATAAGATGAATGGGAATATCACTCGCGGAAAACAACTGAAACAGTAAAGGAAAAAGAGAGAGAGAAAAGTTCACCGGAAGCTTCAGTGGTTATTCGATTCAATGCCGAGATAGAGAGAGAGAGAAAAGAGCTTGAGCGGAGCTTAGAAACTAAACCCAGAAACCCAGAAATGCAAATGAACAAACCCAGAAATCTAATATAAGATCGAAGATGAAGTTTGAAACTTTTGAAAGAGCTGGGAGAAGAAGGACTGGTGAAGGCGACGAAGAGGAAATGAAGGTGACGAAGAGGAAATGATTTAGATTAGGTTTGATGGCATGTGTTTATAATTTACAAATAATAATATGGGTAATTCGTCTTTTAATAATTTAGTCGCAGCAAATTTAATTGCACCACCGATTTTCCTTTGCATCTAAAAATTTCGAACGCAAATATTTGTGGTTGACACTGCGTTTAGACGCAAATAGCCGCGGTAACGAAACGAACATGAATTATTGCCGTCGACGCAGATGCAAGTAGCTGCGGCTGCCAAACGAACAGAGCAACTATAAAAAAGAAAAAAAAGTGTAATGATTTTAGTTTCTCGAATCTCCAATTCATAAAACCTTTAATGGGCTGCTTAAATATGAAGTAAACATATACTTACATATATACATTATTACATTGTCTTTTTACGGTATTTTATTCTTTGATTAATTTCAGTTTAGAAAAGAGACCTTTTTTAACAACAGAAAGAAATTTTGTGGTTAATTAAGTTCGTAGGTGTTAAATCAATTCCTGATGGCGAGAAAAATAAAATTCCGGTTCCAATCTATAGAATTTAAACTAAAATACAACTATAGAGTTTTTAATTTATATAATTGTATGGGGTTTGTTGGGCAAAAACTATTAAATTGTATGGGTTTTAATTTTGACACTACCCGAGTAATGATGATTCCAATAGGTTAGTGAATACGACCAGAGCAAAAAAGAAAAAGAAAAAAAGAATTCAATCATAATAATGTTTTCGAATTTTTTCGAAAGCCTGTACGAGGGCATCGGAGACGATGACGCCGACGACGACGACAACAAGAGCAGCCGGAAACCTTCAACGGAAAGACACGATTCTGAGAGAAACACCCATCGTTTGTCCTCTTTATCACCGGAAGAGGAGGCTCAAGCGCGTGGGGTGAAAGATGACCTGACGGAACTCGGCCACACCCTCACGCGCCAATTTCGGGGGGTCGCTAGCTTTCTCGCTCCGTTACCAGATGGATCTTCCTCCGATCTGTCAAATCTCAGATTGAAAGAATCGCGGTCTTCAGATCCTGGATTGGATCAATCGCGGTCTTCGGATCCCAGACTAAATCATTCGCGGTCTTTAGATCGGTCCGAATCGTGTGTCGGAAGCGATACGCCGGAGACCGAAATTAAGGATAGGAGCTGGAATTCGGAAACCATGGCTTCGGAAGGAAAAGGGATAGAAGATGTGTGCAATGATCCGGAGGAGGAAGAAGAGGAAACAGATGAAGAAGAAGAAGAAGAAGAAGAAGAAGAAGAAGAAGAAGAAGAGATCGATGCGGTTGCTCTTACGGACGAAGTACTTGCATTTGCGAGGAACATAGCGATGCATCCTGAAACTTGGTTGGATTTTCCTCTCGACCCCGACGAAGATCTTGATGGTAACGTACACTGACTCGTTGGGTTTTCAAAAATGAGTGTTGAATTTTCACAAGACAGTTTTTTGGCCTTAGTCTTCATGAATTATTGACTTATGCATATCAAAGATTTTGAAATTTTCTGAGTGTAGATTTGGAAATGTCTGATGCTCAAAGAGGTCATGCTTTAGCTATAGAACGTCTTGCTCCGAGGTTAGCTGCATTGAGAATAGAACTTTGTCCATGCCATATGACTGTTGGTTACTTCTGGAAAGTCTACTTTGTTCTTCTCCATTCAAGGCTCAGTAAACACGATGCTCAGCTTTTGTCTTCGCCACAGGTAAACCTCGCCGAATGTCCTTGAATCCGATCCACAAAAACCAAAAATGATTGATTGTTGTTGTTACTCAATAAAGCCCTTTTGTTCTTGCAGGTGATGGAAGCAAGAGCATTGTGGATGAAAGAGCTTCAGAATCAAAACCATTCCTCAAAAGAAGGGAGAGAGATCTTTGAGGAGGGCACTAGACCATCAACTTCAAATTACTACCAGCATGCTCCTCCTGAGTTTCTGTCCCCACGAATATATGCCTTTGAGCCTCCTTCAATCATGTATCGCGACTTTGAGTCTGAAAATGCGCAGTTCATAGATAAAGCTGTTATCGAGGAAAAACCAATCCAAAAGGTCGACAAAAAGAGTGAAAGCCAAAGCCAAACACCCAAAGATGATGATGATGATGATGATTGGCCAGAAGAGGAAGATTCTGATCATAATTGGGCTCCAATGTTCACAGTGAATGAGGATGATGTTTCTTTCAGTGATCTCGAAGGAGACGATGATATAAGTAGCTTAGCACTCAAGTCTAAGAGTACCTCAAAGGGCGCAGAACGAAAAGGAACATGAAACATCATCTCGGGTTATAATGAAGCTGGCTTGTTGATACGCGCTACGTTGAGATCGAATCAGTAGAACTGAACATAAGGATTTGTGCAAAGTCAAAGCGTGAAGCCTGAGTTTTGGGACGGTTTTGATTGTTTGTCAAAGAAAAAAGGTTTTGAAATATGTACAGAAGATTACTACTTATCACTCAATTTCATTGTATTGTTCTCTCTCTTGCCGATGTAATGAAACATTGGTAAGCACCGTGTGTTAAACTAGGTGAAATGTCATTAGTATGTGATGATACTTCATTACATCTGAAAATTTTCAATTGGCCAGTGAAATGTATTTCACCACGAATTTATACGATCTGACTGCTATAACAAAAAGTTAGAAGACCGCGAATTAGGCAAATCTCTCGCTTGGTTTGGTTAGGCAGTAATTTTGGGGAGGAAACAAACATTTGATTAAAAATAAACAAACCAGGTAAAGAGAGCAAACACGATGCCGTTTCGATGGAATAAGAGTAAAATCAGAAGCTGAAACTAATGGCTGCTCTTTTTACTCCCATCGGTTTTTAATTTATTTTTATGTTGTGTTGTCTCTCTATTATGAATCCACCCACGAACCAGAACGAAATCGTCAGATCGTGAATAAGACTTTATCGAAACCACTCAAGCTGCAGATGATCTGAGCTCCTTCTTCTCCGGTGAAGCATAAGAATCTTCAGATCTCGTGGATTAATCCTTCTCTTTGATCGGATCTGATTCGCAGTCCTTTAGAAACAGGGAGGAAGAAGAACCATGGCAGGGGCGGCCTCCGCGCTGTTTCTGCTCGATATCAAGGGCCGTGTTCTGGTCTGGCGCGACTACCGCGGCGATGTCACCGCTGCCCAGGCCGAGCGTTTCTTCACCAAGCTCATCGAGAAAGAGGTTTCTCTGCGATTTCTCCTCCCATCTTTTATTTCTAGATTTGCCATTCGGTGGATTTTGTTCCGGTTCTGAGTACTTTGGTTTGTTACTTGGCTGCTGTGAAATGGAAGAGTAACTCGATGCACCTCAAAAAATTTCGATTCGCCAATGGAATTCAAAAACTGTTCAAAGCAACACGCCTGATCATTTAGAAGTTGCAATCTTGTCTGTCTCGTGTAACCTGTGAATAAAATTCTTAAGATTATCTGTGATTCTTATCTGTCTTCGCGATCTGATGTCCTGAGGTTCTCGTGGAAATATGAACATTTGGAACAAATAAGCAAAGCTTGTTCAGTTGTTATACGATTGATATTGGATTAGGATTTGATCAGTATCACTATATTTATATATCTCTTTTGTGGGTTTGCTTATTTTCGTCTAATCTTTCAGGGTGATTCACAGTCGAATGATCCGGTTGCTTACGACAATGGGGTGACCTACATGTTTGTACAGCATAGTAACATTTACCTGATGATAGCGTCCAGACAGAACTGTAATGCTGCCAGTCTTCTCTTCTTCTTGCATCGCGTAGTCGATGTAAGCATCCCTACTGGTTCGGTTTTTGCAATTCCATCTGTTTCCCGGATTAAAGGAAAAATAACATAATGAATGTTTACTGATCATTTACATGTTTATTGTACTGATTGTAGGTCTTCAAGCATTACTTTGAGGAATTAGAGGAAGAGTCTCTGAGGGATAACTTTGTGGTAGTGGTATGTTAATGCTTCTCCCATCTGCTCTTATAATAACATCTTTGATATCTCGAGTGTTGGATGCTGAAATTGACTTATGTTACTTGCAGTATGAGCTACTTGACGAGATGATGGACTTTGGGTACCCTCAGTATACCGAAGCAAGAATCCTTACTGAATTCATCAAGACTGATGCATATAGAATGGAAGTTACACAGAGACCTCCGATGGCTGTCACAAATGCTGTCTCATGGAGAAGTGAGGGATTACAGTTTAAGAAAAACGAAGTAGGTGCTTATTTACAAGCAGGGAACATATTTTTCGAAATAATATATAGGTTTCCAAATGCTTACAGACTGCTGTTTTGTTTTCCAGGTTTTCTTGGACGTAATAGAAAGTGTAAATATCCTTGTGAACAGTAATGGGCAGATTGTGAGGTCTGATGTCGTTGGAGCATTGAAGATGCGAACATACTTGAGGTTCGTTCTCTAGTGTTCCTAATCAACCAAAGAATGTTAGATACAAACTTTCTCCTCTGTGACTCTCTGCTGATAGATCCGTGGTATTACAGTGGAATGCCAGAGTGTAAGTTAGGCCTCAATGATAGAGTATTGTTGGAGGCACAAGGACGTGCAACAAAAGGGAAAGCCATTGATTTGGAGGACATCAAATTTCATCAGTACGTTATTCTCTTGCGATTCCGAACATTCTCCGAAAATCACTTATCCAGACCACTTTTCAATACTTTAGTTTAACACATTCTTTCTTCAAAATGTAGGTGTGTTCGATTGGCTCGTTTTGAGAATGATAGGACGATATCTTTCATACCACCTGATGGAGCTTTTGATTTAATGACATATAGACTCAGTACCCAGGTTTGAAATGTGGAACCTTGCGCGGATGGTTTTTATCCCTTCGTATACGAGTTAATTTGTCATGAAATTTCTTTATATACATAACACTTGTTCAGGTAAAGCCTCTTATATGGGTGGAAGCTCAGATAGAGAGGCATTCTAGAAGTCGTGTTGAGATGCTAGTAAAAGCTAGAAGCCAGTTCAAGGAAAGAAGGTAACAATCCTTGCGTGACTTGTTTGATTTTACTTTTTACCATGACTTTAAAGTCCTTCAAAAGTTTACGATATGATATACCTTTTCTGCAGCACTGCAACAAATGTAGAAATCGAATTGCCTGTACCAACCGATGCATCGAATCCCACCGTAAGAACATCTCTCGGGTCTGCCGCATATGCTCCCGAAAAAGATGCATTGGTCTGGAAAATCAAATCTTTCCCTGGGAACAAGGTAAGTGCTTATAGCTTGTAGTTTAATGTAACGCGTTACCATACAAAGCTGAATGCTTACATTAAGTTTTGAAACAATGTAGGAGTATATGTTGAGAGCAGAGTTCCATCTTCCAAGTATAACTGCAGAGGAGGCAACTCCTGAGCGAAAAGCTCCAATCCGTGTCAAATTCGAGATTCCATATTTCACTGTTTCAGGAATACAGGTCAGTGTTCCCAACATTGATAAACTGAGATTTTATATATATATATTGGGTTTCTGTGTTTCTGCACATAAAAACGCTGAAGGCAAAACCTTAAAGCTGAAGAAATCTGATGCGTTTTATCGGTATTGCAGGTTCGATACCTGAAGATCATTGAGAAGAGTGGGTACCAAGCTCTTCCATGGGTGAGATATATAACCATGGCTGGTGAGTACGAACTCAGACTCATGTAACATGAGATCTGTGTTTTTTTGTTTGGGTTTTATTTTAAGCCATTGTCAACGAAACAAAGCAGCGGAAGATTGAAGAAGAGGAAAAAAATGATTTGAAAAGTTTTAGCTGATGAAATTTACGGTGAATGTTGTTTTAGAAGCCATATTTCTTGTGAAATGTTTCATGGTGTTCTCTTTATTATTCCTGTAAGCTTTTTACGACACTCTTATTTTGGTTTAAATTGTTAAACAACGGGCAATTTTTAATTCTTTTGGTGGGCACTGTGTTCTTTCTGTTCGTTTAACTGTGGTCCTTGCCACGGAAGGAAACGACATGTATGTTGGCTGACTACACAGCGAATGGCATGCAGTTTTTCCTATCCTTATTTTGGCAGATGTGTAATGATGATTTTAGCTTTTTTTTTAGGAATTCAATTAACATCAACGATTAAAAAGGGAGAATTTTCTATAAAATGCTATTTGAAGTTCCTAATCATACACAATATGCAGATTGTACTATTTGGGGACGATGAAAAATATCATTATTGTCATATGACACGAGGAAGATACGGTAAGATAGAATTGAATTAAGATTTAGGCAGTAGAGACTAGAGACCAAACAACATGACATAATAACAAATATTATATTTATAGATTTTGAAAATGAAAGGTGTGTATTACATACTAGAGTACAAGTACAACAAATCGAAAGAGAAAATAAGAAGAACAATGAATCATATGAATTGCCTAAAAGAATTAAGCCCAAGGTCCCAAAACCCTAAACATTTGACAAAAAAAAGAGATCAATGTACAAAGCTGGCTTTTATTGGGGTTGTCAATGAGGAGAACGAGGAGAACGAGGAGATTGATTAGGGAGAGTCTGAGGGATCTTCCTGAAAACATGTTTCCTACAACGTTGGAAGATACTGTCGTATATAAGATCAAACTGAACTCCTGCTCTCTCTCTATTCACTATGAACGTTATGTGATCTGCTTCCACTATCTTATAATACCTGCAAACAACAACAGAAACCCATCAACATTCATATTCCCAGTTTCTTATGTCATTGTGTTCAAAATATGATTTTACTCACCAGATCCCTGGTTGCAGCGTTTGGCACTCCGAATCGCTCCTTATGAACCGGCTTGGATGCTCCACGGGTAGCCTCGGATGCGTCATTGACACTGTGTTCAATGCCCCATCGTTCTCTTGCCACTCCTCATCCCTTTCATTCAAAAACATTTCTCTCTTAGTACAGTGGACTGATCAAGAAGCTTCAAGAATGAAATCTTTTTTTTGGGGTATGTTGTGTTGTTACCTGTATCCTTTGTAAGGAGGAGATACATCTTGCGGGAATCGCCACTGGCTCATCTGAAAGACGCGGAGGAAGAGCATCGGGTGGATTCCAAGAACACCTGAAGGGATTGTCATGCCCATGATCCTGCGTGTGCGTCTGGTCGCGTAGCTGAAGTAGTAAGTGCTTGGGAATGTCTGGAGATTTGAGTTGAGACTCGTCGAGCCCTGGATCGTGAGATCCGGTAAGATCCAGTCCCCGGTAGCAAATGGACCTGTGTTTCCCATAAGGCAATCCACGAGACCTCTCACGCCCGTTTTCTTCCAAGAAATGTTGAAGTGATCGAAGCCGAAATTGTAGTAAGTCTTTAGCCATGAAATGTCCAGCCAGTCGTACATTATCACGCCTATACGACATAGCTGCAACAGACATATCGGTTTCATGCTTATCCCATCGTCTGTCCTGTAATCGCAACAACAACAATCAGTACACAAGAGCTCCTTGTTTGCTTCCAAAGGCCAAACCTTTATTTAGAAAAAAATTGCAGAAACGGGAAAGGAAACTAACCGCATGCCATCTAAGTAGGTCCTCGTAGTACCATTGAATGCTCCGGACAACGATGTCACACTCAGAACCCAATTCTCATTCGTTTCTTCAAACCCTTCAAATGCCTGAAAAAAAAGAAACACACGGTTTGAGACATGTGTGTTAGGACCAATCATCAAACTGAGCTTTACAACCTTAAAAGACATTGAAAAGAAGGATCCAAGTCCAACCTTATCCGCAAGCATTTGCTGCAACACGCGCACAACTTGCGCACCAGCTGAATGCCCAACGAAATGAATAGGATGATCTTCATCCCATTCAGGGTATTCCCCTAAACACACAACATACCAAAAGTCAGATTTTTACATTCACTTTTGTCTTTCAATCAGAATTTCAGATCAAAAACCTGACCTTTCCCATATTCTCTTCCAAACCGAGAATGTCCACAAGCCTCACTATGCTCTTCCCCGAAATCAACTCTCCCTCCTTTCAAGTAATAGAACAATTCCCTTGCCCTGTGTAAACCATTATTATCATCAGCAATATCCTACAACTGCAGATTTTTGTTAGGGAGGACAAAGTGAATCCAATACCTATCGTAGATGCTTGTCAAGGATCCCAAATCAGGAACAAGAACCCTCTCATCTTTCTTCTCAGCACCACCAAAGTAGGATAAGCCTCCTAGTCTCTGATGGATCAATGGGGATAACAAAACAATGAGATCAAACCTCGAAACCAGAAAACTAATTAATAAACAGAGGGAACCAAATTTGAGGTTTGCATTTTACCCCTTTGCCAAATCCAAAGATCCCATGAACCAATACAATCGGAGGCAGACCCTCAACATTGCTTTGATTTTGATCGAATTCTCCGGCGTCGTTGATAACGACATTGGACTTGAACAAGTAATCACTCAATTTCTGGGAGATATCTCCGGCTACGGCGGAGCTGAATATATAAAACCCATAAAGCAAATGCACCACGGAGCTCACAAAGAGCTCCGCGAGTTGAAGAGAAGTCACCATCCACAACTTTATCATCATCTTCTTCTTCTTCTTCTTCTTCTTCTTCCCTCGAGATAAGAATTAAACAGAAAACCCGGAAGCCAAAATTGAGATAAAAAGAATCTCTTTTAACCTTAAACAAAAAAAAAGGATAATTATAAAACTCCCCGGGACAGGGGAGAGAAATTAGAGAAAGAGATTTTCGTGAGCCTTCTTCAAAAGAACATAAAGGATGCTCCTTTGGCGAAAACCCAGAATGAGAAAACTTTGAATTTTTTTTTTTCCGAGAAAGTGGCGTCGTCTCTCTTATTATCCCATTTTCTGGAAATTTGTTTGTCATCCACTTGTAGCTGCCCACCTCTCACGAAACAACTATTTTTTAATACCAACTAAGGAACGATAGATAAATTCAAATTTACACAATGTTTTAGCTGAATCACGCCATGTGTATGAATCCTGACCCCTCCTCCTATAAATTCCGAGTTTCCGCAATATTGTAATTTCAAGGCCCACTGAAAATTTTTTGGGAAATAATTTTTTTTTTAAAAAAAAAACAAAATCCTCAACTTCGATTATTCTTATGATTTTTGGTGAATTGTGATTGGCTGAGAGAAACGGCGGAGTTCGCTGGATCGGCGCTGGAAGGTTGGTTCATATAATTCAGTAAATACCAACTGTATTTTGTGCTTCTCTGTAACCTTATCCGTTTAATCATATACTAGGGGTGGACGCAGATCGGTTATCCGGAAATTTTTAAGTATTTGTGGTTTGCTCTGTTTTCAACGGATATTTAATTTTATGATTTGATTTGCTCTGGAAATATACGGATATCCGAATTTTCGGATATCCGGAAAATTTATAAGTATTTGCAAATATTTACAGATATTTACGGATATTTATGAATATTTAGTTTGATCCGTTTAATATACAAAAACTGAAAGTACATCAATTTTTATTATAAAAAAAAATATTTTTCATCTAAACTATTAAGTAAAAATAACTAAAAGAAAATATTTTATCTTATAAAAAATCTATAAAAATACAAAATTAAGATGAGGAAAAAATGATATTTTATATTTAAATATAATATTAACTAGTTGAAACTTTAATATTAAACTTTACTAAAAAAATTTTGTTGATATTTATTAACTAATATTAAATAAAATATTATTTATTAATATATTTTAAGTCTAAACATACTATTTATTTTTATGATTGGTTATTTAGTCATTTATTTTATATAATCAAAAAAATTTAGAAAATATTAAAAATTTAGGAAGAAAATCGAGAGTATATTAATAAAAATTTATAATATAATTGATATATACATGATAATATATACTAATATATAATAAATTTATAAAGATACGGATAAGATCGGATATCCGACGTTGTCTAAAAACATATTTGTGATTTGCTCTGTTTTGTACGAATACTATATTTTGTTATTTGCTTTGCTCCGAAGCTTTACGGATATCCAAATTTTTTGAATCGGATCGAAGCAAATATCGATTCGAACTGGATATAACGGATATTTTACCCACCCCTATATATAACATATTTTCCGCTTAGGCAGTAATTTACTTTACTAGTATAGTTATTTTTAATCGTGCTCTTTTAAATACAATACAGAAATAAAATCTTATGGGTAAGCAAATTATCACATTTAATCCCTATTCATAAGTTAAGTAGGATCATGGATGATTATATATGAAAATGATCATGGATATGCTACTATTGAGAATTAGGTGTATAGTGTATTCAATCCAAATTTCGATTTGGTTTTGATTTTTCAAAATTTCACTTTATGGATAGTAGTTGTTAAAGTTTTAAGTTTTAAATCAGCTCTTTTTTTCCTTTAATAGAAACGTAGCCTGATGTGGAGACTCTGTTGGCGCTGATGGTGGATTGTTGAATTAATTGAGGAACTAATGCACATGGCTTGCAAGTTGTTTAAAAAAAAAAGCAATATTCGAAAACCTTTATTTTCCTTTGGTAGTTTCAAATTAAAAATAACGAAAAACAAGAATGTTTATTTTTGATAATAATATCCAAATACTCTATTTTCCTTTTTTGGCAAGAAACAGTTGACGTGCAAGAAAATTTTGAGAGTCATAATAATGTTATGCAAACGTGGACTACCACTTGTCACTTGATAATCTAACATAAAACTATTGCAGTACCGGTTAAGAGCATTAAGGTTTTGTGGATTCTGTCTGGTGTTTACCAATGCAAAATAGAAAATAATGTGGTCTTCTTTGACTTAAGCTCAACCAACAAAAAAAAATCAGTTACAAATAGGATGTAATTAATTTAATTTAATGTTGTTACAATATTCTCATTAGTATGCAACATCTTTATTTCAATATTATAAATATGATGATAAACAATCACATACTGTAACGAAATCAGAAAACTACCAAGAGTAACATATCATAAGATTGAGACAAACAAAAGATGAAATCACAGACAGTCTTCATATGCATATTCATCCTCTCTCTCCTTGCGTTAAATCAGTGTATGTGTAGGTTTCTTCATATATATAATTTAACAAATAACAACTGTCGTCTCTTTATTGTTTTTGTCATTGTCAATGTTTGGTTAATGATGCATGTGTGGTTTCAAATGTGAAGGCATGCAGATGAATGTTGAAGACATAGAGAGATCGAGCAAGCTCTATATTCCAAAGTGTGTCCCGTCCCAGTGTAAAAGTTATTTTAAAAGAGACTGTTGGTGCTGTTTTAAAAATCCAAAGTTGTGTTGGACAACCGAAGACGCATGCGTTGCCAGTTCCCGTTGTCCTCCTCTTAACTTTTTAAAAAACTAATGTATTAGATACACTTTTTTAACGCACTATTCTGAATAATACAATATATGTAGTATTAAATAGGTGTAGAAGCGTTTTTTCGTAAAAAATATTAGCCAAAACACTATAAAATTTAACAATAGTCCGTGAATTTATTATTATTGTAATTTCAAGAGTTTTTTTGGATAGAGGCGAATATGATCCAAATTGATTTATGCATGTGTGCATAGATACCATTTCGTAAAAAAAAAAGTTAGAGGAATTGTTTTTATTTTTGTTTTTGCTACTCTACATGTACATACATAACTGAAAATCATACATATATCTTAAGGTATATTAAGTATTAAGCTTAGAGTATGGTCAAAAGAAAGTTCCACAATTTTGAAAATCTAGAGGTGTTAGACTAAACTAATTGGCAAGTAATCAAAAGTTATTACTGGAAGTCAAACTAATATTTTATTACTTTTGGCTTTCTAATTAAACATGAGCCAAACAAAGATTGATTTCAATAATAAAAATTGCATAATAGAGATATTGGAGATCTGACCGAAATCAAGAGATATTATGACTGGAATTATAATTTAGATATCCATAAAAAAAGGAATAAATCATAAATACTAAAAAAAATTCACCATCTCTATATTAAAAGATATACACCATTTTGGTAAGGTAAAACCAGTTGATTAGTATAAATGATATTAAGTCTATATATGAAGATAAACAATCACATACTGTAACGAAATCAGAAAATTACCAAAACTAACAATATATCATAAGATCGAGACAAACAAAAGATGAAACCACAGACAGTTTTTGTAGCATCCGTATCCGAGAAAATGCGGACTGATCGTACTGGACAGGAGGTTGTCCGAGGAATGACCGAGCCAAGGGTCGGATATTGGCTGGGAAAGGGAGGTTTGGACTATGGTCGGGTGTGGACCGGTGAAATAGTCGGACATGAGCTGGATAGCCAAGCCGGATGGACCATATCCGAGGGAAATGGAGTCCAGTCCGAGGGAAAATGGGATTTATCCGAGTGAAGTAGGATATATCCGAGAGTCTGGGAGGTTAGTCCGAGTGTCAGTGGACTGTCTCCGAGGGGGAATAGGAAACCTCCGAGGGAAAAAGAGGATTAGCCGAGGAAGGACAAGTGGTCCGAAGGGAATAGGAAATCCGGATGAAAAATGGAAAACACCTCGGATAAGGGCGGTTTATCCGAGTGGGAAGGGATTTGGGCCGTGGGCCAAGTGTTTGGTCGGCTATTTTGGGGTTTATCGAAGGATGGGTCGAGCCGGTACAGGGAATAGCCGAGAGAATCGAATCGGACCGGGATAAAGTTTACTGGAACCAGGAAAACGTCAGATAAGTCCGGGTTACCTAGGGTTTTGCGAGTATTTAAGGGATTTTGAGACTTTTCTCGGGAGAGTTGTGTTTATTCGAGAGCAATAAAGCAAAGAAAGAGAATAGTCGAGAGAAAACCCTAAGAAAAACAGTTTATCCCGAGGATATCCAAGAGAGATCAGGCTATCGCCGAGCAGAACCGACCATCGCCAAGATAAACTGGTAAGCGATCGGATATTTCCCTATGTGTTGAGTTTTCATCGGATAACCTCGAGCTAATAGCCTTGTTTGTGGGGTTTCTGAGGGAAAACAGAGTTTGGCTCGAAGAAAGGTGAACGGATCAAGAGATAGCCGAGGGGATAAGGATCGGATCGTACCGTGAGCCGAGAGATTCTTAGGGAGATCGGATATCTTTGATTTGGAGCGGTTTTCATCGGGATTTCTTCCTACCAATCTGTTTCTAGCCTTGTCTAAGGTGAGTGCGCGACTGTGGTTAGGTCCTAGACCGTAGGGTGACTAGGGTTGAATGTTCTACATGCCTGATTGATGATTTTCATGTTATGTGTGGTTATGTGTATAAACGGTTAAGTGTTGTGAGATGTTAGGATGTTACCTAGGCATATATGATGTTTAGCTAACCTCAGGGTAATCCGGATCATGTACTAGCTTAGGAGATGTGGGATTCTCGCTGAAGTAGACATGGGTCTTAAAAAGGGATTGATCTTGGGTGGTTAGGCTAGATCATCAGGGGCCGTTGATAGTGATGTGTTTATTGTGAATTGATTGTGTGAATGTTGAATCCGAAAGTTTACTGCGTGTTTTGGTACTGACCAAGTGTTACGGGATGACCGTACTCACTAAGTATTTATGAAATACTTATGCCTCTCATTTTGAGTGTGCAGGTACTAAGCAGTAAGGGGGCGAGACCAGGCGGCAGTGATGGATATGGATGGATCGGGGTTGTGTGTTTTATAATTTAAGACTTGTGTTAGGGTCTTATGGCTTTGGTGTTATTCGTTAGGTTGCTAGATGATCGTTGTATTCATTAGCGAACCTTGTGTTTTTATTCATGTGGAACCCCGAATCTTGTTTAGTGCTTTTAAAGATGAATAAATGAGTGTTTTGAGTTATTATATTCCGCTGTGTATTGTTAAAGAATGACTTAGAAAAATAAAGAAAAAGTTCAAAAAATATGGCTAAGTATAGAATTGGACTTAGAGGATGTAGTGGGACACAGCCGCGGTACGGTTTACCGGGTTGGGTTACCACAAGTTGGTATCAGAGCGTTTTAACGCTTCTAGAACTAGGAAACTGGTGACTGCTGTTGTTTCTTGATTGTTTGGGGGTTAAGGGGGGGGGTCCGATCCATTCTTCACTGCCAAGGTCTCGCGGTAAGTTGTGTGTGGTGTTGTAAAACACGTTTTGAGTTAGCTTCGGCTAACTGGCATTGTGTACTTGCAGATGGTTAATACCAGAAGAGCCGTGAGAGTCAATGGGGACAACCAGGCTGAGGGGTCTGTGAACTCAGGCAACGGGAATGTTGCTGAGAGGGCTAGGGAAGCCGAGAGACAAGCAGCTGCGGTTGCAGCTGAGGCGGCTAGAGTGGCAGCCGTGGAAGCAGCAAGGGATGCTGCAGATGCTGAGAACGTGGCTGGGGATGCCGCGGGTACAGCTGGGATAGCTGAGAATGCAGCTGGGGTTGCTGCGGATGTGGCACCGGTGGGGTTAGAGGCTGTGCTTGGGATGTTAGCACAGGTACTAGCTAGGCTACCTGCGGTGGCTCCTGCTCCGGCGGTTGTAGCAGCACCACAAGTAGTACCACAGGTGGGGGTGCAAGCAGATGTGGTTGAGGAGGAAGCGGACCAAGTGGAGAGGGTTCAGAGTTACCTCAAGGTTTTGGACCACATGGTGCGGTTGGGAACCAAGTTCTTCGCTGGAGGTTCTACACCGATTGAGGCTGATGAGTGGAGGATGAGGCTGGAACGGAACTTTGAGTCTATCCGATGTCCAGAGGGTTACAAGAGGGACATTGCAGTGCACTACTTGGAGGGTGATGCACACACGTGGTGGAAAGGCATTGTGGGAAGGCTGGTGAATGCGAATTGTTCCTATGAAACATTCTCAGCGATGTTTAGGAGTAAGTACTTCCCACAGGAAGCTTACAATGAGTTAGAGAAGGCGTTTCTGTACCTTAGTCAGGGGACGCTTACAGTGAGGCAGTATAAGACTCAGTTTAATCAGCTGAGGAAGTATGTGTCACATGAGTTTGACACGGAGGAGAAGCTGATTCGCAGGTTTATGAGTGGACTGCGGGTTGAGCTTAGGAACGGGTGTGTGGTTCGTGACTTCAGGACGGTTGCTGAGCTTGTGGAGAAGGCAGCATTGTTGGAGTCAGGACAGGCAGAAGCTGCGTTGATGTCAACTGGGGCTAGTACAGCCGTGAGCAAGGCGGGTCAGTCTAGTGGACAGAACCAGAGGTTTGGGAAGGGAGTACCGAACAAAGGGTCTGGGGGACGCAGCGTGTGCAGCAAGTGTGGCAAGGCTCACGTTGGTGAGTGTAGGCACAGTGGTAGGGGATGCCACAGGTGCGGAAGTTTAGAGCATCAGGTGAGAGACTGCCCGGAGGAGGATCAGCGTGTGGTCCGTGTGTCCGGCAGTGATGGTGCGGTTCGGGTTTGCTACGGTTGTGGAGAACCAGGGCATTTCAAGCGTGAGTGTCCCAAGGCAGGAGTGGTGGAGCAGGCCGTGGCTCAAGGGAAGAGAGCAGGGGAGGCGCTTGCATCACAGGCCAAGAGACAGGCCATTATACCGAGGGTGTACACGACGAGTGCAGCAGCAGCCGAGGAACCGAGCACTTCTCATCCGATTACTGGTACGTGTGGTACTTAGTATTTTCTAAACTTGCATTGCGTGTTGTTGTGTGTTAGTATAGAGTCTTAGCATTCTAGGGAATGAATGTGTAGGGACCTTGCTAATGGGTGAGGTTGAAACCCATGTTCTGTTTGACTCGGGAGCAAGTCATTGTTTTGTTAATCCGGACATGATCGGAAAGGGTCAGTTCCGAAAGGAACCCGGAGAGGACTTTGGGTTAGTTCAAGCGGCTGGAGGCCAAGTGATGTTTTCACTAGGAACGGTTAAGAATGTTCCAGTGATGTTTGGTGAAGTGAACATGCCAGCGGATCTAGTGATCTGTAGAGTTAAGTCCTACGATGTCATTTTGGGGATAGACTGGTTAGGCAAGCATAGAGCTCACTTGGATTGTCACCGTGGAAGGGTGCGGTTTGAGAGAGACAGAGAGGTCTTGGTTTATCAGGGAGTTAGACCAACCTCAGGAAGTTTGGTGGTTTCAGCTATTCAAGCAGAACGGCTGATAGAGAAAGGTTGTGAGGCGTATCTAGCAACGATCACTACTATAGAAGGAGGACCGGATGTGGACTTAGGCAGTATACCGGTGGTGCAGGAATTCGAGGTTGTTTTTCAGGCGTTGGCAGGACTGCCACCAGCTCGTTCAGATCCATTCACGATTGAACTTGAGCCGGGGACAGCTTCATTGTCTAAAGCACCATACCGGATGGCGCCAGCTGCATTCATGAAGTTGATGAATGGCGTATTCAGAGAGTACCTAGATGAGTTTGTGATTATTTTCATAGATGATATTCTAGTATACTCTAAGGATGAGGAAAATCATAGGAGTCATTTGCGGACTGTTCTGGAGAAGTTGAGAGAACAGAAGTTATATGCCACGCTCAGTAAGTGTAGCTTTTGGCAACGGCATATAGGGTTCTTGGGTCACATTGTTTCGGATAAGGGAGTGTCCGTGGACCCAGAGAAGATTCAGGCTATTGCGGATTGGCCTAGACCAGAAAATGCTACAGAGATAAGGAGTTTTCTCCGACTAGCTGGTTACTACAGGCGGTTTGTCAAAGGTTTTGCAAGCATGGCTCAGCCAATGACAAAGCTGACTAGGAATGACGTGGAGTATGTCTGGACGGATGAGTGTGAAGAGTGCTTCTCAAAGTTAAAGGAGTTACTCACTAGTGCACCAGTATTGGCGTTACCAGAACCGGGTGAGCCATACGTGGTATACACGGATGCATCCAGGAAAGGACTAGGTTGTGTCCTGATGCAGAATGGTAAGGTGATAGCTTATGCTTCGCGGCAGCTACGGAAGCATGAAGGAAACTACCCTACGCATGATTTAGAGATGGTGGTTGTGGTATTTGCACTTAAGATATGGAGATCTTACTTGTATGGGGAGAAGGTGCAGATATACACGGACCATAAGAGTTTAAAGTACATCTTTACTCAACCGGATTTGAACTTGAGACAGCGTAGATGGATGGAGTTGGTAGCAGACTATGACTTGGAAATAACGTACCATCCAGGAAAGGTCAACTTGGTGGCGGATGCCTTGAGTAGGAGAAGGGCTAACGTGTCATCTGAACAGAATGTTGGAAGCATTGTGAACATGCTAAGGACATTGCAGTTGAATGTAATAACGGATGAGATTGAACCGTTGGGTTTGGAAGCTGCGGATAGAGCTGACTTGTTGACTAGGATTCGGATTGCTCAGGAGCAAGATGAGAATCTGAAAAAAGTGTCACAGAATGACAAGACGGAATATCAGACTTCAAACAATGGGACTATTGTTGTGAACGGACGGGTCTGTGTTCCTGATGTGAAGGAGTTAAAGGATGAGATCCTTAAAGAGGCACATCAGTCAAGGTTTTCGGTTCATCCAGGAATGACCAAGATGTATCAGGATTTGAAACGGTACTATCATTGGGTTGGGATGAAACGGGATGTGGCTAAGTGGGTAGCCAGATGTGAGACGTGCCAATTGGTTAAGGCAGAGCATCAATTTCCAGGTGGTTTGTTGCAAACGTTGCCAATGCCAGAATGGAAATGGGATATGATCACCATGGACTTTGTACTGGGATTGCCTAAGACTAGGAAGTTGCATGACGGGATATGGGTCATTGTGGATCGTTTGACCAAGTCTGCTCACTTCTTAGCAATGAAAAAGACGGATGGAGTACCAAAGTTGGTGGACATGTATATTGATCAGATCGTGAAGTTGCATGGAGTGCCAGTGAGTATCATTTCAGATCGTGATCCGAAGTTTACTTCGAGGTTCTGGAAGGAGTTCCAGGAAGCGTGTGGGACGCGGTTGCATATGAGTACAGCGTATCATCCTCAGACTGATGGGCAATCAGAACGGACAATCAGAACATTAGAGGATATGTTAAGGGCGTGTGTACTGGACTGGGGTGGTAGTTGGGAAGACTACTTACCGTTGGCTGAATTTGCATACAATAATAGTTACCAAAGGAGCATAGAGATGTCTCCGTATGAGGCGTTGTATGGCAGGCCATGTAGGACACCATTGTGTTGGACACAAGTGGGGGAGCTTAGTGTAATGGGGCCAGCAGTGGTCGAGGCTACTACAGAAAAGATCAGATTGCTAAAGGTCAAGCTGAAAGAGGCTATGGACAGGCAGAAAAGTTACGCGGACAAGCATCGCAGGGATTTGGAGTTCAGTGTGGGTGATATGGTTTATCTTAAGGCACTGACATATAAGGGAACGGATAGGGCAGCAAAGAGTGCCAAGTTGAATCCGAGGTACATGGGGCCGTACCGGATACTGGAAAGGGTTGGCGCAGTGGCTTACAAGTTGGACTTGCCATCAGACATGGGAGCGTTCCACAATGTATTCCATGTGTCACAACTGAGAAAGCACATTACCGAACGGGAAACGGTTATAGAGGAGCCACCAGCAGACTTGCAAGAAGATCTTGCAGTAGTGGCTAGACCGGTTCGAGTAATAGGACGAAAGGAAGAGACTGAGCGTGGGAAGCCGGTCAGAATGGTTCAGGTTGTATGGGACTGCGACGGGCATGAACAGGTTACTTGGGAAAAAGAGGCTAGGATGAAAGCTGAATATCCCAAATGGTTTGACAAGTTGCAAACGGATGAGTCGGATTCGAGGACGAATCCAGAATGGGTGGGGGAGAGTTGTAGCATCCGTATCCGAGAAAATGCGGACTGATCGTACCGGACAGGAGGTTGTCCGAGGAATGACCGAGCCAAGGGTCGGATATTGGCTGAGAAAGGGAGGTTCGGACTATGGTCGGGTGTGGACCGGTGAAATAGTCGGACATGGGCTGGATAGCCGAGCCGGATGGACCATATCCGAGGGAAATGGGGTCCAGTCCGAGGGAAAATGGGATTTATCCGAGTGAAGTAGGATATATCCGAGAGTCTGGGAGGTTAGTCCGAGTGTCAGTGGACTGTCTCCGAGGGGGAATAGGAAACCTCCGAGGGAAAAAGAGGATTAGCCGAGGAAGGACAAGTGGTCCGAAGGGAATAGGAAATCCAGATGAAAAATGGAAAACACCTCGGATAAGGGCGGTTTATCCGAGTGGGAAGGGATTTGGGCCGTGGGCCAAGTGTTTGGTCGGCTATTTTGGGGTTTATCGAAGGATGGGTCGAGCCGGTACAGGGAATAGCCGAGAGAATCGAATCGGACCGGGATAAAGTTTACTGGAACCAGGAAAACGTCGGATAAGTCCGGGTTACCTAGGGTTTTGCGAGTATTTAAGGGATTTTGAGACTTTTCTCGGGAGAGCTGTGTTTATTCGAGAGCAATAAAGCAAAGAAAGAGAATAGTCGAGAGAAAACCCTAAGAAAAACAGTTTATCCCGAGGATATCCGAGAGAGATCAGGCTATCGCCGAGCAGAACCGACCATCGCCGAGATAAACTGGTAAGCGATCGGATATTTCCCTATGTGTTGAGTTTTCATCGGATAACCTCGAGCTAATAGCCTTGTTTGTGGGGTTTCTGAGGGAAAACAGAATTTGGCTCGAAGAAAGGTGAACGGATCAAGAGATAGCCGAGGGGATAAGGATCGGATCGTACCGTGAGCCGAGAGATTCTTAGGGAGATCGGATATCTTTGATTTGGAGCGGTTTTCATCGGGATTTCTTCCTACCAATCTGTTTCTAGCCTTGTCTAAGGTGAGTGCGCGACTGTGGTTAGGTCCTAGACCGTAGGGTGACTAGGGTTGAATGTTCTACATGCTTGATTGATGATTTTCATGTTATGTGTGGTTATGTGTATAAACGGTCAAGTGTTGTGAGATGTTAGGATGTTACCGAGGCATATATGATGTTTAGCTAACCTCAGGGTAATCCGGATCATGTACTAGCTTAGGAGATGTGGGATTCTCGCTGAAGTAGACATGGGTCTTAAAAAGGGATTGATCTTGGGTGGTTAGGCTAGATCACCAGGGGCCGTTGATAGTGATGTGTTTATTGTGAATTGATTGTGTGAATGTTGAATCCGAAAGTTTACTGCGTGTTTTGGTACTGACCAGGTGTTACGGGATGACCGTACTCACTAAGTATTTATGAAATACTTATGCCTCTCATTTTGAGTGTACAGGTACTAAGCAGTAAGGGGGCGAGACCAGGCGGCAGTAATGGATATGGATGGATCGGGGTTGTGTGTTTTATAATTTAAGACTTGTGTTAGGGTCTTATGGCTTTGGTGTTATTCGTTAGGTTGCTAGATGATCGTTGTATTCATTAGCGAACCTTGTGTTTTTATTCATGTGGAACCCCGAATCTTGTTTAGTGCTTTTAAAGATGAATAAATGAGTGTTTTGAGTTATTATATTCCGCTGTGTATTGTTAAAGAATGACTTAGAAAAATAAAGAAAAAGTTCAAAAAATATGGCTAAGAATAGAATTGGACTTAGAGGATGTAGTGGGACACAGCCGCGGTACGGTTTACCGGGTTGGGTTACCACAGTTTTCATATGCATATTCATCCTCTCTCTCCTTGCTTTACAACAGTGTATGCTTAGGTTTCTTTATATATATAATTTAACAACTGTCGTCTCTTTATTTTTTTGTCATTGTCAATGTTTGGTTAATGATATGTGTGGTTTCAAATGTGTAGGCATGCATGTGGATGTTAGAGATGTAGAGAGTTCGAGCAAGCTCTATATTCCAAACTGTGTCCATAGCATGTGTCGAAGTTTTTATCAAAGAGATTGTTGGTGCTGTAAGAGAGATCTAGGGATTTGTTTTAAAACCAAACAACGATGCGTTTCCAGTCCCCTATGTCCTCCTCTAAACTTCAAAACAAACTAATGTACCGATACCAGTTTTGAAAATAATTAATAACGCCAGAAGACTTCTTCGAAGCAACTCAAACGACTTTAGTTTCGTATTGAATATGAAATAAACATTAAAACATGATTCTCTTTTTCACTGTCTTTATCTTACTATACACGAAAAGAAAGACAAGAAGTATAAAGTACCTATTTAGACTAAGCAACTGATCCTACAGAGTACAAACTGTGAAACGTGAAAACAAGAAGTATAATGGCAGTTAAAGATATTAACCGATATATTTGAAAATTGACCAAAAGCTCAAAGATCGTGGTCGATGAAAAAAAAAAGAAGCTATCATCTATAAATACTATATTACATAATCTAAGCTTGGATTTTATAACAACTCGCAAAGATAACTTAAAAAGCACAACAGCATATCCTATCCTTTTAGACAGTCAAACTATGAAATCATCACATGCATCTCTCATCTGCATACTCTTGCTCTCTCTATTAGCTTTATAACAATGTGTATATATATATATATATATATTATTATTATTATTTTGATAACATTTATTCTATATTTTAGAGTCATCAAAGTTGGATTAATGTGTGTTACAAAATTAATGTGTAGGTGCAAGGATAGAAAGATAGAAGAAAATCGATAAATTTACATGCGTCCTTGACGATTGCGACCATGTTTTCCAAGGATATTCGGAGAAGGGACCAAATTGTTATCGCAATCAACTACCTGGATGTTTCTGAAATAATAAGATTTTGTGAAGCCTTCCTCTGCAAAATGTCCAACTTCCCATCTGTGTCGAAGTGTGGGCCCAAAATGGGCTTGAATTTACCACTTCGCCACCTATTGGACCATGCTTGCATGCTCCCTCAGGTGTGTGAACAAGAACGATGGCCAATACCCGACCCGAATTCCAGCCACCAATTCCCGTGCTTCGGATCCTGGCAATTATTTTCAATTCATAAAATTAAACACAAACCTAAATCTTCTGTAATAAAGTTATTCTCGATCAATTATGTATGTATGCTACTTTGAAAACATAGCTGGCTTCTTAAATATTTTCGGTCAATAATTCCAGCCACAAAAAAACGTTTTTTACAACTTTTAAAATAATATACTGTAAATTTTTGGCTGTTACTTTATTGGCTGTGATTTTTTTTTTTGTAAATTTTTTAAAATTATGGCTTTACAAAAAAAACAACAAACATAAGAAAAAAAGGAAGTTAAGAACTGTGAATGTTTTTAGGAACTTTGAAAAATCTTTAAAAAGCAAAAATATGTGATTAGTAAAATAATTGACTTTAAAAACTGTAACTCATTTTAAAGTCTCTACAGTTTTGAAAATCTAGTTCCCAATCAGAGCAGTACCTCTTTAAAGTGATGCATGGTACACTATCGTATGTAAGAAGATCTTCATTTCGATATGCATGCATATTGGTGGGTACAAAAGAGAAAGAACCGTTTCTCTCTCAGATACTTTGAGATTCTACTGAGAGTTGTTGATCTATAATTAAATAGTTGAATTTAATTAGAATATTAATATTAATTAGTTTAGATATCTACTTGAGAGACTTTACAGTCTAATGTATATATATAAAGATAAAAAATCACATACTAATCAGAAAACTACCAAGAGTAACACATCATAAGATAGAGACAAACAAAAGATGAAACCACAGACAGTTTTCATATGCATATTCATCCTCTCTCTCCTTGCTTTACATCAGTGTATGTTTAGGTTTCTTCATATATATAATGTAACAACTGTCGTCTCTTTATTCTATTTTTGTCATTGTCAATGTTTGGTTAATGATGTGTGGTTTCAAATGTGTAGGCATGCAGATAGATGTTGAAAAAATAGAGAGTTCGAGCAAGCTCTATATTCCAAGGTGTGTCCCTGCCCGATGTTCAGAAACTTTTTTTAAAAGAAACTGTTGGTGCTGTTTTAAAGATGAAAAGATCTGTTGGACAAACCAAAACGATTGTGATTCCAGTCCCCGTTGTCCTCCACTCTAAGTTTTAACTGTTTAAAAAAAAAAATGTACCGCTACGAGACGACTTTAGTTTCGTAATAAACAAGATTTCTACAACATGCATGATTCTCTTCTCTGTCTTACTATACGCGAAAAAAAGACAGCGTAAACTAAGCATACTGATCCTACAAAATGTGAAACGTGAAAACAAGGAGTATAGTGGATGTTAAAAATTACCATGGAAATTTATAATATTTAGTAAACATACAAATACTTATTTTAGTTAGATTAATTTTGTCATGATATTTACTATAACTTTCACACAGGGAATGGATACACTTTTAAATAATTCAGAAAATTCAAAATTATATTTCTTAAAAATTCAAACATATACTTTTCTTATTTCATCTTATTTGTCATTTCATAAAGATAAAATATAAAATATATAAAGTTCAAAAAAAAGATAAAATATATATTTTCAGTTTAATTTTCTTTATATTAAAAAGGGGAAACCGAATATCTTAAAATACATATAATATTTTGAATATTAAATATTTTGGATATCCGTATTTTTCCATAACAATGCAAATATTTTATATATATGCCAAAAGTGAAACAAATCATAAATAATGAATTTTCTGATGATACCGTGCCCAACCCTATATAGAAGCTAAACAAACCATTTTTGTAAAGTAAAATCAATTGATTAATTAAAACGATACTAATGAGAACGTATATTTTACCTCTTTAAGATGATGCGAGATATGCTACAATGTCGTATGTAAGAAGATCTTCATTTCCTTTTAAAAAAAATCTTGGGAATCTTCATTTCAATATTACAGTCTACATATATGAAGATAAAAAATCACATACTAATCAGATAACTACTACCAAGAGTAACACTGACACATCATAAGATCGAGACAAACAAAAGATGAAATCACAGACAGTTTTCATATGCATATTCATGCTCTCGCTCCTTGCTTTACATCAGTGTATGTGTAGATTTAATTTCTTCATATATTTAACAGTGGTCGTCTCTTTATATTTTTGTTGTCATTGTCAATGTTTGGCTAATGATGTGTGGTTCCAAATGTGTAGGCAGGCAGATGGATGTTGGAGAAATAGATAGTTCGAGCAAGCTCTATGTTCCAAAGTGTGTCCATTCCATTTGTAAAGGTTTTATAAAAAGAGACTGTTGGTGCTGTGGCCCACATTGTTGGGATCGCCTACATGATTGCGATTCCAGTCCCCTTTGTCCTCCTCCCTAAGTTTAAACTTTACAAAATATGTACCACTACGATTTATAATGCCAATGGACTTATTTGAAGCACCAAAACGACTTTAGTTTCGTAATAAACAAGATTTTTACAATAAAATTCTAATACATGATTCACTTTTTTTTTCTCTGTATATAATATCTATCTTACTATACGCAAAAAGAAAGACAGCGTAAACTAAGCAAACTATTGTCGATGTAAATTCTACATTTCTTCCAATATACGTTTTTTAACATTTACACATAAACGAACACGATCAAAGCCATAAAAAAAAAATTTGATTTAAGTAGCCTTTGTAATCTTCCCTAAACCCTAAATAAAAATGTTATTTTTTAAGGACATTTAGGATTCTTGCCTGGTCCCCCGTAGTAAAAATAATTCCCCCAGGCCCGGTTAGATCCGCCTTGAATATCGTAGCAATTCGGATGATCCGCGAGTACTCGGATATTCGGAGAAGGGACCAAATTGTTATCCCAATCAACTACTTGGATGTTTCTGAAATAAGAAGATTTTGTGAACCCTTCCTCTGCAAAATGTCCACTCCCCATCTGTGTCGAAGTATGGGCCCCAAATGGGCTTGAATTTACGACTTCGCCACCGTATTGGACCATGCTTGCATGCTCCCTCAGGTGTGTGAACAAGAACGACGGCCAATACCCGACTAGAATACCCGACCCGAATTCCAGCCACCAATTCCCGTGCTTCGGATCCTGGTAATTATTTTCAATTTTAAAAATTAAACACAAACGTAAATCTTCTGTAATCTTTGGACCAATTATGTATAACTACTTCGAAAATACTACGGGGGCTTCTTAATTTAACCCACCGAGTTATATAGACAACACACTATTCTGAATAATTAAATATGATATAAAATACCCTCATCAAAGCTACTTTAGCCGATAAATGTAGTCCATCTAATTTGCATCAAATAAATGTAATTAAATTGAAATTTACATGAATACCACCAACAAAATTAAGAATACACTAGAGGTTTTAATCTGCGTGTTGTCCTTTAAAAAAAAAACTAATACGAAAAAGCATGCCTTTAATTATGACCCATGTGAGGCTAGAAACCAGAAAAAATAGTACTACTAATTTGATAACTCATGAGCCATGCTCCTAGTATTGCTTTGAGAGTTGGTATGTTGAGCTATTTGGGGACAAATGTATCAAAAAATGTAAAAGAATAACTTAGAACAAAAGTAAAGAGTTTGTGTAATAAGTGGTTTGATACTCAAGTATACTACTTCCCCTTTTTCTCTATAAAATGATAAAAAGGAGAAAAGAAAGAGCATCTCGTAATTAAAGCATATGCAATAGATCGTATTTTTTTTTATATATTATATTCTTAATGTTCACACCAGGTTGCTGTTTCAAAAATCAACGAAGGAATGAATATTGTAATCAAAGTGTGATTAGAGGAAGAGAATAGTTTGATTATAAATTAGAATTGTACCTTCCAAATAAGCAGAGTAACATCGAATTGTCCACCTTTGTATGAAGACGAGGGAGAGATTGCAGCTCCAATCGCAATCTGACTGTTGGTTTGGACAAAACCGGAACACAAGAGATTGTAACAGCCTGTTGCTTGATATGCATCGTTCTGTCTCCAAAATAATAAAAACTAATTAATCATAAACATAAACTATGTGTAAAAATATGAATACAAAAGGCATATTCTTACTACAGTAGTATTTAAAGAAATTACTTACGGTCCAATAAGTAAAGAATCTTGGGTAATTATCTCCATAGAGCTCCGGACTCACCTAAAGACAGATAAATTATCCACAATTTAGCAATTGATTCATTTGAAAGTGAATCTTAATATGACATTTTAAAAAAAAAATAGTAATTAGAAAACAAATGAAAAAAGTATAATAAAAAGAAGAAGAAAAACCTGCCAGCCAGCTTCAATGGTATTGAGGTCATTACCGAAGGAACCAGAAATAATCCAAATCTGAGATAAACTAAACTCGTATTGGTTCTGCACCTGCGGAGCCCACACATTTATGCTTGCTTTTGCCCCATAGTATTTCTCCCCGCTCACGTACCCCACCGCGTGCTATTTAAATATTACAAACCGCGTAATTAAACACAACTAATTTACTACTGACGATCATTATTAATTAGAGTGATAAACCTACAGTCTATAGTTAGTAGTAGTATATAATTTCATGTTGATGCAGGTTGTGTGACTGTCTAAAATCAAATTGGGTCTAGTAGAAACTTGGCAGAGCTTTATCTTCATGAGAGTTTGTGTTTTCTAAATCTAGATAATTTTATATTATAATTAGAAAAACATTACTAGTATAGTACTTGGAAAAAGAGATATATATATATATATATATAATATTTGCTGACATAGTGTAGAAGATGGGATTAATCATTAATCAAAAGAAGTTTTTTTGTAGTGTAACACAATACTCTCTACCATCTCCTCTTTCTTTCTTTTATATTTTTTGTTTTACCGACAAGCTTTGTCTATGTCTTGTTTTTTTCCTTTCTACAGTTCTCAAAAGATGAAAATTTAAAGAATAATTAAAAAGAAAGAAATTGAAAACACTTGCCAATTTCTTTGACCACTTTATTCTTCTCCTCCAAAGATAGTTAAATTAAAACACATATTTATCGCTATCAAAAACTTACATTATCAACCCGAGAATTCGAATTTTGAATTTATAAACAATACGGACAAAGAAAAAGTTTTCTCAATGGAGTTTGCTATAATACTAGTAATTAAACCAAAGGTCTATCAAAATTTTAATTTGATTGAAATTAAACCCCGTATGACTAATGTTCTTTGGTTTTGTATTAGAAGATACAAACAAACAAACAAAAAGAGAGAAAATCTTACTTCATGGCCGTTGCTGCTGGTATCTCTTTGAAAATGTCTGAGTTTCTTGCCAAAGCTAGAAACAGAGTTTGCTCTGAGAATGTCTTCTTCTTTTGTTCTTCTGATAGGAATTGTTCCTTCAGGACATGTCTCTCCCTCCATTCTCCATAACTGGAAGCTCTTTGGTCTCAATCCTTTCCTCTTATTATGCCCTCTCGGCCTCTCAGGGGGATCCTTCAGTGATGATTAAGCTCACGTATTAGTTAATTTATGATTAACGGGTCTAATGACTTTATGATTAAGATTAACATACCAGTGGCTTCTGTCCTCTTAATCTGGGATGATCAAATGCTGGTTGGTGATGTAATAAAACACAGTCTATGATGTCACCATCAGGGCTCTGCAGGAATAAGGGGACCATAAAATCAGAAATTAGGAAGAAGAAGATTGCCCCCAAGAAAAGGGACAGAGAATCAGAGACATGATATGAAGAAGAGTGTGATCTTTAATGGAGAAAGAAGAATCAGAAACAGAGGAGGAAGAGAATAGCGTCTGTGTGGTATGTTTCTGAAACAGAGTGTGTACTTGAAACAGAGCATAAAAATAAGAAACAGAGTAAGAAGAGTGTAGTTATCGTTTGATGAATCTCACTTACATGAATTGTCTTGACGGAAGGTTTATTGATCTTCCTGAGATGTTGATGGATGGCTTTGAGCTTATTAAGCTCCTCGAGCGGGCGGAAGGTTTGGTTTCTCGGTGAGAGATTCTCTGTTTCCGATGAAAGGACAGAGGAAGAAGAAGAAGACAATAGAAGAAGAGAGAGGAAGAGAATGTTGGAGAAACAAGGACGGAAGAAAAGGAACATATCTGAGAAGAAGCTTCCTCTTATTCTTCTTCTTCCTCCTCGTCTTCTTTCTCTTGTTCTCATTCTTGTTTCTTCTGAGAACAGCTCTGCTTCTGTTTGTCTCATTGTATTGCATCGATCGAAACGACGGCATTTATTGCCGTTTCTGGGTTTCCTCAACACGAACACACCTCTCATCAGAACCCAAGACGTTTTCTTGATATAAAAGAATGAGAGTAAGTGAGCAAAAGAAGACAAAAAACCCCTTAGAATTTTATAATCTTCTCAAGCCCTCACCATTTCCAAAGCAATTCAAGTTAAATTTCTTCATCTCAAACCCAAATAAAAAAAATGACCAACACTCTTATATGAAACAATAAAGAAAGAGAGAGTATTAAAAGGGGTTTACGGAATTGTGGTGTCTTAAAGTGTTTTGTGTTGGTGTTATTTAAGTACTCGGGTAGTGATGAAATCATTCATGCCTTTGTTTCTTTGTTTTCTTTAACCTCCAAAAATATTATGGAACCCAAAAAAAATGACAAAATCATAAAAGCCCACTGACATAAAGTGACGACATAAAGTGACTAAGCAAAATCTAACTACGATTTATTTTGGTCCACGGCTAAAGAAAATGAGTATGCACACTTCCACGTTAAAATCACCTAATAGATTTAGAATACGCTGGCTTAAAAAAATATTCAGCTGAAACAGAGGATGATAAATTATTTATCATGTGTTAATTAGTGAGAGAGCTTACGAATAGTAATACCTTTTTTTAATTCTTTCTTTATCATCCCTATTTAAAAGTTTGCATGTATTTTGCCTACTAGATCGGATATTTGGACTATGTAATTCAAACTATCCTACAAATCCGTTAAAACGTAAATTTTCTGACGATAAAATAATAAGTGTAAAGATGGACCATACCCTAATATTAGACCTTGAACCTTAGATTCGACCTTAGGACTGATGCTCTATTTTTGGATTGTCCGTTGTATTTTTCTTTATCGAAAGAGAAGTCACATCGCATATACAGTATATTACGTTAATACAACGCATTATGTTATTCTTATCGGCTCTAAATAGTGAACATTTTCAACTATAGTAAATAGTAAAATCAAATTAATATAAGTTGGTCAAAAGAGAAAAAAAAAAGTTGGGGGATACTGGAGAGGAAGTGTTCCCAAGCAGCAATACAAAGCCTGAAACATTGTATGTTTTGGTGTGTGTGAAAATATGTATATAGCCAAAAATAAAGGGAAGTCTTGTGTTTGCTATGTTCCTTATGATAATGACAGTCAAAATTATGTGTTCTTCTTCTTGTTTTACTTTGTGTTCTCTTTTTGTTTAAAAAATAAACATTGTTCGTATCTTTCAAAGGAGGAATTTGCAGATACTTTATTTTTATTTATTTATTGTTGATTCTTGAAGTTCTCTTTTTTTCTTTCTCTCTGCTCTCTTCCCTATATGTTCCTTCTGTCAGCTACTCTCTCTTCTTTTTCTTTTATAAAATATATTTTTATAAGTTATTAAACATTCTACTGAAATAATTGATACGGATAAATGAACAATGATGTGACATACTATTAAAAATATTCATTAGCTGAATTAATGGCGTTGATGTAGCAAGGCAAGGATACGTTGCTCAATACATTTAGTATAACATATACTAGTTTAGTAGTAACCGTTATAAAAACAAAACAAAGTTTAATTAAAATGAAGTATTACAATAAAACAGCTATTAAGCTGGCACGCGCGGCTGGGTTTTAGCAATGCATGCTCGAGTGCGTATGTTGGGGACCCAAACATGATCCATGCATGCCATCTTTATTCTATTCCCACCAATTATCATTACTTATTCCTCTCTCTGTTACGATTTTATTCCTATATCAATCTGAATACGTACGGTCATATACCAATATCTATAAAAAGATACGTATTTAGTTCTGTGCTTCATAATTTTTACTACTTTTTTCTTGTCATCGATTACACGATAGACTATCTTAATTTATGTCTGCTTTTCAAGAAAAAAAAAAACAAAACACATTAATGGACATAATTACTACCCGCAATTAATGCATAATGTGTGTATAAGTTAACATAAGGTCACAGTAGATTACTCAACCACCAATATGTCAAATATACATCGATGTTCAAATTAATCATGGACAACCATAACTTTGATACCTGTCTTTGACTCTTTATAGCTTGCAAATACGCATAGAATCATTCAAAAACTGCGATTCGGAATCTACTATACGTAATGCGTTGTATATATAACTTGAAATTAATAATCCCAACCTTATTTTACATACCAAATCTGTCAATTCACGTACCAATTTATGGATAAAAGATTCATAAAAAGTGAAGAAAGAAACCTCAAACTTGCTAATTAAGCATTGAGTACGAAAACCGATAATTTATACTAATTCTTCTTTTATTTGCGTAAGATTCAAAACCAAGTCATTAGTCATTACCTCATATATGTCGCGAATACCATAATTTTCAGATAGATGATTACGTTTCTTTTACATTCATATAAACGTCATCGTATGAGTATGATAGTATTTGCGCTTATATTTGATAATAGTAAAAAAAATATCTACGTGTTGAAATTATTGTTTCTTAGGGCATATCGAGTCGTAGCTAATTAGTGTGAAAACCTGAAAATCGAACCAGGCAAAACGGGATCTAAGTTTTCGTAAACCATTTAACTTGAGTCCTGCTGATTGAAACTCTGTCATAACCGAGATTTTATTTGTTGAAAACAAGAATACAATATCGATGTTGTGTGTGTGTGCACTCGCGTGTATGTGACTGTACTATTGGATGACATTATTGCATAGTTGGATCATTTGGTCAAACTGGTAGTGATCTCTACATATATTATTGTGATTTCTATTTACGTGCCAACATTTGAATTTGCGTGCTTTAAATGTGGATATGCATTTCTATTAACTAAACTACTGAAACGGTGGTTGGCTTCAGAGAAGCCACTCGTGAGATTCCAATATAAAAAAAAATTAAATTAGTACAAACAAAAAAAAAACAACAACATAAATGTAGAAATAGAGAAGAAAACAGAAAAGAAAGTCAAACAGGCTGGTGGGTTTCATTTGGTAGTTAACTTAACATAGAAACAAAAATAATCGACTCTAATTGCATCTTATTTCGTGGACACTTCCAAATTGCGGTTGTGTTACCTTAGAATTTTCCGGAAGATAATAAATAAATTCAGTGTATTTTTCAAATTTCTTGCAAGTTTTAGTGTATATATCAAAATTTCCTTGATAGTTTTGATATTATCATTATTATTATTACTATTTTTAGCCTATAAGTGCCTAAGTTAATCAGAATTGGAATAACACTTCGAGTGTCGAGTCAGTAAATCATACTGAAACGACAAGCAGTTGCACTCAACTTCAAAAAAACTAGACGAAACCAAAAGCTGAAGAAGCTTCCCTACTCCAATAACAATAGTTTTTGTTACATCTTAATGGTAATGCCATATAATGTTTTTGTACTACACATATTGCAATCTATATGCTTATGCTTTATACTCTTTGTTTTGAGAGTAATGAAGAAGTTCACTGGACACGAGAACGTAACGTACACATTGATGAGAAGTGGGTGGGAGAGTTTGATCACACCTGTGGTCGTGTCTGGACAACGTAGAGCTTCCCGTCTCTGATCACACCTTCAATGTCCTGTGGAGTTCCGTACAGTTTCTCGATGGCATCTCCGGCGCGTGCAATGTCTGAGAGTATCTTTTTCTGGAAACTCCCATCAGTGATCAGAGGATCTGTTGTGTAATCGAGCACGACTTCGTCTTCCTCGTCCATTGGTACACTGCGGAAAAGAAAAAACGGAAGGATAAGTCTCATTGTTTAAAATGATGTGATCAAGACAATGACAAAGAGGTTTTGAGTTTGTTTATGTTACCTGTCGTAGAGACCTGCACCTGCATAACCTTCGAGATCCTCTCCGTTCGAGTCAGATCTGAAGATGATTGAACGTCTTATGAACAGCCCAATGGGTTTGCTCGGGTAACCCAACACCAGAGGCGAATCGAGGTTGTTTTTCTTGCAGATGAAACTCAGAGATCGACCGGGATATGCTCCTACAAGAGTTTCACCAAGACCTTTGACAACCTAAAACCAAAAAAGAAACAGTCAGGTGAGGAAGTTGGAAGATCCACCGGTTCACACGGGGGCTGAAGGGGAAAATATAGAACTTTTTACCTCGGCGTAAATCTCTGATGAATCTCCAGAAGATGGGTTGGTCGTGTGGATGACAAATGCGTAGTCCGCATTGATGACTTCTTGGACCAAAACAGCCATGCAGAGATAGTCATGATCCAGTTTTACTTTCTTCGTGCTGAAGTACGCTCTCTCGTTCCATTTCGAAGCCCAGACCTGATATTTGAAAATAGCCGGTTAGTGAGACATCTTCAAGTGAAGCAGCAATGTACCTTACTCCAAATTTGACCTTTTTAATGGCTGCCCAAGCTTGCTCCCATCTATGTTCACCTTCATCACCGGGCCATGGCATGTCAGAACTTTTCATAGTACTTTTCAATTCTTCAACCTGATCACCACAACCATTACAAAGGCACTTATCTAAGTAAGTCTCTACATTTCACCCTATTTCCACTAAGGAAATCTAGCTTCTCTGAGTATATGCACTTGAAGCATCAAGCAATGTAAACACATCAATGAAAAAGCAATATGATATACCAGTTCTGCGGGTGCAACTAGTCCCAACACTGCCTTACGAATTTCCCCCAGAGCACTTTGGTCTCCCTCATCAAGACTTTTCTTCAATACTTGCAATTTCTCGTTCACCGTCTGCCAATTCCAGAGGAACAGAGAGTGAGTGGTTTTTGGGTGAAGGTAATCATGAAAAAGCAAAGTCTCAAGGTATATTGGTTTTGACAGTAACAACTTCATGATAGTCATTAGTCAAGGCACCCTGGTTTGTGGAACTATCTCTACTCTAAATATCTCCAGATGAAGACATACAAGTAGCGAAAATCCAGCTAAGTGTCTTCATATTTTGTTAAGTCCGAATTAGGTTAAGAGAGTCTGCTATAGTACCTGATTCGCCTTTTCGGAAATAACCTTCTCAAAAACACCAAATGGCAGTGCAACTGAAGTTGGGATACCAACCCAAGAAGGAACTTTCCCTTTTAGATATCC